TTTTGCGAGATATTCGAACCGTATTACTTTGTTTTGTTTTCATGAGAGAAAAAACAGAACGAAATTACAGTGCGAATACCTCTAGAGACGCAGCGAGCAACGAGAGCGCAACGAGACGTTTCATCTGCGCGCCCCGACTTACGCAAAATTAACGCCCAGTGGGTCGACATCCCGTCGTGTCGGCATCGCGCGACAGGCCAGCGCGCCGTGGAGGTAGGTAGCCCAACTGGCTCCAGTGTCCCACGCGGTCCCTGCTTCGGGTGTGCGAGAGAGACAGTTCGCAAAAAAGCGCGCTGCTCAGAGGCGAGAGAGAAAGCACGCCAGGAAGCGCACTACCACGAGTGCGAGAGAGAAAGCACGGCAAGAAGCACACAGCCGTGAGGGCGAAAGGGACAGAGCGACGAAAACATCGCAGTACCGTGAAGCGATAAAAGGCACTAAGCATACGACTGGCAAACACCACACGCGAACGACAGACGAAAGAAGAGGATGTAAACAAAAGCAACAAGTGCTGCTGCAGGGCCATGGCACGGCCAAGCAAGACAGGACTCGACATGCTCACACGCACACACACACGCATGCACACACGCACGCAAGGCAAGGCCACAAAGCCAAAAAACGTGATAAAATCGGAACATACTCACTGTGTATCGATTCACTAAGTCACGCTTAACTTAGTCATCGATACATTCAGTCCCAAATGGTAATTCTGAAACGCAAAGGGATGAATTGGATGACGCAACAGGGACGCCAGCGAGGTTAGGTCACCACGCCAGCCCGGCATCGACACGCAGCGCTCATTGCACATCGAAATGCGGATTTCGGTGTGAAAATCACAGCGCAGACTTTAATGAAAGGCTCCAATTCAAGTGAACAGGAGAACAAAAGGACTGGGCGTGTGATGGCGCCGCCGCGTGGTGGCCTGGCCTAGGCTGTGCCACTCGCAAAAAGGGTTTGCACCCACAACTATTTTCGACGGAAAAATACTCACTACCACTACAGGTTCCTCCTCTGACCCCTCGAAGAGGGCCCCGCTCACGTCAAGTTCAATTGATACGTCCTCTTCACTCATGGTAAACTCAGCGACTCAACAGCAGCACACACTCGCCGCACTCGACGAAGGACGACCAATGAATGACGGAATGACGCTTCGAGAAGCTTCTCGGCGGCGCACGGCAGAGAAGGGGTGAGCGATTCTCACGTTACGGGGTAGTTTCGTTTCTTCTGACTCCTGTGCCCAAACGAGCGCAGATATCGACATGGGGTTTGTTTCTGATGTTAGGGAGGGCCATTGCCCACTAAACGCACACATTTCGAAAAGTTCACGTTCGTTGGATTGGTCTACGTAGCGTTTGGAATACCCCAAATGTAACTTCCGTGATTGTCCAAAGAGAACATACTCGAACTTTCCGCCCCCACTGTGGCGGTGTGGTTCGGAAATGCTGCCAACTGTCGATGGGGATTCGAAGCTTGGCATGTCTCGAGCTAATTTCAACCGAAGACCAACACGCCAGACTTCTTTCAAAGGTACTTATGCTGCAACGAAAAATGTCCTCCGTATATTCAATTTAACTACACTAATTTCGAAAAGGCAGCTCTGGACTTCTCCCCAAGCCAAACTTTTAACTTTCCATGACACAAGCCATCAAAGTGGAGTCCCTGGGATATAATTGCATGGGTCACGGAAATCTAAGATGCTGTACACGGTCTCAAAGCGGGCTAGAGCATTATAAAATGGCGTGTATCAACAATTACCTGTAACTTCCGTGGCACCCTTTACCCAATGTTGCAGCAGTACTAGGTGAAAAATTTTTCCGCTGAAATGTCGGGCTTAGAGTATCATTTGACCCTGGAACGACTTTTAAGCCACAGCAAGCCCGAGTCAGCCGTTAAAGCCGATTTCCACACTTTGTAACTTCCGTGATAACGTAATTTCCGTGATCAAAACACCCACTAAAACGTGTGGGAATACCTTACGGCTCATGTTTTTAGGAAGGTAGTACAAGGTCTTTACTATAAATACCATTGCCATAACTCTAGTATCATCCAGGACCCCAATAATCAGAAAAACTTAATTGGATATTTTCCACTTTCGGCAAATCAGAGACGCCAAAACTACCCCGAAACGTGAGAATCGCTCACTTGTTGGCGGCAAATCTCGTCCCCGAACGGCGACGTAGTTCTGTCGTCGACCGCTAGATGACGCGCTGCGCGCCGCCAGCGCAGCCCGGCCCGGCGCGGTTTCCCCCACTCCCGGCGGCGGCGCGAACATTCAAACGCGGCGCGGAACGGTGCGGCCGCGTACAGCGGGTTCCCGGACGGTCCCACGGCACAGAGCGTTCCCGGACGGTCCCCGCTACGTCGCGGCGGACAAGACCAGACCTGCTTAGGTTGACTTAGGTTAGGCCCGCCCAAGATGGCGGCTTAGGTTGGGTAAGGCCCGCCCAAGATGGCCGCCCCTTAGGTTAGGTTGGGTTAGGCCCGCCCAAGATGGCGGCTCAGGGGAAGGGGGAGGGGGATGTCTGAATGGGGGACCAAAATGGCGCATGTCTGAATGGGGTACCTTTACTACTGGGGAGGACGCGGCACCGGACCGGCTGGACCTCTGATTGGTTATAATTCTGAATTTTCTTCCAATGACAAGCGACCTGCGCATCTACCGCGCTCGCTCCCACGTCACTGCAAGTTTAGACCGATCCAGGCAATGGCGTGTTTGATCTTGCACACCAGCGGGCTCTCGCTCCTCGCCGGGCACGCACGGTGCTGCGGCGCCAGGGTGGCGCCTCGGATCGGGACCTCGCGGTTCACTCCGCGTCTCGGGCCGTGGCATAGCGGCCTCGCGCTTCACTCGCGGCTCGGCCGCGGCATCGCGACCTCGCGGCGCCAGGGGCGGCTCCAGGAGGGGTGGCAGTTCACTCCGCGGCTCGCGCCGCGACCTCGCGACACGCCGCGACGCGCAGCGCCGCGGCGCCAGGGGCAGGTCCAGGAGGGGTGCAGGAGCGCCCCGGCCTTAGGTTGCCTTGGGTTAGAGGCGTCCACGCCAGGGCAGAACCATGAGGCCGGGCTCGCGCCGCGGCCTCGCGACACGCCGCGACGCGCAGCGCCGCGCCACCAGGGGCGGGCCTAGGGCGGGTCCGGGAGGGGGTTGGGTTGGGTTAGGCCCCTCGCGCGACTAAGGTTCGGTTAGGTTAGGCCCGACCAAGATGAGGACCTGCTTAGGTTCACTTAGGTTAGACTCGTTCAAAATACCGATCACCAAAAATTAGGTGCGATGGGTTACCCTCCACTTTGACTACCCGACAGATTTCCACAACCCCGAGATAGCCCGACAGATTTCCACACCCTTACTACTGGTGGGGCAAGGTAAAGCGGTTTTTGATGTGAAATAAACAAGAGCGAGTTGACCAGGTAAATTTGTGACACTTTTTATTTTATTTCCACACATCACAGAGCAGGAGTTTACACGGAAAAGGTGGTCTATGAATAGGGTTGGCTGCCTTTGATGTCACTTACTTCGGGTCCTACATGGCAAAATCACCATTTTTGGGTACACTGTTTTACTTTCCCCCTACAAAAATAGCAAAACCCAAGAACCCAAGAGATACTTTAAGACAATGAAGGCCCATAGGCGGCCCGAACGTTGGGGGGACTCGCCCTGAGTTACTTTACGCTCGAATTCTCGGATTTTAAACATGACGAATGCAAATATTGACTATTTCATTCGGTTTATCTAGCCCTTATCTATCATTGAGGAGTAGGCAAAAAGTATCCCGAACACACTGGTGAGCGGCGGGCTGTTGCCTACTAAGCAACTTCTTTCCACAGCTGTTGAGTAGCTGCCTAGTATGCAGGAGGTGATGAAACCAGCCGCACACCTGTGTGTTTGTGCTATCTCAAAGGCCATAACTTGTAATAACAGCTTCAATTTTCAGAGCATTTTACAAAAATCGCAAAACCCAAGAACTTCTTGAGATACTTTAAGACAATGAAGCAGGGACCTCAATGGACCGTCAGGACAAAAATTTCAAAAATCGAAGATGGCGTTCGGTGGGAATTACACTGTTCAGTTCACTGTTTCTTCGTTACAGTGAACTTATCTATTTTCACATCTATCGTCACCAAAACAACGCCATTTTATGCGACATTTTATTTACTTTCGAATGAGCACAGAATCACTACTCTAGGTCTCATAGGAGCCAAGATATTGCCACTTAAGTGAAACACTGTTTTTACATTTTGCAAAATAGCCAAAAATGAAGTATGGCTATATCTCCGGAAGTATGGGAAATTGGCCAAAACCATTTTAGGGCATCGATCTTAACACTAATTGACGGCGATCCACCAACTTTCGTCCAAATCGGTGGCATTATAGCTTTGGCTCTGGTTGACTTGGCATGGAAGGACCCAAAAGAGTGAGTCATCTCGTAACCGTGCGTTAATCGGGCTAGGGCTTAGTGGCCCCAATGGCAGTGGACGACGGACAGTCCAAATATTTGTCATTATTTCCTTTTGTAGCCTCGCATCAGGGTCTTGCCCTATTTTCTGTATTACGGCAATACAGCAATTTACCCTTCCCAAAATTGGTTGATATCGTGCACATAATTAATCGATTAGGTTTCAGTAATCATAATCACCATTTCATCTTTCCTGCTAAGTTCATCATCGAAACCCTCAAACAGGTTCTCCAAAGTTTCTGAAGGAGATTCATGTGACAACTGCTGAGGTGGGTCCATTCCTCTCCAGCACTATGACAATACAAAGGCAAGGTACATAGCAATGGCAATACGGCAATAGAACTTTTCCTTGCTCCTCTGGACTGGGCTAACATAAATGCCCAGGGACTGAGAACAGAAAAGTATTGTGAGCACGTTAAGAGGAATGCCCTATGGCGTAGTTAATACGCCTTTGTTTTACCATGTGAGTCTTTTCCCCGTCGGAAGAAGTCGCTGTGTAACGAATGATATCACATAACTCTACTTGATTAAGATAATTTTTTGTTCTCATTTGATTATTAGCATTTATTGCTTGTATACCATTATTCAATGAATGTGACACTCTAATTCAACGGTCGTGTTATGTTGTGACATCGTATTCAAACGATCGTGACAAAATTTATTTCAACGATTGCGACGTGTCATTCATTGATTAACATTGCATCAAGTCGCTTCAACATAGTGGACATGCCGGTTATTCAGGACTGTTTGGAAAAACGACGAGGAGTCCTTCAGCTTCCTCGGGCGGTTGGGATCGCTGAAGTCAACGTAGACGAGGCCAAACTTCAGCCTGCAACAGAACGTGAGCAGTAAATACTGAGAGTTCCCTACGTACCTCACTCCACTGGTAGCCAACAGATGTGGCGTCACGTTCGTTTTCACCAAATTAATGCGATGTTAGTTTGAGCGTGACAAACGGTGAAAAGTTGCATTGAAACGAATGTCACACACCGCACCGCTTTGTCACATTACTTCGGGTGTGACACGTAATCAGCTGGTGAACCGTCTCATTGAAACGAATGTGACATGGTACCCATGGATACAGGTCGTGTCACAACCAAACGAATGTGACACACGAATGTGACACATTCGTTTGATGTGACACGCGCCATTATTGTCAGATTTAGGGGTGTCACGCTCGTTGACACGACAAAAGTCAATGGGTACCATGTGTCACATTCGTCTTAATGTGACAGTTCGCCAGCTGATTGTGTGTCACGCCCGAAGTCACACCGAAAAAAAGCGGTGCGGTGTGTCACATTCATTTGACTACAAATTTTCACCGTTCGTCACGCTCAAACTAACATTGCCGTTTTCACGTGAAAACGAACGTGACGTCACATTCGTTGGCCACCAGTGCCTTCTTCGACCATGTAAGACCATGCAAGAACATTACAAACTTACGTGTATCCGTCGCCCCATTCGAGGTTGTCTTCAAGGGACCAAGCCGTGTACCCAATCACGTTGCAATGGTCCCTGTTGATCGCTTGCATCAGGCTTCGCATGTAACCCTGCAAGCAGACAAACCGTAGAGGTTTAGAATGTCTTACCCTTACGTTAATACAGTACTGTCGCTTTCACACGCATTCTTGCGTACTCTGTGATTCTCAGAACATTTTCTTGCCTCAACTTGCACTCTCCAAGATTGCGTTCTTTCAAGTATACGCTGAGATTCCAAACGCTATGAGTATAGCACGTATGGTGCAATGCAGCCGAGATATCGCACCATACGTGCATGCCTCAGCCATATTCCACCTTACGTGCAACGGAGCTACGCGGCGTGCCCCTATCCCGCGTAATTATTATGTACACGCAGCGTGTCAATAGTAACAAGCCCCATTAGGGACACGCGGCGTGTATATAATATCGGTCTGCGTGCAATGCGTCCCGAAAATGCCCTATGCTAATGCATGGCAATGGGGAGGCATTGCACTTCATGTGCAATGCTTTTGCATTGCAAGCATTGCACCAATTGACGCTATACTCATAGCGTTTGGATTCTCAATGTATCGATTTGAATCGGATTTGAGTTACAGGGATCCGGTTTCATTTGGGCGAAAAATACACTGCCGCTGAAGATTTGCGACTCCTTTTTTGCAATGTTCCTAGAGAGGACGCTGAAATTTGGCCGGTGTGTGCCCTATAACTGCTCGTCTTGAGGCCCTTAATGCCTGTGCAAGCCCATGATATTTGAGGTGTACTGACTCAAATGAATTTCTTCTTCGTAACCGCGCAAGCGGAATCACAATCGGTCAAACCCACCCCTTCCTAGGGTCACCCAGTCACCCAAGTCCTCCTGAGGGGATGGTGTATTTGAAAATTTGAGAACCGGCAGCAGGCTTTTTTTAGCAGATGATACCTTTACTTAAAAACATACCTGAAACTACAACTACAAGACATATAAAGGTGTCAGCTAGCTTTTACTCGAGAGTCCAAAAACCAAGTGCGTATCCCAACAATATAATGGGAGCTGGCTGCCGGGGCGGGATGGTGCGTCCGGCTGGCTGTGCCTGCCTGCGCCGCAGCCTGCGCGGAATTCGACATATGGCACCCCCTTCTGGCGCGCGACGGCCGGGCCTGCGCGCAACATTATTGACAATCCCTCCCCGCTACAGCGCAGATGCACCGCGTGCTCGCAATCCAAACGGGCACGGCGCGGCGGCGGTGCAGGCCACGGCACAAAGGACTCAGTTTTTAGCAGATGATACCTTTGCTTTAAAACATACACCTAAAACTATTAAATACTATCTTTGGAATGAGCCCATACTACCCCGTAGAAGAAAACCAAACGAGTATCATCTGCTTTCATTAACGTTCGTTGAATGAGATTTTTCGTTCCGACCACGTCCCAGCCGTACAACCCGCCGGAGGACCCACCTCTTTTGTTGGCTTTGTGTGGATTTCATTTCCTAAGGGGTTGAATTTGGGCGTTAAAATTTATAGGGTGACACCTTCGGTGCTTACGAACCTGTAGCCTCTTGTCAATATTCTCCGCAGTACTTACTGTAAGTGACTTACAGTCTTCTCCGCACGACTGTATGTCCTGCGGTTAATGTTAGGTTCTGGGTACGGAGAATTAACACAAGTTCTTTAGAGATGTCTACCTAATTATTTTTTTTAGGCACAGTGAACGTCGTGTATTGCTTTCAACGGACATCGTGCATCAGAGTCTGTTTGCGTGAGAGCTCTATTTGTAAACCCCATAAAGGGTCCAATGTGAATCTGAATATCAGCTACGTCTACACATGGACATATTCAACTTACGCTGTAGTAGCCGATGCGCTTCTGGTCCTTAATTCCCTCGTTTTCGTCGCCGGCATAGCCATTCTCGGTCACCCAGACGGGGAAGTTGTTATAACGGGCTTTCATCCACCTGACCATGTCACCTAGTGCGAAAGGTGTTACCTGTGGAGAAAACCAAAACACTGACATTCATTTTGCGATAATTTACTACAATTTTTTTCTATTTAACCTAGTTTGCGGTTCCCACGATGTAACGCATCCTGCATCCTGTAGTGCCATAATCTAGTTGTAGCATTTATTTTTGGCAATAACCCTAAATTGTTGCGATACAAGGGCGTTTTGTACACACTAAATTCTTATGGACTTTTTTATGCATAGTTATGCATGCACACACTGAAAAACCAAACGTGGTCAAGACCGCACCACTGGTGCGGTCAGATGGATGCCATTTTGACCACATCAGTTGGTGTGGTCCAGACCACGTTTGGCAACGTTTGGTGTGGTCTAGACCACGTTTGGCCACGTTTGGTGTGGTCTAGATCACACCAAACGCACCAAACGTGGTCTAGACCACACCAACCGGTGTGGTGAAAATGGCATCCATTTGACCACACCAGTTGGTGTGGTCTAGACCACGTTTGGTTTTTCAGTGCAGGTACGTCCATATATTATGTATAATATTATGCATCACTGTGGACATTTTAGGCAGGAAAATGCACAAAATGTCCACAGTGATGCATAATTTTATACATACCTTATGGACGTTTCTGCGCATGCATAACTATGCATAAAAAAATGCGTCCTTATGCATTTAAAAAGTCCATAAGAATTTAGTGTGTAGTAACTTTTATTACATTTTTTGGGATAACTTGTTATTGCATCTTATTTCTAGTCTTTATTTCAAAGTGGAACAGAATTGCAAAATTTAGCTATTTTTTGAAATTCTAGATTTGAAGTACCATCGCCAAAGTGAGAGGTGCTGTTTTATTATTAAATATAGACCGTTATCTTCTTTAGACTTTGTAAGAGGCATTTTTTTTAAGAAGTCCGATCGTGGAACACGACCGATGCCGATTTCCTCCATTTTTTGGTCAAAGGTAGTCCTTGTGGGTCTAAGAAAGGCAACAAATTTTTTGGGCCGAAATATGCACCGTTCAGATTCTATGGGCAATTTTCGTTTTCTCTGACAACTTTTCACATAATATGGCCAAAATTGAAAAATCACCTTTCTGGGGCCTCTAAGCACTCGATTGAGCTTAAAATGTGGTATCATATGTAAAATCACGCGAGGAACACGAATCCGGTGCCCGTTTGTTGTTAGGACAACCCAAACAGATGTTATGACTGTTTTTCAGGTTTTGTAGTGGTTTTTACTTTTCTTGGGGGTTTTGGTGTTCGGCATCGATTTTCGCCAATCCGATGAGTGGATTTTATAGATTAAGAACCAATCTATCATACTACGAGGTAAAAAGTTTGTGTACGCCGCGTGAAAAGCAGTGGCGATGCAAAAATTGAAAAACCGTCATTTCTGGGTAGTTTTAGATCAGATAAGCCACCTTTCGCGTGACCGTCTCCGCCCCATATTCAGTCTAAATATTGTCCCAAGTGATGTCAGAGTTCGTGTGAAATTTCCCCACTGTAGCTCGAATAGTTTGGAAATGGTAGCTTTCTAAAGTTTTGCAATCACGTAAGGCATGTACCTTAAGTAGAATTGCGGTAAATGTGAAGACTTGTCACAGATCGGGTAATAAATGAGATAGATGAGTGCGTCAAAGTTCTCTCAGCGTAATTTTGGACAAGGAATCCGTTTTTTGCCGGTACGAAGACCCTAGGTGTACTTTAAAACTACTTTTTCGTGAAAAACCACAAAAAAAAGGGGCCTTTTTTCCGAATTCAGAGTTCGCCTAGGCTCTTCGTACCAGCAAAATCGGATTCCTTGTCCAAAATTACGCTTAGAAACTTTGACGCACTCATCTATCTCATTTATTCCCCGATCTGTGACAAGTCTTCACATTTACCGCAATTCTAGGGTAAACTATACAGTTACCGTCAGTTAAGAGCATCGCTTTCTTTTCAAGGGCCTCTAGGGAGGTTATGACACTTAGACCCGTGCGACTTGTTTCAGACACCTCAGAAGGATCTAGACAACGAAGTGGCTGACAAAGATTTCCCAAAAAACTTTTGGGGACGCTCTTATTTAACGTGAGAAAAAGGTTCCCAAAAAACACATTTACCGGCAGCCAAAATACAGTTATCGGCCCCCTTTTAAGACAGTTATCGGCACCCCTTTTTAAAAAAGGCAAAACATGCCCGAAAGTGACGAAAATTTCTAACAGTCGTCACAGACACTCTATTCACCCCTCAGCATGTCACAAAACCCCCTCTTCCTTCTGTTATGCCTCTTGCGCCCTTCATTTTAGACTAACGGACAACTAGCACCATGAGCTGGGGAAAAAGACAACCTTTCAAAGCGCCGAGGAGAACTTTTCCCTAAATCACGTAGATCACGGGAAAAAATGTGGTCCGATTTCATTCAAATTTGGCAAGGGTCTTCCTACGGTCATAATGCACCAGAATATTAACTCCCGGACGACGCCGGAAAACCAGTGAATTTTGAGGCCACCCTGACGATAACTGTGTTTGCGGTGATTTCTCTGGTGCAGTTATCGGCCCCCCCCGAATGAGGGCAAGCAAGAGGAATTTCTGTGCCCCAAGCACAGTATGCCCTCTTCAATAGATGAGGAGAAGGGAACCTGGCAAAGAGAATAGTTTCTCCCGGGCCCACATTCCGAATTTAACGAAAGATTGAACCCCTGTTCTTATTAGAAGAAAGAACGGACGGCCGAAGCGGCCTCATTCTGCACTTGACTAGAAACGTGGCTCTGTTGGCTGACATGCTCAATCAAACGCGATGCTGTCTCGGTCCTGCATGCTCAAAAGGTGTCTCTAGCGACCTGCATTGGCCGCATCACTAACGGACGCGTACTTGCAGAGCAGGACCCAATCATTCGCCGAGATGACGATAACTGTACCCCTGCCGATAACTGTATAGTTTACCCTACTTAAAGTAAATGCCTTACGTGATTGCAAAACTTTAGAAAGCTGCCATTTCCAAACTACTTGAGCTACAGCGGTGAAATTTCACACCAACTCTGACATCACTTGGGACAATATTTAGACTGAATATGGGGCGGAGACGGTCACGCGAAAGGTGGCTTATCTGATCTAAAACTACCCAGAAATGACGGTTTTTCAATTTTTGCAGCGCCACTGCTTTTTACGCGGCGTACACAAACTTTTTATCTCGTAGTATGATAGATTGGTCCTTTATCTATAAAATCCACTCATCGGATTGGCGAAAATCGATGCCGAACACCAAAACCCCAAGAAAAGTAAAAACCACTACAAAACCTGAAAAACAGTCATAACATCTGTTTGGGTTGTCCTAACAACAAACGGGCACCGGATTCGTGTTCCTCGCGTGATTTTACATATGATACCACATTTTAAGCTCAATCGAGTGCTTAGAGGCCCCAGAAAGGTGATTTTTCAATTTTGGCCATATTATGTGAAAAGTTGTCAGAGAAAACGAAAATTGCCCATAGAATCTGAACGGTGCATATTTCGGCCCAAAAAATTTGTTGCCTTTCTTAGACCCACAAGGACTACCTTTGACCAAAAAATGGAGGAAATCGGCATCGGTCGTGTTCCACGATCGGACTTCTTAAAAAAAATGCCTCTAAAACAAAGTGTGGCTACTCCGTACTCCCGGTACGGAGTATCTCAACAATTGGACGTGTGGAGTAGCTCACACACTCTCAGCAATCGGCTTTTTGCTCATTTTGTCAGTACTTAAGAAAGTAATTTGTGCAACCAAAATACGTACTTTTCCTTTTTTAAAGGACTACTTAGGAAATATTAAATAATGTACTGACAATTTGGTTTTGTACATAATTTTACAAAGAAAACTTCCTTTTTATTTATTTATTAGTCATACGTTCTTAGAAAATACTAAGTATTATTGTTGCCCATCCGAATACGTAATTAGTGAGGAAAAAGTCATAAACCTGCTGAGAGTGCATAGTCACGCCAAACACTTCGTTTTACAGTGTGGTACCTACCGGGAAAGACGCCCTGGCACTCTGGATCCAGCTGGGGTCAGGGCTGACGCTGAGCTGCATATCGTTGTCGTATCCTGGCGAGGGCTGTGCATTTGGTGTCGCGGCTGAAGCGATCGTAGCGGTGTACAGGTTGACACCCAGGAAGTCCATGGCACCTGTGCATTCAAGACACTTTGCTGGAAGTTGCTCAACACGCACATAAATGTCTACTCCATTCAAAGGAAGGCAAAAGTTTCAGACGACGTGACGTAAACGAAGAGTAAGAGAGTGCAAGTACTTAACCTAGTGGCTTCCTTCGGCCACACTTCTTAAAGAGAAACCAGAATTTTTTTTAACTATCAACAGAGTATGAATTTTGCGCTTCTATTGGACTGAGTTATATGCTTTCGTTATGCTACCTGAACCGTAATGGCTCGCTTTGATCAAGATTTAATCCATGAAGATAGGCAACCGTGTAAAACACCTTGTAACGTTTCCCAGCGTTCTGATTCCTGCCCACCTTTAAGAAGAGTCTTTTCTTCTTCAGTGAAGCTGGGCAGTCTCGAGCTTTGGCGGCCCTCGGCCGCGCTGAGGTTGCCAATGATGTCCTTCATCTCGGCCGGGTAGTCTCCGAAATAGAGCGGGTCCGCAAACCAGCCGTACCTCCATAGGCGGAATCGCTCGGCTGCGTCTATGTCTTCCTGTCTGGACGAAGCTGGCTCGGGAAACTCTAAGTTGACGGCCGAGCCGAGGCGGCCTGGGAACAAGCACGTTCAGTGGCATGATCAACATAGCAAGGAGAGGCTAGGGCCGTGCTTCGTGGGGGGGAAAGTACCTTGCTTGGATGACCAACACTCTTACAAGCCTACGAAGCATGTGCTTCATCAATACGAAGAAAATGAAGACGTTGTAGAATTGATTTGTATTATGAAGAAATGCTTCGTATTGCGAAGAATTTTGCTTCATAATTCGAAGCATTTCTTCGTAGATTTTACAATGCTTTCATTATTTTCATATTACGAAGCGATTCTTTGTAAAGTTTTTACTGAGAAGACAAGCAGACTTGGACATTTTGATCAACCCTGAAAGTCTCACCACAGTTTGGTCAGACAATAAAACACTTTTGACTCACCACTGTATGAGGGGTCCTCTCAAATAATCTGATCTGGTCGTTTCCGTGTAAAGAATCTTGTCCGGAACGAAAGGGAATTTCACACAGTAAAAACTCTACGCAGAATCGCTTCGTTATAAGAAGAAAATAAAGGCATTGCAAAAACTACGAAGAAATGCTTCGTATTGTGAAGCAAAATCCTTCGTAATACGAAGCAATTCTACAATGCCCTCTTTTTCATCGTAGTTATACAGAAAATCCTTCGTAGGCTTTTTTAAGAGTGCACCAAGTTTGAACACTAAAAACGGGCAAGAGAGTAAGCGGAACATATTTCTACTAGCTCAACTGCTTTCCTTGATCTTCCATCTTCAAGTTTGTGTGAATTTAATGTTTTTTTTTAATTTGTAGCTATCTTGAATGATCAAACTCACCAACATTTGCTTGCGTTCCAGATAAGATTGTCCATACGGATAGGATCCCTAGATATGAGCAGACCTTTTTGTCTGTACGGTACCGGTAGAGGCAGCGTCGACACTATCGACTTTGTGCTAAATTCTGGTCAAATTTTGGCCAGATTTTAGATGAAAACCTATTACCCTGTCGCGGTGACACATTTTGGTCTGACCAAAACTTTCACCTCGCCTTTGAGAGAAGTCTGACCTTTGAGTTTGCAGTGTTGGTCGTAAGGCTGCAGATACCTACGGGCAATAGCTAGTTGCTGCGACTAGACTAGACACATATGACGACGACAAATCCCTGCTAAAGTTGCCGAGGGGGTAACCACTCGCGTAATACCCTGTACACAAAAACCGTGTATTACGCGTAATACACGTGATCGTAATACCATTTTTGGGTCAAATGTACCAAATTTGGGCATTTTAGGGCCGTAATACACGTGTAATACACCCGTAATACAGCGTAATACCGAGTCTGTACACGATTTCTTGAAGTGTTTACCCCCTCGAAAGTTGCCTTCTAACAAATGTTCCGTCGTGGCTTCCAGATTTTGGTAATTGGTACCGGATTTTCGATTGCAGCTATCGAACTCAAGCCATGAATCACCACAACCGAGCACGTTTTCCGAACATCTTACCGCCTTGGTGGGCGAAGTTTGCCTGGTAGGCGCGGTAGGTCTTGGCGTGCGCGAGGACCATGTTGTGGCTGCAGAGGTAGCCGCCCTCGCCGGGCAAAGCCACCCCCGGCGCCGCGACGCCGCTTTCGTACCCATAGACGCACTGCGAACTGGGCTCGTTCATGATGATCCAGTTCTTCACCTAAGCAGTGCACCCAGATGTCCTTAAGTTCTCAAGGAATCAAGAGAAATTAGAAGAAGAAGAATTCTTTGCGCCAAGTTCTTGTCTGCTATCAGTCATTACAAACATACATACATCGACGCGTCCTAACAGAATAACCCTAACTGTTAGAGCTGATCCAAGACAATCCTAACTTTCAGTGCAGATTTAGAACTACCCTTACTGCAGAGGTACCTAAAAGTGTCCATGAAGTATCTTCACTGCAAATCAGAGAATCTCGATATATCTGAATAACAGGAAAAGTAGCGATATACATCGGCAACTTTGGCCCGTCCCGTGCAATAACAAATGTGTGAATTTCGCCTTTGTTTAACCCTGACGTGTTTGAACCTGAGTCTGGGGTCAAAATAGATGTTATTTTCGTCATCAGCACCCTCGAAAACATAAGAAACAATGCAAAAACTCGAATAAAAAGAATGTTCGAAATATACCCCACTGGGATTTGAACCCGGGTCCGAACTTCTCCGATTCGCTTGAAACTGGCACCGTTGGTTTTGTCTCGTCGCCCCGATTCCAAAAATACCCGTACATGCCCTGCTAGCTGTATCCGTTGCCGAAATCCTCCTCGACCCCATGTAGACCATGATGCACCTGCAGCAGCGCCCCCGGGGCTCGGATCGGATTTGCTGCCACCGGGCGGTTCTTAGGGTCACCCAAAGAGGCTGCATACCAAATTTGGTCAAGATCGGACCACGGGAAGTCCTCGGACGAACGAACGAACGAACGAACGGACGCACAGCATGCATCATACTATATGCCCGTCCCTCCGTCATTTTTTACAAAAAATAAACGGGACGGGCCAAAAACGATGTCCACGTATTTAAGGCGGCAGGATACGCAAATTGAAGTTGTCGGATCAGGCTCAAAATTTGCACACGTATTCGGGACATCACAGGGAGGCGAGCCACAAATTTTTTTGACCTGGCTCAATTTTGAACAAAGTTATTGAACTTTCAAAACCTCAAATTTCCTGCAGTTCGATCTCAAAAAGTAGAAGTCCTAGAAGAAAAATAATGGCAGATACGTAAATCGGGCGACGAGATCTAGGTCGGCGGGTATGTGGGAAGTTTGTGCGAAGATATTTAGACGTTAAAATTCGATGTTCAAAGTCGTCAATTTTGAGGCCATTGTTCACCGGACTATATCGGATGCAGCTAACCACTTTCAAGAGCCGCCATACACCCGACGCCCTAGGCCCTGATGTTCCCTTCAATATGCTGTAAACCGTTTTTCCCTAGGACAAGTACTTTTTGAGATCGAACTGCAATAAAAAGACCCTGTTTTTGCCTCATTTTCCCCGTTTTGAACTTGGCGGTCGTTTGCCGGAGCGCTGGAAGGTGGCGCGGTGGAAAGGACAGGAACTACGTGCAGGCCGGCCGGCCTGAGTGACGTCTTTGTGACGGACAGCGTGCCTCGCTAGCCACTACCTGCGGCCGGTATTGTCTCCGCCCGCCGCCTTCCCCTCCCCCTCCACTCCCGCCGGAGCTGCACTGCGCTGGGGGACTGAGGCCGGCCGGTGCGGAGAAGCGGTGTGCGAGCCCAGCCTTGGCTCCGGCTGATATCGGACCAAATCGAACTTAAATCGTGGACGTGACGCGGCGATTTGAAATTGGCGAAAAGATGTGAAACCATTTGATGGTGCCCGGCCTTAGAGATCATTTATACCCCTATGGCAGATATCAAGCTTCAACGGGTATCAAATTGATCGAAAAAGAGACCGCAAACTCATGGTGCCCATCCGCCCCAGTTTGATTCGAGCATTTTAATTTTGAATTTGCTACGTAGGCGTGCTGAAGCGCCGCGCCCAGCCGCGCGTCTCGCTGGTCGGCTGCCGCTCCCCCTCCACTCTCCGTCCGGGCCACGTCTCTGGCTGCAGTCCGTCGCCCGAGGTGCGACGCTGGAGAGGATTACTGCATGATTGACAGGTCACCTGTCCCAGCCGGCGGGGGAGGAGGGGGGCTGGAGGGGGAGCGCACCGACGCAGAGGTAACGGGACTTGCGGCTCGGCGAGGAGCTCGGTGCATCCCGGGAGAAAACGCGTATCTGTATGGCGATACCTGCGCGGATATGCCTCGCCACTACCGCCATCTCTCGGACAATGCCTACACTTTTGGCAAAGTTATTGGCACGGAGTATCGCCTTGGGGTATTGCCATCAGAGACTTTTTGCCAAATCAGAGGAGCCGACCGTATCCGGCCGCCTTAAATAAGGATGAGACTTTGTAACAAGCCCTTCGGTGAGTAATTTTAGGAAGTATGTTGGCGTTGGCGTCACGGACTTTGAGAAAACACCGCTTTTCACGTGATGTACAGTTAATTCTGAATTGGCACGAAAAGTTTGGATTGTCTTGGATCTGCTCTGACAGTTACGATTGTCATACACTCCATGTAACTGAGGTGATTGCAGATGTTTCAAAACGCTTAAAAAAGGTTTCGTCTACAATTTATCTTAGCACCCTAAGTGTTACATACGCACCCGGTCCCCGAACGTCTGGAAGCAGTATGAAGCGTAGTCAACGAACTGCTCCTGAATGTTGGCGGTGAGCCAGCCGCCGCCATTTTGAATACTTTGGGGCAAATCTCCGTGCAGAAGAGTGACCTGCACAAAGAAGCGGAGTTGAGCAATCGCAATGACGCAGAGTAAGAAAAATTACAACTACACAAAAAATGTTAATCTTCTTTCATCGTCCTCAAAACTTGCCGTAACCAGGTGTAAGCTTCGTACAATTTAATGCATTACTTAAGGACAATCCACCTTAAATTCAAGTGTAGGACAGTCTGACAATATTTGGTGGGAAACAAAATGTCTCACATTTGCAAGTGAGAGGCACCAATGTCTCTCATAAGGAAGTGTGAGGAACGGTCAGTCCCACACTGTGAATGCTGGCTCTGTGCCTCAATGCCACGGGATCGTGGAACAGGCCGTGCCACACACTTCCTGGGATAATACATTAGTGGCACAACTTGCACGCGTGAGACATTTTGATTCGCGCCAATTTGTGTGTGACTGACCCACACTTGGACTTGCAATGTAAGCTTAAGTAAGTATTTGTTAAATAATACCCAATTTTTGTACAGCTTTGCACATATCTCCCACTTGCACACGTCAATACTTAAGTAAAAAACGTTAACGCTAACGCTAACGTGAAAGCAGGGACGGACTGGGGTGTAAAGATTAAGGTGGGAAACACACCCAAGGGGCCCGGATTTGCCTACCATCCAGGGGCAGGGGCGGGTTGAAAATGTAGGTACTGTGCAGGCTTAACTTAAAAAGGCGTGGATGAAATATGAAAACGCGTTGTCCTGGCGAGCGAAGCGAGCCTCAACCTCTCGATTTCGTGAAAATATTGTCAGATTTTTAATTGGTTTTGAAGGTTTAAACTTAAATCGGCGTTTAACTACGAACGTGGCGGGCCGCAAGACATTGATCCCTCTTGATATAGTCTGGCGTTGATTTGCTTGTGGTTTGTGACATGAATAGCGACTGGTGTAGCTATCGGCGAGCGTAGCGAGCCGAAAAATTTCCGACTGTTTAAGAACGCGGGCAAAATTTTCGGTATCACAGGAGGCACGTGGGCCCGTGAAGAGACGTATGAATGCGGGCCCCCTCGCTCGGCAGCCAGGATGCCCTGTGCTGGTGGGCCCCCTCAACTGCCTGGGCCGGACCCTGGGCCCACTGAGTGCACTGTGCTGTGCCCTGTGGGAGCCCTTGGCGGCCGGGCTCGGGCCCAAATATAAGGTGCTGGTTGAGCGTAGGGGCCTTCCAGCGTCACCACGGCCACGGCGCGGGCCCTGCGAACCCGAGAGTTCCGGGCCTCCTGACGGACCTACGACGGGCCCTGCGGGCCCGGATCCCATACCCGGGAGGGGGGCCCGGGTGGGATTCCAACAAATCCCACCCGGGCCAGTCCGTCCCTGCGTGAAAGCAGATGATACTAATGAGAATGTTTACTTAAATGTGTGATGTTTTTATCTCCACTATTAGTAGAAAAATTTGACGATGATGAGTGACATTTTGTGAATTAATTTGAAAGAGTAAACACTCGGAACTGTTCATTTGACAAATTTCTTACGCATAATAATTCACGAAAATGTAAATATTATTGTAACTTTTGGATGTCCTAACGTGCCATTGTTTTGTGTTAAACATGTTCGCAATGTCGGTGGGACACTCATATGTCGGATACCACTTGTGTTGGGTATCATTTTCGTTGTTTCAAAGCGAGGATGCACAATTTGGTGGCTAATCACATGAATACTCAACACCCGTAAAAGTTGTTTTCGGTACTAGGGCGGGATGCCTCGCCGGACGCAGCGTGTCAGCCTCATCTCTACGCGCGCTGAACCCGAGCCCCCGCAGGCGCCCCGATTCATTGTGCGGCGCGCGGCGCGGCGCGGTGCGACGGCGCGGCACGCTGAGGGCCCTCCGCTCATATTCTTCTTGGCAGGCCAGCCAGCCGCTGCCTTGCCAGCGAGGCGCTCGACCTCTTCTAGGCTTGCTAGTCAGGCAACGAGGCAACTGCTGCCTGGCTAGCCGGAAACTTGGTACTCTCTGCACGAGAGTACAAGCACGCTGATACGTGAACGTATCATCTGCTAAAAAAGGTTCCACACACGCATTTGGTTTGTACACTGTTATTATAATATCTTCACTGCAATCTCATGAATACGTTGTTTTTAACAGTAAGGTTGAAGTCGTACCACTGGTTGAATGCCGTTGGCCACGAGGGCGTCGATCAGCGCGTTGTAGTACTGTGTCCCCACGGCACTGGGCTGCGCGCTGTCGCCGTGTGGAAGCAATCGAGGCCAACTAATGGAGAAACGGTAGAACTGCATCTGTGAGAAGAACCACTCGTTAGATCAAATCAGTAATGGCATCCGACTTTCATAAGAATGTTACAATGCATCTTCAGGTACAGCTTTTGGATGCGAGATGATATGATCTTTCAGAACCGAAAAGCTGAACGTTACAAAGGCCACCATGGTCCAAAAAAGACTTCAAATGGCCACTTCGTTTTCCTATTTGCTGCATATACGACAACTCGCGCTGCTCGCTGGGGGCTCCGCCCCCAGACCCCCGCATGTGTGGAGCGCGTGCCGAAGTATTTTCAGTAAGTCCGTGGTGACCAAAGGCAAATTTTCTAAGGAAGTAAATGTCCTGCTTCTTCGAAAGCTCGTTGAAGAATTTTCAACTTATGGGATTTTATATCATTTTCCCATAAAATTTGGAATCGAATGGAAGAAACCCGCAAGTCTTTATGACTACTCCTTGACCCCAAACATAGTGAGCGAGTGAGGGAGTCAGTCAGTCGGATTGGGGCTATATAGGTTCTTGATTGATGAGTAAGGGAGTCAGTCAGTCGGATTTTGGGGCTTTATAGGTTCTTGTTGACAATTGATGATTGATTTTGAGTATGTTGCCGGTGACGGGGACCCGATTGTGGCACAGTTTCTAAAATGTCTCGACTTCACCTACCGACGGGGCGAATAAAAATTTTTAGTCGGTCGGTGACCTTTTTTGAAGATAGAGTAGATTATGTTGAATTTACGCCAATTTAATCGTTTTTGAGAATGTTGCCGGTGACGGGGACCCGATTGCGGCACAGTTTCGGAAATGTCTCGACCAGACCTACCGATGGGGCGAATAAAAGTTTTTAGTCGGTCGGTCCCCTTTTTTGAAGATTGAGTGGATTTTGTTGAATTTAGGCCTATTTAATCGTTTTTGAGGATGTTGTCGGTGACGGGGACCCGATTGCGGCACAGTTTCGGAAATGTCTCGACCAGACCTACCGATGGGGCGAATAAAAATTTTTAGTCGGTCGGTCCCCTTTTTTGAAGATTGAGTGGATTTTGTTGAATTTAGGCCTATTTAATCGTTTTTGAGGATGTTGCCGGTGACGGGGACCCGATTGCGGCACAGTTTCGGATGTCTCGACCAGACCTACCGATGGGGCGAATAAAAATTTTCAGTCGGTCGGTCCCCTTTTTTGAAGATTGAGTGGATTTTGTTGAATTTAGGCCTATTTTATCGTTTTGAGGATGTTGCCGGTGACGTGGACCCGTTTGCGGCACAGTTTCGGAAATGTCTCGACCAGACCTACCGATGGGGCGAATAAAAATTTTCAGTCGGTCGGTCCCCTTTTTTGAAGATTGAGTGGATTTTGTTGAATTTAGGCCTATTTTATCGTTTTGAGGATGTTGCCGGTGACGTGGACCCGTTTGCGGCACAGTTTCGGAAAAGTCTCGACCAGACCTACCGATGGGGCGAATAAAAATTTTCAGTCGGTCGGTCCCCTTTTTTGAAGATTGAGTGGATTTTGTTGAATTTAGGCCTATGTTATCGTTTTGAGGATGTTGCCGGTGACGTGGACCCGATTGCGGCACAGTTTCGGAAATGTCTCGACCAGACCTACCGATAGGGCGAATAAAAATTTTCAGTCGGTCGGTCCCCTTTTTTGAAGATTGAGAGGATTTGGTTGAATTTAGGCCTATTTTATCGTTTTGAGGATGTTGCCGGTGACGTGGACCCGATTGCGGCACAGTTTCTGAAATGTCTCGACTAGACCTACCGATGGGGCGAATAAAAATTTTTAGTCGGTCGGTCCCCTTTTTTGAAGATTGAGTGGATTTTGTTAAATTTAGGCCTATTTTATCGTTTTTGAGGATGTTGCCGGTGACGAGGACCCGATTGCCGCACAGTTTCGGAGATGTCTCGACCAGACCTACCGATGGGGCGAATAAAAATTTTCAGTCGGTCGGTCCCCTTTCTTGAAGATTGAGTGGATTTTGTTGAATTTAGGCCTATTTTATCGTTTTGAGGATGTTGCCGGTGACGGGGACCCGATTGCGGCACAGTTTCGGAAATGTCTCGACCAGACCTACCGATGGGGCGAATAAAAATTTTCAGTCGGTCGGTCCCCTTTTTTGAAGATTGAGTGGATTTTGTTGAATTTAGGCGTATTTTTATATATTATTATATCGTTTTTAGGATGTTGCCGGTGACGGAGACCGGATTGCGGCACAGATTCGGAAATGTCTCGACCAGACCTACCGATGGGGTGAATAAAAATTTCTAGTCGGTCGGTCCCCTTTTTTGAAGATTGAGTAGGTTTGCTCGGAAACGGTGAGAAATTTGTTCCCCTTTTTTGTAGATAAAGTAGGTTTTCTCGGAAACGGTGAGGAATTTTCAACTTTTGGGATTTTTCCCAATTTTCCCATAAAATTTGGAATCGAATGGAAAAAACCGCAAGTCTCTACGACCACTCCTTCACCCCAAACATTTCTATGAGTGAGTCAGTGAGTGAGTGAGTCAGTCGGATTGGGGCTTTATAGGTTCTTGATATGTTGTACCTTCAGGGCCTTGAGCATTTCGACGTCATCCATGAACTTGTGGTATGAGTCGTCTGCTACATCGCCATTCGGTGTGCCGGGACGCGAGTGGTAAAACACGTCCAAAATGCTCGGCGCCTTGTCTGAAACCACAACCCAACACGTGTAGCGCACGTTGCCATTCAGTGGATAATAATCACGTGGGACATTTTCTTGGCACACTGCCAATCCAAGTGTGAGACAGTCTCACACTATTTAGTGCGAACCACGATGTCTCACGCTTACAAGTGTGAGCCACGTGTGTCCCACGCTTCTAAGCGTGAGACACGATATGTCTCACACTTGCAAGCGTGAGACCCGGTTTGTCTCACACTCACGAGCGTGGGTTCTGTGGCATTAAACCACAGGGAACCATAGGCAGCAAGTGTGGGACAAACCGTGTCTGACACTTGTGTCAGACAAATGATGTCTCACACTTGCAAGCGTGGGACAAACGTGGCTAACACTTGTAAGCGTGAGTTCGCAGTAGTGTGAAACTGTCTCACACTTGGACTGGCAGTGCAGTTCTACGCGAATTCCTCGCACACACTCGCATTTGAGGAGCGTGAAATCACGTTGAAACAAGCGTCCGAGTAATGAGACAAATCAGTCTTAGATTGGGGTGTACGATTTTTCCCCCTCACTGACCCCAGGATCGATCACTCACCTGACTCGTTCCACGCGCCCTCGACTTGATACGCAGCAGAGGCTGCTCCGATCAAGAGATTGTCGGGAATGTTGTACTCCGTCTCGGGTACGCTAGCGTCCGGCACATAGTAGTCTTCATCTGAAATCGGTGGGTGGCAGTAAATATCGTGTTCTATGCTGTTCTGTTCGGCAGGGCAACGTGTCATGTCAGGGGTCTCTGAGCGGCGGGCCGGATCCGGCACGCATTTTGGTGTGAAAAGCGTACGAAAACTTGAAAAATTGTTGAAAACTGAAACTTTTCGCACAAAAAAAGTAAACAACATTTAGTGTGCCCATTGAAATTCAAAGGATAACACGTCGCCTATATCAGCGGTTAGCACATCCGTCCGTGAAACGGTTCGTTGCCTCACAGGTAATGCAAATTGTCATATGCCCATTGCAATTAACCAATCAATTGGACAAACTTGTTTCACCGACGGATGTTCCAAAAATTGCAACATTCATGGGACAGGAAAACTTTTCCTGGAAAAGATCCATGACATTTGGTGTGCCAGCCTTTCATTTTGAGTGCAAGTCCACTGTTCAGTTTGTACAGCACGGAGGGGAGCGTGAGGAGTCACACGTACTGTACGTCTTGCTGTCGTCGTCCCAGGCCCTGTCTTCGTTGCCGGTCAAGCAACGCTGCCGTTCTGCGCTGAAGGTGGAGCCCGGGGGACATTGGAGAAGCCGTGGTTGGGAGAAGGTGTCAGTTCCAGTCTGGATACACTCGTAGTACCTTATGACAAAAAAATCATTTCAAACATTTTATTTGTTAGAAATGTTTGTTTGAATGATTGCGCTTTTCATGTTCTGGGACTCAGGTTGATATTCAAAGGCTGATATTCAAAGGACATGCACTTAAATGTTAGTTTCCGCAGTCCATTTGTGAAAAGGGTTTGTTTTATCCGATTCTGATGTGCGTGCATGACATCAGCAATCTTAAAAGCCTACGAAGCATATTTGCTTCATAACTACGAAGAAAATGATGGCGTTGTAGAAATCCTTCGTATTATGAAGACTTCGTATTACGAAGGATTTTGCTTCATAATATGAAGCATTTCTTCGTAGATTTTACAATGCCTTCATTTTCTCTGTATTACGAAGCGATTCTGCGCAAAGTTTTTATTGTGAGCGCAAGCTTACGACTCCAATTCTGCAGAATTTACGAAGCAACCTTTGGCTTTGGAAACAGTCATGTAAATTTCCAGACAGTTGTTTGATTCGCTGCTTTAAACCTGTGACCGGTTTTACGAGTCTCATCTTGTTTGCCGCTCGTGCCACACGTCCTGATAACTCAACGTAATCTGCAGAGCGCGCCAGGGTCCCCTTATGTCGAAAGTACACGTCGGAACCTTGGAAATTTTTAGAACATGAAGCAGCACCGATTCATTGGGACGCACAGTTACAGACATTCATTTTAAAATACTTTTCCGCGATGCAGATTCCTAAGAGAGCTTTTACTTCTCAAATGTGGGAAGGAAGGGGAAGAAGGAAAGTGAAGATGGGAGATACGGAGAGTTGGGTTAGCTCCGAGGGATTGATTACCCACTCGGAGAATCGTGTGTACATCCAGTCCGGAAATCGTTCAAAATTATTTCAAAATTTAATCGAAAATCCTCAAAGTTTGAATGCAAGGTCATCCTATTGTTGTGGTAGTGTCAACACTCTAAAGCCAAAGGCGATACTTTTGGTATCTTTTTGGGCCAAAAAACGGCCTTACCGAAAAATCTTGCCATCTAACGGCGATACACAAAAGTATCGCCAAAATTTGGCGATACTTTGGAGTAAGCTTAAAGCCAAGATTCGGCAATAAACGTTGATAAAATCACGGGGACTAGTTCTTTGTTTATTGCCAGAGTTTGGCAATATTCAAAAGTATTGCCAATTTTTTGCCGTCTTTTGGCAATACTCGATTAAAAAATCGCAAAAAAATCCTCTTTTTTTCACTTCAGGAATCACGGAAATCCGGAATCATGTGTGCACCAAAGTGATCCAGGAAGCGGAAGAAGGGGATAACTCAATTTTGGCCATTTTTCAGGAGAAACAAAAAACTGTTAGCAGGAAAAACTAAAACAAAACAAATGAATGTAGCACATGTTAATAATTTCAAAAAGCATTAGTAAAATTTTGGAAAAAAATCAAAAGTGTAAGGTCACTCCGTAGAGGATTTCTGCGACTTATCACTTTCCGTTGAAATGGAAAACAGAATCAGCTCACCTTATATTTCCTAAACAAAGAGGAATTTGGAGACAAGTCAAGTGGAACAATAGTGTGCATAAAGTGTATGTTACTCTGGTGTATTTTTTGGACTTAGCTCTTTTTTCCAAATTGAAATTTAAAATTTAGGGGGGGTTAAGTTGAGTTGATTCTTTTTACACTAGATTCATAAAAACACAAGTTGAGTTATATCCTTTTGCCAATTTGTCAAACGGACTCATGTAGACTAAGGTTGAGTTATCTCCATTTTCCAATGAAATTTAGACTGTAAAAGGGGTTAAGTTGAGTTATACCCTTTTTCCAAGTGGATTTTCTCCTAAACTGCTTGGAATTCAGTCAAATAATTTGGTGTAATGATGTAAACCATTCTAAGGCACAATAATAAAATAAAAACTCAATTTGGGGATAAGTCAAGTTATTCCCTTCTTCCGCTTCCTGGATCAAGTAACGAGTGTGTTTAACTCCTTGGTTAGCCCACGAGGTTCCCACCACTGTACGGTGCAAATGTGGCCAACCACACCTTGTGCTGTTGTCCCGGTCTGCCAGTCGGCCCTCGGCGAGGCACGTCAGCACGCAGGCCCCGGAGGCGGCGTCCACGGTGAAGCTCGGCGGGCAGGCGGCCACCAGGGCGTTGGCGGCCACGGCGTCGCGGCACACCACGTACACCTCGGGGTCCGCGGCGTAGCGCTGGTACACGCCCACCAGGGCCGCGGAGCACGACACAGTGGTGCACGTCGCCTCGGAACTGCCGACACATCACGCAAACTGAGAAGTTGAAGGTAAATCGGCATAATCGGTGTTATATGCGTTCGTACCCGGTTCCATCGCACCAGTTGGTACAGTATGCTTTTGCATCGCACGAGAAATACGGTGCCTCCTCTGTTTACTCAAGAGCTGTAGCAAAGGCATGCACCTCTTTGCTGTATGCCTCAGGCACACGCTTGTTTCTTGCATATCCATGGACGCACAGTGTACCCTGAGACTAGACGACGCAGGTGCCCAGAAACTGGTCGACATTAGGCGCTCAGTTTCACTCTGAAAGCCTTGCGAACCTATGTCTCTGTAACCTTGCGAAGAATCTGACTTCTTTACAATGCAAAGAAAGCATACGTATTGCAAAACAGTATTTCTCAACTCGGGAACAACCTGCTAGTATTGCGAACCCTTGCAAACACATTTTTCGCAAAATTGCGAACCACCTATTCCTAATATAATCAAGCCAAACTATTCGCAAGCTGCAAATCCGATCTTTTGTAATGCAAACACATCCTTCGCACGGTTTTGAGAGTGAGGGCGCGCCAAGTTCACGGCACAAAAGGCCTGGTTCTCCCAGGAAGCCTATGGTAAAGACAGTGGCGATTTCCACGAAGTTCCTGGGAAAACCAGGAACTGTTTTGAGTTTCAGTTGAATTTTGATGAACTTCAGGCAAAATCGAATGAAGTTTGATAAATTTTGATAAATTTTAATGAATTTAAGTGAATTTTATAAAATTCACTTAAATTGTATACATGTCTGATGAATTTTGGTGTACAAATTTGGCTGGAGTTATTTCCCCTTGGTTTAAAGCGTGCAAATAAGGGTACAGAAACCTCACTGTTAAAAAAATTTAATTACATTTTCATTACATGGTAGTGAAGCTATAATCATTACAATGTAATTAAAGTTTTCATTACATATATGTTATTAAAACTTTCATTACAATGTAATGAACGAATGTAATGAAAATTTTAATGACAAAAACGTAATGAAACTGATCAAAGTTCACACAAGTTGCGCAACTTTTCGATTTGACATAGGCTGGAGTGGATTCACAACGACTCTGACAGCAGAGAAGAGGTAAAAATTGAGTGACCCAGAACAACTCTGGTCAGAGGCAGTTTAGATGTCTGAAGAGGGGAGATCGGGGCCTGACCCTACCAAACAGCAGCCCGTAGACGCCTTCGAGCAACATCAGGAAAACCTATTTGGTCACTTCAAATATCGTTCTTTTCCACCAAACTCTTCGCCGTTAGTTAAACAATCCACCACTTCACATGAAACACGGATACATTTCAGAATATCTCCTCACGTTTTAATATTTTATCACAAAATACAGAGTTGAGAGTGATCCCCGTGTACCATGCGACACCTAGCGGCAGACTTGCGAATGACAGATTTGGCGCATGACGCCGTAATAGACGCTTGTACGAGAAAAATTGATGTTAACGGCTAATAGAAGGCTAAATTAGTTTGAGTAAGCTTAACTTAGATCCTGGACAAACCTAAAAAATTTCAGTCATGCTTAAATATTTTTGAAAAATTTAATGACATGTAATGAAAATTTCATGACAAGCTGCATAATGTAATGAAACTTTCATTACATGGCTAATGTCATTAAACTTCATGACCGAGGTAATGAAATTTTCATTACAATGTAATGAATGTGGAGATGTAATTAAATGTAATGACGTTTAATGAAAAATAATGTCACAAATGTCATTAAATTTCATTCATTTTTAACAGTGCTCATCCGAGCTCCTTCCTACCTTGGGACGCACATGGCGTGTCTTTGACTGTACACTGTGCGGTCGCTGCACCTGTATTGGTACGCCTTCCCGGCCACGCACATCCAGTAGCGCTGGCAGGAGGACGGGTCTGGGTAGTACCCATCGCCGTTGCAAACGAAGTCGCTTGATGCGGACGGCGCGCTGACGCAGGAGTCGTCCGGTGGCGTGGCCACGCAAGCGCCTGGGAATGAACGTCGAGAGAACGCCTCAGCAAATGACGAACAGAGGAACAAGCGGTGCGAGTCCGGCCAGGAGCAAGCAACTTGAATTTTGGTGTACATTTCCCTTGAAATAGCGTGAAATAATGGTGAAATATCGGTGAAATAACGGTGAAGTAACGTGAAATAACACGAAATAACGTTGGAGTACCCTTGAAATAACGTTGAAATAACAATGAAATAACGTGTATTAACGTGAAATATCGTGAATTTGAAATAACGGTGTTCAAATTTTTACAAAGTTGTTTGCCCCTCGGAGTCCGGCTACTCGACTCGGCTACGACCATGCAGAAAATTACATGGAAAGTCAACGTATGGCGAGGATGATCGGACTTAAAAAGATCAAAGGACTTCAAAGTCAAGGGAATCTAAGTGGCTGACCACCGAGCGATTGGATATTTTTGTCGCACCAGTCCGAACCTTCTTAACCGTGATCATGACTCTGCTCACACTGTGGCCAGATGTTTGACCATTTTGCGGGCAGAGATATTGGTCAGACCAAAACTTGACAAGGCGTTTTGTCTCGCCTTTTAAAGTGGCGAGAGATCTGACCTTTAGATTTTCACTGTCGAGGAATTTAAGAAAATGGCCATAACGCTTTTCAGTCAAAACCTAATTTGTGTTTGTCTGGACTTGCTCACCACGTGCCAATCGGCAAAAGCGGTACATGGTTTTCTTAGGGAACCTGTAAACCGTTATTTTGCCGTGCAGCGAGTACCTGCCGAACAGTAGGGGGTTGCAGCCGGGCATGCTGTGGTTGTCAGAGGCCGGTAAATGTTGCCCAGTCTGGTGCACTGCAGCGTCGTGAAGCAGTCGACGCACCGCTGCACCTGGCCGCCGCAGTCCTGCGGGGCAGCAGCTGCCAGTCCCAGCCGTCGCCGCTGCAGGGTGCGCGCGGGCACCGGCCCGCCAGCCTGCGCCGCCGCAACCACGGCCACCTGCCGGAAAAAAACTTAATTTCTTTACAGGTCGCAGGAGCGTGCAGCAACATCACGATGTCAGGGGGAGGAAGCGGAGTACCAACGCCAAAATTTGGCGGAATCCGGGAACCAGGGATGGGAACGCCAAATATTAGTAAGCTGGAGAGAGCTTGCCAAAAATTGGTTCTTGGCTTAATAGACTTGTCAAGACGAAATCGATAACATTTCTAAAACAAATAAATATGTTAATATGCTCATTCAAGTGCAATGGTAGAACTGAAGCGTACACTGTTAGAAATTCTGTCGTAAATTAGCGACAAAAAAAAGTCGCTAATTTTTATAGCGATGGAAATCGTTCCTAAACTACTTCGTCGTAACTGAACGACTAATAAATCATTTCTCTACGACAATGTCGTAATCACGATTACATATTTTGACACCTGAAATCCCCGAAAAGGAGGTGAAAAGTTACAATTTTGCTCACTTATTTACGATTTGTGTCGTTCATTTACGATTTATAACACAAATTTACGACAAGAGTCGTAAATGTAGGACTGAAGTCATAACTGCACGACATATTCCAAAGATAATTTACGATTGTTCGTAAACTTACGATTAAGACGTAAATTTACGACTTAATTCGTTTTAAAACGAAACGTGTCGCTATCAAAATTAGCGACAAATATATCGTACATTTACGACTCAAGACGTATATTTACGACTTAAGTCGTAACAAAATATGTCATTTAAAAACGACATAATTGTTCTACAAAATGTCGTAAATTTACGATTATTTTTAACAGTGTACTTTTATGCTTTTCTTCAAGCGTAGTTCTCCGTTCCGCTCCTCTCCCGCCTATCTAAATGCATGGGGGAAATTTCTTCTCTACGCTTGACTTCAAGCGTAAAGTCTTCAAGCGTAGTTGTATGCTTGAATGAAGCCTACAACTAAGTTTCAGTTTTACCAGTGTGCACAAACGTACTCTCGAACAACAGACGTACTCTCGAACGAAACGAACTCTCATTACGAGTGAGGAAAAGATCTTCAGCGTTTCTACCAAGTTGTAACGGCACTGGTAGCAACGAATTTGACATGCCCAAAATGTCACATCAAAACAAACGTGACAAGACATACGTGTCACATTCGTTTGGATGTGACACAACATGCTCGATGTTTGCGCACCGTTTGTCGCATTCGTTAAAAGTAATGAGACAAAGCGGTGTGGTGAGTCACATTCGTTTGATCGCAAATTTTCACTGTTTGTCACGTTTAAACTGACATCGCATGTTTCACGTGCAAACGAATGTAATGTCACGTACGTTGGCGACCAGTGGTGGTGCAACAGCAAGGGCACAGCAGTTCATTTAGTTACCGTGACCCAATTTCCCTTCCGGTTCCGGACGGTACCTTGTCCCCACCAAGTCTGACTTCACCGCTTCCCTAACCCCAAACATCGGTTGACCTTGTTGAAATGATAAATCTATATTTCTGAGCAAAACTGAGGACAGAGGCGAGACATCTCACCATGGCGAGGCCGAGCAGGAAGTTGGACACCTTCATGTTGGTTCGAGCTGCCTGGCTGCCACGCCACACGGCTGCTGCCGCGTGCTGCTAAATCCGGCCTCTTTATACCTGTCTCTAAGCAAGCAAACACAAGGACCGAGGGTCGGGTAACCTCGGGAGACCGTAGCAAACAAAGTAGTTGGCATGGGGCGCACATGTCAGGGAGTGCCTGTAAAGTTAACGCCGCGCGCGAAAGAGAGCGCCGATCGTAGCGTCCACGCGCAACGCCGCGGGGTAGCGACGCGGAGAATGAGCGCCCTGCGCGCCCTGCCCGTCCACTTCTCTCCTTGTTTCAGGTGTGCTTGGGCAGGGCAAGCATTTCGTCATCAAGTCTTGACTGTTTCAGTAACGGAATTTTTCATTCTTCGTAAGTATGAAGGACATAATGGTGTTTTCCATTTCATTATCGGGCCAATAGGATAACTTTTATTGCAGAACTGTAGTGAGTTGAGTGGCTCTGTTTAATATTTGCGATCCTTTACAGCAATTCAGAAGCAAACATTAATTAAATTGATGACAGGTACCAATTCTGTTGTACAGTCTGATAAATCACAGTCCTCGTGATATCTGGCATTTACACCTGTAGTGCTATTCACTACTGACATTGAAATCAGAGCGAAGCACTGGACACTGGACATTAAGAGATGTTTTCACAAAGGTTAAAATATTTTCATAAGCAACACCTGCATTACACTTGTACTTACAATAGTGGGATATTCTGGACCCTTTGGAACAACTGACTCTGGTGTACAAAATTATATCCTTGTACAAGCGCTTAAAAGTTTGAAAATGAAAAGTTTCATCTTGAAACAAAATTACCATAAACTCCCTCAGAGTCTTTTCAAACTGGCTACCAGATTCTAGCCCCCAACAAAAATTCCACTTGAAATTTTCTCACTTAGTTTACATGTATAGAATGAGACATCATTTTAACTCAGAAAGATTTTGAAGAATCAGATTTCATACTAGCAATCATTGATTGTAGCTTTGCTGACGAAGAGAAGCGAGAGTGTACTTGGACTGGAGCATGAGTTGTACCATGAACAAGGTTCACCATCTCTCCATTGAAACCTTCTTACAAGTAACAGTGTGTGATCAGAAGATTTCCTGTTACTTTAACGGACTGACTTAAATGCCGTAACAGATATACATGAAGACATGTGTCACACGATAAAGGATTTCAAATGCTTCCCAAAATTTACACAAAAGCTGGTCTGCTTTTTCAGATCAGCGCCAGAAACACTAGCACTTTTCACGAGACCGAGCCTCTCCAACAACATGCACTCTAAATGTTGTACAGTGAAGATTCTCCATATTATGGTGAAAATGTTCCATATTATGGTGGTGCAGCTGACTTCGTAACATACCATTGAGAATTCACTGTACCTTATAGAGATTTTGACGAATTTCGTTGGTATTATGGAGAAAACATCCACCATATTATGTTGGTGCAGCCTTTCACCGTAAGACATTTACTGTGTGGATACAATTTCATAATACTCACTTTTCATCAGATCTTCTATCTTAGGCAAACAAATGTACAAAATAATATCTCTAAGAAAAAAATCTCTCAAAATAGTTTTCTTCCGTTCAAGGCTCCAAAAGTTCTTGATGAGGAAAGACCATGACATTACTCATTCTAGCTGACTTTTCCCCTCTGACAAACCAACGAGGGCAGGAATCATAACCTGAGTGGCCTATCATGTTCATGCAGCTCTTGCTGACATGCGCCTATTGATAACTAATTTGTAATGATTCCACACGTATTAAAATAAATGCTGGCGTACAGCAAAGGGTTAAATCCCACTGTGTTTACTAAGGAGACTCTCAACTCGTATAACGTGCTTGGGAGTAGATCTAGAAGAACCACGGACGTACTGGAAAAACAGAATACATAACATTACAGCGAGGAGGTTAAGGGGGCTCATACATGTTAAAAGCACTTTGTAAAAATTTTCTTTTGATGTAGACGGATCAAGATTTTACAATTTCTGTGTTAAAACCCTTTTAGATAATTGAGTAAGCTTCATTTTGGCTTAAAGGAAAGTGACTTTGGACATTTATTGGAGATTTAGTCGAAACGTTTAAAATTTTGCTTCTCGTAAGATTTTGTTCGCATACTTGCTCAGATCTGTGGGGAAAAAATCAGGGAGACTCATCCCTAGTAGTGTCATAGAATTGACTACAATGGGCTTTATATCTACAATAGTTTTCAAGAAAAAAAATAAAAACAATTTTTTTAACAATTTTTTGAACAAATTTTTTAACAAAAAATTGTTTTTATTTTTTTTCTTGAAAAATATTGCAGATATAAAGCCCATTGTAGTCAATTCTATGACACTACTAGGGATGAGTCTCCCTGATTTTTTCCCCACAGATCTGAGCAAGTATGCGAACAAAATCTTACGAGAAGCAAAATTTTAAACGTTTCGACTAAATCTCCAAAAAATGTCCAAAGTCACTTTCCTTTAAGCCAAAATGAAGCTTACTCAATTATCTAAAAGGGTTTTAACACAGAAATTGTAGAATCTTAATCCATCTACATCAAACATTTTTTTTTTACAAAGTGTGTTCAACATGTATGAGCCCCCTTAACACTCCAAGAAATCGTGTACAGAAGGGGATATTACACGTGTATTCTGGCATTAAAATGTCAAAATTTGGCACATTTGGCCCAAAAATGGTATTACAATTACGTGTATTACGCATAATACACGGTTTTTGTGTACGGGGAATTACACGAGTGTTTACCCCCTCGCATTGCAGTCACAGGGTTACGAAGGTGGTTAGACCTCGTGCCAATGTTACCTCCTCGTGGTGCCTGATCGCTGAGGGCAACCGTCGTCGGGGCAAGAGATCGTCAGCAGCTGCCAGTGGTAGCCGGTGTGCGGCCCGTTCAGGCGAGCGCAGTCTCGTGGTGGCGTCCACTGCACCGTAGCCGAAGTGTTGGTGCGACTGACTACTCCGGTACCAACAGCAACACTGGTAGTGTCGCAGGCTTCACACGCATCGGCCACCGGATCGATGAGCACGTCAGGAACTGGACAGACACATACATCAAGAACGAGAACTGCTGAAGAAAAATGCAACAAAGGAAACAAAGAACAATTTCAGCCAATTTTTGGCCCGTCCCGTTTATTTTTTGTAAAAAAATGACGGAGGGACGGGCATATAGTATGATGCATGCTGTGCGTCCGTTCGTTCGTTCGTTCGTCCGAGGACTTCCCGTGGTCCGATCTTGACCAAATTTTGGTATGCAGCCTCCTTGGGTGACCCTAAGAACCGCCCGGTGGCAGCAAATCCGATCCGAGCCCCGGGGGCGCTGCTGCAGGTGCATCATGGTCTACATGGGGTCGAGGAGGATCTCGGCAACGGATGCAGCTAGCAGGGCATGTAGGGGTATTTTTGGAATCGGTGCGACGAGAAAAAACCAATGGTGCCACTTTCGAACGAATCGGAGAAGTTCGGACCCGGGTTCAAATCCCAGTGGGGTATATATTAAACTTTCTTTTCATTCGAGTTTCTGCATTGTTGCTTATGTTTTTGAGGGCGCTGATGACGAAAATAACATCTATTTTGACGCTAGACCCTGGTTTAAATTCGTCAGGGTTAAACAAAGGCGAAATTTACACATTTGTTAATGTACGGGACGGGCCAAAGTTGCCGATGTATATCGCTACTTTTCCTGTTATATTTTATCATGTATGGGTTGTTCTTTTGAGTTTCATCAATCATTGTACTAAGTGCAATCCGGCCGGCCAGACGCTTGAAGTCCATTTCTGGCCTCGCTGTACTTTCTACAATCCTCGTCGTACACTTTTCACTGTAATTGATGGACTTGATCTGAACTTAACCTTTTTTCTTGCAGTGAGAAGCGATTTGATCAATGAAATCCACCCAATTACCGTGCCAACCTTACCGCTACATGGGGCGTCTCTTCGGAGTTCTAGACCACATTTTACAAATTTAATTCGAATAAAGATGGCAGTAAATGAGGCTCGGACTAAGAGATTCTCAACTAAGCAAATAAGCGGTAGTGGTATGCAAAACGGTATTTCTCACAGTCCAATTGAATCTCAATATTCGCCCCGCATCAATTGGATTCTGTCTAATTTATTTTTCAGCCCCAATCGAATGTCCCTGCTTTGTTACCTGCGAATGCCGTGACGATAGATGCCGACTCTCTCTGCAGTTCGTCCTTCGAGGAAGACACTAGCACGTTGTACACGGCACCCGGCAGTAGACCGGTCAGTGTGGCACTGCGTCCGTCGACAAACAGCCAGTCTCTCGAATGAAAGCAGCTCTCTGGGCACGCCAAGAGCCTCTCGCACTGCGGAGGCGACAACGCGTTAGTTCGCTCACCCATAAAATACGGAGTGTTTAGAGTGTTTATCAGGTACAAACTATTAAGTTTGTCCCAAGAAGAATTAGATCGAAAATTACAAAGCATTTTCATCGTTTGCCAGCACTGAAAATCTATCGGCGTGACTGTCACATTAAATGGGATTGGTCTTTATTTCTCAAGGAATGAAAATGAACTGTTTCCGGCCTTTTTTATTGTTACTTTTCCTTCAGTTGCGCAGGATGGTGTTTAGATAGCCTGATGCAGTTCTTACCGCATATCGCACGACAAATGTCTGGTTTCCAGACGAAGTCCAAGCCACTTTCGCTCCATGCGATGTCACCTCGAAAACAGTCAAGTCGAAAATAAATCCTGCAATAATGAACAGAGATCAAGGGGGTGTCAACTGACGACTGCGGTCGAAAAAGGCACTCCGTGCTTTATTACGGAAAATGTGCAGTAGAATCTAGCGCGTAAGTACGGAATATAACCTTAGAGTAAAAGTCAACAAAGCATCGCTTCGTAATACGAAGAAAACGAAGGCATTTTAACTCGCGAATGAAGGCATCGCATGCAATCATTTTGTTGCGACGTTCCTGGACCACCTGGTACACACACTAAACTTCTTACGGATTCATCTATCTGTATTACGGACATTTTGTGCAATTGCAATTACGGATAGATTTTGCTTGTAATACGGATGAAATCATCCGTATTACAAAGAGTTTTTCGTCCGTACCTTACGGATATTTTCGTCTGTATGTTACGGACACGAAAACCTTTGTATTACGGATGAAATCATCCGTATTACAAACAAAATCCATCCGTAATTACGCTTGCACAAAACCGTCCGTATTGCGGATACATGGTGTCCGTAAGGAGTCTTCAGTGCACTCTCAGCCATTTACGGAGCATTTCTTTCTCAATAGCTGACGCATTTCTATAAGCAACCATAATTCTTAGTATATCGTTCTTCAATACTTAAAATTTCTTGGTAATTAACCTTGAAAACGATTACATCATTACAGTAATTAACAATTGCTATGCTAAATAATACCGAGAAAAAATTCTGAGTATTATGGTTCCTTACAGAAATAGTCTGCTCATGAGAAATAGTAAAAGACCGAGAGTGTGGACTTTACTGAGTGTACGGTACGTGCTCAATTTGTCTACATGAACGAGTGCGAAAACAAAAGTATTAAAGGTCTGTAGTTAGCAGGTACGGATGGATCAAGAAAATTCTTGTCCTCCCTTTTTTTTCAAACAGTGCATGGGCAGACTAGGTTAGCGCAGGGCACACTCTAAATGCCTTACATAGAAACTTGAACCATTTTACAGTGAATGAGGCGCAAGCATAGGAAGCAATATTTTCTTATGATGTGAACTTTTAGAGTTTGCAGTGAGGTAGACTCACTCTCGCCGTGCGTTGTTACCCGGACGTGCGGCACGGCACTGAAGCCTTGCAGTTGACGGTCAAGCAGAACGACGCGCACGTCCAGAGCCTGACCCGGCCGCAGCCCGTCCACCGTGAAGTTATAGAAGTGAGGAACACTGCCAGCACCCGCCTCCAGCGTTGCGCTCGAGTTTCCTAGATGCGCCAGCACCCCAGTCACCCACTGCCCTTCCATGTTGTCCACCAGCTGTGACAAAAACGTTCTCTAAGGACAAGTGTGAAAGTTACAACAGAAAGGCAACAAACCGCAAAAAAAATCTCATTCACGAACGTTAATGAAAGCATATGGTACTCGTTTGGTTTTCTTCTACGTGGTGGTGTGGGCTTTGTCCAAATGAAAGTATTGAAAATTGTGTACGAAATAAAATACATATACTACGTTTACACGGGGGAGCTAGCCTCGGTCAACTCGAGGGGTGGGGGAGTGGAGGGGAGACACCACTCAGCCAGGGCTAGCAGACGTCGTGTTCACGCGGTGCCGGTGAAGCGTTGTTGGGGTGACTTTCTAACCTCAAGATAGCCTAAACAATTTCGAATTTAAGTCGAAATCAGGTCGAAATTTGCTTTACGCAATAGACAATGGATATTTTTATTCAGAAACAATCAGTTACAAGTGGTAAAAATCAAATCAATAAAAATTACATAAAATAGAATAAGTAAATTAATGATTTCATACAACAGAAAACTGCTTCCCAAGTTGATCCAGGAAGCGGAAGAAGGGGATAACTCAATTTTGGTCATTTTTCAGGAGAAACAAAAAACTGTTAACAGGGAAAACTAAAACAAAACAAATGAATGTTGCAGATGTTAATAATTTCAAAAAGCATTAGTAAAATTTTGGAAAAAAAATCAAAAGTGTAAGGTCACTCCGTAGAGGATTTCTGCGACTTATCACTTTCCGCTGAAATGGAAAACAGAGTCAGCTCACCTTATATTTCCTAAACCAAGAGGAATTTTGAGACAAGTCAAGTGGAACAATAGTCAGCATAAAGTGTATGTTACTCTGGTGTATTTTTTGGACTTAGCTTTTTTTTCCAAATTGAAATTTAAAATTAAGGGGGGGTTAAGTTGAGTTGATTCTTTTTACACTAGATCCATAAAAACACAAGTTGAGTTATATCCTTTTGCCAATTTGTCAAACGGACTCATGTAGACTAAGGTTGAGTTATCTCCATTTTCCAATGAAATTTAGACTGTAAAAGGGGTTAAGTTGAGTTATACCCTTTTTCCATGTGGATTTTCTCCTAAACTGCTTGGAATTCAATCAAATAATTTGGTGTAATGATCTAAACCATTCTAAGGCACAATAATAAAATAAAAACTCAATTTGGGGATAAGTCAAGTTATTCCCTTCTTCCGCTTCCTGGATCAGTTTTTTCCAACGATTTCACAGGTGTATTCATAATAATAGAAAATAGATGGGCTTACAACACCTCAAAAACACTGCGCACACCTAACCTCACTTGACCCTGTGGTGTTTACACGTTGGAGTTAGCCTCGGTCAACGAGTTAGCCAGGGTAGCTCGAGGGGTCTAACTCGTTGACCCACCTACGTGTTCATGCGCGTGAGTTGACCCCGGCTAGCTCGAAACCTACCCCCTCCACTCCCCCACCCCTCGAGTTGACCGAGGCTAGCTCCCCCGTGTAAACGTAGTAATAGACTCATAAAATGCTTCGACTGGAGCAGGCTGGCCGGTGGTGGTGCGAGCCGAGCCATGACCTGCACCGCCGCGCGCTGAGCCGTGCAAACTGTAAACTCGCTGACGAGCGAACCGTGAGGCATTGTCGCTACGCTGTCTTAAGCGGGGAGGGATTGTCGATGTTCCACGCGGACTGAGAGCCATGCGATACAAGTACTACGTTTACACGGGGGAGCTAGCCTCGGTCAACTCGAGGGGTGGGGGAGTGGAGGGGAGACACCTCCCGGCCAGGGTTAGCAGACGTGGTGTTCACGCGGTGCTCGCGCTGCTGGAGTGGGGGCCGGTGCTGCGCGTTGTTTGGAGTGGCGTTCTAACCTCAAGATAGCCTAAACAAATACGAAGAAATCAGGTCGAAATTTGCTTTATGCAATGGACATTCGACTGATAGCTCTTATGACTATATGCGTAACTATTGTGAGCGTCCATGCAGTGCAGGTAATTTACATAACACGCTAGATTGTTGGTTATAATGACGAGTTTTGTTAACTGTCACTAACCTCAGTAATTGTGTACTTTTATTTTCAGATGCTTGTTCTCCTAGCTGTGAGGCAAAGATTTGCCAGAAGACGAGCTCTTTTGTGCCGGGAATTAGACTTCCAGCGTCGCCTGTTCTTGAGGCGCAGACGGAGACGTATTGTTGCGTTGCTTGCTTCAAAACGCAGGAGGAAGCAGGGAGTGAAAAGGAGCACTTCTAGTCATTGGTGGGATAAAACAGTTCCCTTGTTCAGTGATAAGGAGTGGCTAGAAAACTTTCGTGTTCGCAAAGGTACCTTCGATTGGATTTGTTCTCGGGTTCATGACCTCCTTGCACCCCAGCCCAACCCTGTGATTGCAGGGCAAGCGTTGTCTGTAGAGAAGATTGTTGCAATAGGTCTCTACAAACTGGCTCATGTCGCTGAGTATTTAGTCATAGGGAATTTATTTGGCGTTTGTAAATCAACAGTTCACAACTGCCTCTATGCGTTCTGCTATGCTGTCACAGAAGAGTTAGGTGACACATTCATTCGCTTCCCTGATGCTGAGGAGGCTGCACATATTTCTAGGCGTTTTGAGGAGATGTCTAATATTCCTCAGCTTATAGGAGCAATTGATGGATCCCACATTCCCATTACTCCCCCAAGAGAAGGGAATTCTGACTTCATAAATAGGAAAACTTATCATTCACTAGTGCTCCAAGGTATTGTAGACGATCAGTATTTGTTTAGGGACATATCTTGTAAGATGCCAGGGGCCTGTCACGATGCTGATGTATTACGAGACAGTACCTTCTACAAAAACCATGACAAACTGATGCCAAAAGGTACAAGAAATGTTAACGGAATGGACATTCCGTACATGATAATGGGAGATCCTGCTTATCCTCTAATGCCATGGCTTTTAAAAAATTATACGTATGACAAAAACACGACCCCTGTAATGGATTCTTTCAATGTGTACATGAATAAAGCCAGAGTTGTGGTGGAAAATGCCTTCGGTCGCTTAAGGGGAGGTTCTGGTGAAAATCTTGCCATTTTCCAAGTGGATCCTACAGTCATAATTTGTTCGGAATATAAAATTTTTCATTGGGGAGACTAAAATTTTACTTTTGAAGGCACATGCTAGGCTGTAAACCCAGTCGAAGAGTCTTTTTGAGCCTATTTTGGCTGTATCTTAAAAAATCTTCTTGCGCATACTATTTTGTCCTAAAAGGTTGACCTTGACATTTTTCACTTCTTCGACTCATTTTCAAAAGATTCCGGCATGCATAGCTCGAAACTTCCATTATAATATTAATTATTAGCTTTTTAAGCTGAAAAGTCCCTAAAATTTGTCTATTTTGTACATTTTAGATCAATTTTAGTGAAATGCTTGGTTAGAAAGCTTGCGAATAAAAATGCAATTGACATTTTGAGATGGGCATGCCGGCATTTTTAAAAAATGAATCGAAGAAGTGAAAAACGTCTAAGCCAACCTTTTACGACAAAATAGTATGCGCAAGAAGATTTTTAAAGTTATAGCCTAAATGGGAGAAAAAGGCTCTGCGACTGGATTCAGGGCATAGAATGTGCCTCCCCAATGAAAAATTTTAATAAAGACTTGATAAGACATTACATTTTTAACAAATTTTCACAGTGGGACCTATTTAGGAGAAAATAGCATTTTCACCAGAACCTCCCCTTAAAGGCTAGGTGGAGAATTTTGGGAAGGCGCAGCGATATTAATTATAAATTTGTACCTAGGGTGGAGGCTGCTTGCTGCATCTTGCACAACATATGTGAACTTAGCAAAGAAACCTTTCATAACAGGTGGCTTGCTGCTCTTCGTGAAGATGAGCGAGAATTTCCACAGCCAGATACAATACCTCATGACACAGAAAATCAATACGATGCAGTTGATATTCGTGACCATCTCATGCTGTATTTGTCTGAGAAATGTGAGGTCCTTACCTCCAGCAGGGGAAGATGTGTGCAACAGTCGTAGGGTTTCTCACCCAGTTTTCGAATGAGGAATGAGCCTTCAGAGTACTGTAAAACCCTGTAAAAGTACTGTAATGATATATTGAAATACGTACTATTCTTAAGGGACCAATCATGTACCTTCCATCTGACTACAGCCCTGTACATCCCTTGCCCAAATAAATCAAATTTGAATGCAGATTGTAAAGCTGTCTTATTTATATCAGTGTAACCCTGAAATGTTTCAAATCACACAGAATATAACTGTCAATAACTGTTAATTTACCTGGCATATAACTAAACCAAATTACATGTTTCAATCATGGCCATGAGAGTGCAATGCAAGGCACAAATAAGTAATTTAAAACATGTCAAAAGAAGTAAAAAGTATACAATATTTTTATTCAGAAACAATCAGTTATCAAATAAAATTACATGAAATAAAATAATTCAAAAAATACATTAATCATTTCATAGCATTCAATAAGCTTAAGAAAACAACACTTGTATACATAAAAGAGATCTCAGGTAAAGACAGTCAAAAATTAAATATCACTTGGAAGTTGGAGGGTTTGGTTGACTGTTGGAAGGAGAGTTTAAATGCTGAAGTCTGATGTTTCCTGGGAGGCGAAGAGAATTTGCAGGAACATGAACAATTCGCGGTCTGAGCATTCTCTGGGACCCAGGTTGGGGATGGCTGGGGCGAATAATAATTTTGTTGGATTGCAACTTAAACGGTAGATTTGAAACTGTAGGTCTGGATGATTGTACATTATTCGAATTAAGCGGCAGGGAGTGGGTTCGGGGTGGGTTTAGGCCTGCTTCAACTTGCATTGGGAGACTTGCAGTAGCCTGAGGAGAGGGAGCCAACGATGAGGTCATATTGAAGGATGTTACTGTCTGGGGTGGAGTCGGAGTCACAGCCTGGGGTTGGGATGACGTCATATTGAGGGATGTTACTGCCTGGGGTTGAGTCTGAGCCACAGCCTGGGATTGGGATGACATTTGATTCAAAGGGGAAACTATCTGAGGTATGGGCACAGACTGAAATGGGGATGTGGTGGCGATGGACGTAGGATGGACAGGCCAGCCTTGAGTCATAGGTGGAACCCCCATAAACTGGACAGGGGCCTGTGGCTGAGCAAACTGAGCAAATAAAGGAACCATAGCTTGAATGGCGGTTGTTATCGCTGTTGATACGGAGGAGTTCATGGCTGTGGATAATGTAGATATAAACTTATCTTCCCTATTATCTTGACGTTCCAGCACTGTCTCGAACCAATCCCTGTACGATACGTTCTCCTGTTTGTCGCTCTCCATCATTTTTTCTATCAAAGCAGGAGTTGAGTTTGTACTGCCTGGAACACAAGAAATATGTTACATGTTACAAGGAGGTAACTAAAGATGCAAAAAAAATGGAGGGACAAGTTTAAAGCATTCCACCATACCTGCTCTACTTCTATACTTTGGAGGATATTTTCTGCCTGAAGATGCAGGGGATGATGAAGGTGGTGGACCGCCAGCGTCATTGACGACATCTCCATCAGATGTCGTCAAATCGGAGGAGCTTTTAGAAGTGCTTGCAGAAGTTGAGACCTCCACTCCCCACTGATTACAGGTGGCATTCGGCCTCTTGTGAAATAATTCAAACAGTTGATCGTGATACTTCAAAGTCTTGGCTCCCGCACCACTTTTTCCTTGCACCTTCCTGAGAAACACCATGTATGACTTCTTCAATGTCCCATATTTTTTTTGCAATGAACATATGTTTTCTCCACTTTGCTCACATTGGCGTCTTTCAAGGCTTTTGCAACAACTTTAAAAATTTTAGCCCTAGTGAGATGCTGGCCCATCGTGCCATCAATTTTTTGAACTACGTGCTTTTCTTTACATATATTGAGGAACTTCTCAGTCTCGTTGTTAAGCCATGAAATTTTTTGTGGTTTGTTGACATTTTGTGACTTCTTTGGAGCACTCTCTCTACCGTTATCATCTTCATCATCGTCTTCATCATCATCATCATCATCCTCCTCCTCCTCCTCCTCCTCCTCCTCAACATCATTATCATCCTCCTCTTCATCATCGTCACCATCATCGTCTTCCTGATTGTCGTCACCATCACCATCACCATCTCTACGGATCATATTGCCTTGCAAATGCGAATTGTCACTGGTGCCATGACCATTTTCTTTGTCAGAACCTGATGGATTGTCTGCTTTCCTTCTTTTCGCAGAAATTTGAGATTTGCCTGTACAGTCAAAACATTTGTTATTAACCCATAACAGGTATTAAACGCAATACACTACAATTATTTTTTAAAGAACACCATTAAACTAACTAGGAACTTCACGATGCTTACCTCCAGCAGGTGCAGCAGACTGCTGCATTGCGTTCCTTGGAGCAAGAGGAGACCTGCAAGATACAAAATTAACACATACAATTTGCTTGTCTCTCATGGGTGAAGTTAGGTATCATGATTTAGAAGATGATCAACATACGCTGTGTCACTGGAGTGTTCTCACTGGTGCGCCTAGTGCGATCAATGCTTGGAGAACTCAAACCTAAAACCCAACACATGAAATGTTTATTTCAGAGCACATGATTTCAATCAACACAGAAATATAAAAGACAACTTTTCATAAACAACGTACCTAGTGGAGAAGAGCAATTTGCACTCTCGCTGGTCGTCCTGATGCGCTTCCCGCTTTTAGAATTAACAACTGAAATATTCATTTCAAGGTTAAGGATTTCAGTCAGCACAGAAATATAAAAGACAACTTTTCATAAACAACGTACCTATTGCACTCTCGCTGGACCTCCTGGTGCGCTTTACGCTTGTAGAATTAACACCTGAAATATTCATTCCAAGGTTAAGGATTTCAGTCAGCACAGATACATAACAGAGACCCTTTCCTAAACAACGTACCTTGAGATGAAGAGCAGCTGGAAGGACGTGGAACGGCTGGAACGACCCAAAAATTAAAAGAATTACACACCATCACCTAATGTCGCACACAACTCAAGAGTGAAGTTATTGGACAAGTAATGTAAATAATCACACTTACGTTGCGCAACTAGACGAAATCCGTTGCCCTCAGGCATTGCACTAAACATCTTCCCATTTTTATCAAACTTCGCATTCATAGTAATAGAAAATAGGAGCCCACGACACAGGACAACACCTCAAACTCACTACGCGCAACTAACCTCACAGCTAACCTCACTTGACCCAGTGGTAGTGTTTACACGTGGCTGTTAGCCTCGGTCAGCGAGTTAGCTGGGCTAGCTCGAGGGGTCTATCTCTTGACCCACCGCCTGTGTTCATGCGCGCGAGTTGACCACGGCTAGCTCGAGACCTACCCCCTCCACTCCCCCACCCCTCGAGTTGACCGAGGCTAGCTCCCCCGTGTAAACGTAGTAAAGGTAATTTAACGAATCCCTGGCCCGGAAGTCTCAGAACAAAAGTAAGAACCAAAACTGCTTCTGCGCATGCGCAGACGTCCCCCGTCCACTCTGAGGCAGCGTCTGCGCATGCGCAGAAGCGGTTTTGGTTCTTACTTTTGTTCTGAGACTTCCGGGCCAGGGATTCGTTAAAATACCCTACACTAAATAATCGTAAATTTACGACATTTTGTAGAACAATTATGTCGTTTTTCAACGACATATTTTGTTACGACTCAAGTCGTAAATAAACGACTTGAGTCGTAAATTAACGACATATCTGCCCCTAATTTTGATAGCGAGACGTTCCGTTTGGAAACGAATTAAGTCCTAAATTTACGACTTAATCGTAAGTTTACGAACGATCGTAATTCATTTGTGGAATATGTCGTGCAGTTATGACTTCAGTCGTACATTTACGACTCTTGTCGTAAATTTGTGATATGAATCGTAAATAAACGACACAAATCGTAAAAAAACGAGCAAAATTGTAACTTTTGACCTACTTTTCGGGGATTTCGGATTCCAAAATATTTAATCGCGATTACGACATTGTCGTAGAAAAACAATTTTTTAGTCGTTCAGTTACGACGAAGTAGTTTGAGAACGATTTCCGTCGCTATCAAAATTAGCGTCATTTTCGTCGCTAATTTACGACAAAATTTCTGACAGTGTATTCGTAGTCCCGCCCGGCAGCTGGCGAGAAGACGCGCTTGGTTTCTTGACTCGCGGGCACAAGCTAGCTGACACCTTTGTGTGTCTATTTGTTTAAGGTACGTTTAAAGTATGAAGGTATCATCTGCTCAGAAGGGTTACGGACTGCAGTCGTCATTTGAATCTATTGAAACTGTACAAGACCCCACTTACGCAACCCTGAAATAATGGTTCAGGGTTCACATATTTATTGGTCCCATTACTTCGCGACTGCAACAGTGCGCTGAACTAGACTTACCTTATATTGCACTTCGTAATACATCACCGCCTCAGATCCCTCCAAGTTTTCAGGCGTAGTGTAGAAATGGCCACTGAACGAGGTGCCTGACACTGACGTTATGTTTGGCCCAATGATAAGATGAGTGAGTTCTTGAAACAAACAGAAAACGCTTAGTTCCATGCGGGTAATCGTCGAAGAGGGGAGGCTCGGGAGGCTCTCTCATCACAAGAGGGGCCGGGAGAAGTGGCAAAGCATATTAGCAGTAGTAACACTGTCATTCAAACTGCAATAGACACTGTTTATATATTACAAAAAATGAAACTTATTAAATTTTTTTTGCAATGATGAATCCAAGAAATCTGAAGTAAAAACTTTATTGCTAAATTTTGCAACGTTCACTTTTTGGTTGACCTTCAAAACAAAATGCAATTATGAAAAGGTACAGCAAAAGAAAAGTTACTACAAAACACTCTTTTATGACCAGAATTAAAGGGTGGCTATTGCAAATTAAGGCAATAACCAAATTATTGCACTCCAGGGTGCGATAAATCGTGAAAATGACTAAACTGTTTTTTTTTTTCGCTAAAATTTTCCGTAAATAGTCACAAAATAAATAACAGTAAAATGAGAATAAAGATAGCTTTGAATAAATTATGTTAGCTTCTTACTAACCGTGGTGGCAGGTTGCTCCGTGGTACCCAGCGGCGCAGCCCGACGGACACCGCCCCGTGTACACATCGCATGGGCTGGCGGAGTGGCACTGGCCACACTTTTGGAAACAGCCCGATCCGTATTGCCCAGCACCACAAACTGCGGGAATGAATTGTTCCCCATGAAATTTTCCGATTGTAAGTACACTATGAAAATTTCAGTCGTCACTTGATCACAATTTCAAGGCTAATTGTTGACATTGTTGTCACGCCCATGCAATAAGTCTAGGAGCTTTGATAAAAATGTCATCAATTTGTGATGAGATTGTTATGATGTGATGAAAATGTCATCCGCGTTTTTTCTTTTAAAGTGACAACAAATTTTCACAGTGTACACATTTAGGAAGGATCCACCAGGGATCCTGAACTTACCTCATGAGGGCACCATAACGTTATCATAAGAGTTAAAGTTATTACCCTTAACTTCTAACATCTTTTCAAAAGAGTAGGTTAATTTTATGTCTCGAATTTGTGTAGATATACTTTTGCAAGTACTTTCATAGGCTGGCGGAGTGGGCCGAATCTGTGTTCATCCGCGAGGACCAGAGGGACTATGTTACAATGCTAATCTTATGGGACCGAATTTTGCAATGGTAATTATAAAAAAACTACTCAAAAGTTAGCAGTTTAACCATTCAATTCGTAAAAGCTGATTTTTTTCGGAACCCACTGACGTAAGATCCTTTTTTACTGCTGAATTTCGTCAAAACCGAAGTATTATAATTACGATAAACTTCCGATGTTTCGCGGACATGTCACAGTACCTCAATTATAGTGCTCCACTTCATTCTAGAAACGGTTTAGATGCATCATTTTAGAAAAACAATGCGTCATTTCTTTTAAAATCAGTGAAAACCGGGACATTTATAGGTTATGTTGACCGCGCGGAGGGATACGACTCCGACAGCCTATAAGTCCGTACCCTTACCCTTTAGCGAACATTGTCTTATGTTACGTTACGAAAGCAGTGTTAGTTAAGAGGATGCTTTACCCGCGGCCGGGAGTGGGGATTCGGGCCCCCGGCGGGCGGCAAGGCGCGCGTTGCACCGATGCAAATGTAACGTCGCCGTGGCTTCACTTTTGATCCGATTGTCACGAAACTTGGCAGACGCGTTCGTGATGCCCTGAGGCAGGCCTCGCTCGTTTTTGCCGCGTTCCAAAACCGTTCATTTGAACATTTTTTGAACATTTCCGTTCAACAGGTTTCGGCCACAGCAGCTCAGTTTGCGGGACAGTATTCCAAAATCGGAGACCGTGGTGAGATGCGCGCTGAAGTTTTAAGTAGCTTCCCGCAAACGGATCGGCAAAATGTTGAACGACCTCGCTTGAATCTTTAAAATTCAAACGCCCTGCAGCGGCGTGGACGGCGTGGATCAGCCCGGCCCGGCTGGAGCGGCTCGCCACGGCCAGGTGGGGAGCCCCCTTGCACCCGAACCCCGCAGCGCAAGCCCACCCCCACTCCTCCGCCGCCTAGCCCAGCCGAGGAAGCGGGGGCAGGGGGAGGTGACAATAGGTGCATCCGCACGTGCAGTTTTGTTTCACTCGCACCGGCAGGAGAATAGACAGAGACGTGAGCGACAAGAACGCGACCCTCCGAGCCGGGCGAGGAGGCCCCGAAACCGTCCGCCGGATCGCCGACCGCCGGACCGCAGAGATTTCAAGAAATTATGAGAACAGGGCCAAAATCAACCTTTTCACGAAAAATCGTAGTTGCGCGTTTTGAGTCTCGCTGATTATTTCTATACCTATCTCTAAAAACCCAGTTCGGGACCTAATCGCCGCTTCCTTCTTTCACTAGAGTCACTGGAGGGCACTAGAGGCTAAATTAGAATGGTCCAGAACTTATGAAATCAAGTATTCTTTTATTTTCTGCCCTGCCGACCACTATTTGAACAATGGTTGCTCAAAGTTGAAATCACTGCTCCTAATACCACTAGAATGCTTTATCTATTTGACCTAGAGGCAAGCAAGTATCACGAGACGATGCAGAAAACTATGTTTAACAACTTTTATTTAGCATCCAATTCATAAACCGCCTGTCAGATTGGTCAAACGGTAAAATATGTATGTATGAAAATCACGATTTGGGCTGACTTTGGGCGGCCACTGCCTCAAATCTAGGCCCTCTAGTCACACTCTCTCTACAGGGCAGTGGTCTTTAGAGGCCTTGTTTGTAAATCCTAGCTCAGGAGAGCGATTTTCTTGCGTAGTTTGGACGCTGTGTTGTCGCGAAGTTGGGCGAAACGGCGACAAATGAATAGAAATTGCGATATGGGGTGACTTTAAGCAGCCACTGCGTCTGATCCGAGGCGGTATTTCGTACCCCCTCAGTGGGCAATCGATCTTTGGACCTTCCTTTAGCACGCCTTTGTTACGGAGTGCGATTATCCGGCTTCGTTTGGAAGAAGTATTGTCTCAAAGTTGATCAAAACGGTCACAAATACCTTTGAAAAATCGTGTTTTGGGCCGACTTTAAGCAGCCACTGCGTTTGATCCGAGGCGGTATTTCGTACTCCCTCAACGGGCATTTGGTCTTTGGACCTTCCTTTGGCATGCCTTTGTTACGGAATGCGATTGTGTGCCTTAGTTTGGGAGCAGTATTGTCTCAAAGTTGATCAAAACCGACTTTAAAGGCATTTTTGACTGTTTTGACTCATTTTGATCCAACACTGCTCCCAAACTAAGGCACACAATCGCATTCCGTAACAAAGGCATGCCAAAGGAAGGTCCAAAGACCAAATGCCCGTTGAGGGAGTACGAAATACCGCCTCGGATCAAACGCAGTGGCTGCTTAAAGTCGGCCCAAAACACGATTTTTCAAAGGTATTTGTGACCGTTTTGATCAACTTTGAGACAATACTTCTTCCAAACGAAGCCGGATAATCGCACTCCGTAACAAAGGCGTGCTAAAGGAAGGTCCAAAGATCGATTGCCCACTGAGGGGGTACGAAATACCGCCTCGGATCAGACGCAGTGGCTGCTTAAAGTCACCCCATATCGCAATTTCTATTCATTTGTCGCCGTTTCGCCCAACTTCGCGACAACACAGCGTCCAAACTACGCAAGAAAATCGCTCTCCTGAGCTAGGATTTACAAACAAGGCCTCTAAAGACCACTGCCCTGTAGAGAGAGTGTGACTAGAGGGCCTAGATTTGAGGCAGTGGCCGCCCAAAGTCAGCCCAAATCGTGATTTTCATACATACATATTTTACCGTTTGACCAATCTGACAGGCGGTTTATCGAATTGGATGCTAAATAAAAGTTGTTAAACATAGTTTTCTGCATCGTCTCGTGATACTTGCTTGCCTCTAGGTCAAATAGATAAAGCATTCTAGTGGTATTAGGAGCAGTGATTTCAACTTTGAGCAACCATTGTTCAAATAGTGGTCGGCAGGGCAGAAAATAAAAGAATACTTGATTTCATAAGTTCTGGACCATTCTAATTTAGCCTCTAGTGCCCTCCAGTGACTCTAGTGAAAGAAGGAAGCGGCGATTAGGTCCCGAACTGGGTTTTTAGAGATAGGTATAGAAATAATCAGCGAGACTCGAAACGCGCAACTACGATTTTTCGTGAAAAGGTTGATTTTGGCCCTGTTCTCATAATTTCTTGAAATCTCTGCGGTCCGGCGGTCGGCGATCCGGCGGACGGTTTCGGGGCCTCCTCGCCCGGCTCGGAGGGTCGCGTTCTTGTCGCTCACGTCTCTGTCTATTCTCCTGCGGTGCGAGTGAAACAAAACTGCACGTGCGGATGCACCTATTGTCACCTCCCCCTGCCCCCGCTTCCTCGGCTGGGCTAGGCGGCGGAGGAGTGGGGGTGGGCTTGCGCTGCGGGGTTCGGGTGCAAGGGGGCTCCCCACCTGGCCGTGGCGAGCCGCTCCAGCCGGGCCGGGCTGATCCACGCCGTCCACGCCGCTGCAGGGCGTTTGATTTTAAAGATTCAAGCGAGGTCGTTCAACATTTTGCCGATCCGTTTGCGGGAAGCTACTTAAAACTTCAGCGCGCATCTCACCACGGTCTCCGATTTTGGAATACTGTCCCGCAAACTGAGCTGCTGTGGCCGAAACCTGTTGAACGGAAATGTTCAAAAAATGTTCAAATGAACGGTTTGGAACGCGGCAAAAACGAGCGAGGCCTGCCTCAGGGCATCACGAACGCGTCTGCCAAGTTTCGTGACAATCGGATCAAAAGTGAAGCCACGGCGACGTTACATTTGCATCGGTGCAACGCGCGCCTTGCCGCCCGCCGGGGGCCCGAATCCCCACTCCCGGCCGCGGGTAAAGCATCCTCTTAAATGTTACACTCTACCAAAAATGTCCTGTAAATGCCGTTAATTTATTACCAGTTTTCACTGTAGGTCAATTCACAGCGTTTACTGAGAACTGCTCACGGGATTCACTGTGATCTTGTTCGCGGTGTTCACTGTGATCTGGTACCCAGTAAACACTGTGAGTTTGACGCCGCTGAGCACCGAAGGACTGCAAATCAGGCTCCAATTCACGGCGTTTACTGTGGCCAGATCACAGTGAACACTGTAACCGAGATCACAGTGAACGCCGTGAACTAGTTCACAGCAAACGCCGTGAATTGCATAACAGCAAACATTGGTAATAAATTAACGGCGTTGACAGGACATTTTTTGTAGAGTGTAAGTTAAGGATCCCTGGGATTCACGCCTCTTCCACTCACTCTTGTCACAGAGGTTGCCGTGGAAGCCCGCAGCGCAGATTTTGCAGCCACTGCCCGTGTCGCAGTCCCAGACGAGCAGACTGCGGCGGCAACCCCTCGCCGTGCCGGAACACGCCCTCGCGCACGCTGCGCCGTAACGGTCAGGACCACAGGCTGCGAGTTTAACATCACAAATCGAGCGGTCCTGTTCCAAGAGATCTCACCATATGTTTCTGGGTAAAAATGATAGTAACCTGTGTCCTGGTCCTACAGTTTACCTATTTCGCAGGAAAGGCCGTCAAAACCAGGAGGACACGAGCACGCCCCGAGAGCCCTGTTGTACCAACCGCCATTGAAGCATTCTCTTCTCCACGAATTATCTGCAGGACCAACAGTACACTGGTAAAACAAAGGCATAAAAACTACGCCCTTTAGGACATGAATCGTTTTATGCCCTTGGGAAGGGCGTAAATGGTATAGGACTTTCAAGCAAAATTTTAATGCCCTTCCAAAAAATTAACGCCGCTCCAGGGACGTAAATCCTTTACGCCCGTAAAGGGCATAATTTTAATGCCTTTGTTTCACCAGAGTATAATGCAATGAAGTACATCTACAACTATCTACCCACAAGAATTTCTTGTTAATAACTACAACTGCATACTGCCTAAAGTTTGATGCATGATGCGAAAAAATCACAACTTTTAAGTCCTCAGGGGCCTTATTTTCTCAGCATTGCTTAGCAATTGCCTATTTGACATTATGAGATATGATGAGAAATAGCCAGTGGACTGATACTGGAGGCCAGGCCACTTATCGAACAGTCACTGTATTTTCCTAAACAGCCGGTACGAAGGATAATTACCCTCGAGAAACTCGAACGTGAAACTGCCCGGTGACAGACTTTCCATCCAGTGATCTTTGATGTAGAGACGCTGCTGTTCGCGCGAGATGGGCAAAGTGACGACGGCTTCCGGTGCTTCTTGCAGCCAGAGGGACACAACCTCATCATGGCGAGAGAGCACTAGCAAGAAGGATGGGAGGAACTCCCTGTCGATCGAGGGGCTCTGAAAGAGGACAGACAACACATAGATGCAAGACATGAGTGTGCATTGTGCGTCCTGGCGCTCCTGCGATTCATTCCTTACAGTCCGTCCCGTACATGTGAAACGAGTATTTTCAAACCTTGATCGATTTTGCTTCACAAACGAAATCGCTTCAGCTAGACGAACAAAAACCCTGCCCATTATCCTGGAAGAAAAAAAAGACGAAGAGACAAGATATATTTTGTAACATGTGTGCACGTATTTGAGTTGTTGTCCTTTAAGGGGAGGTTCTGGTGAAAATCTTGCCATTTTCCAAATGGATCCTACAGTCATAATTTGTTCGGAATATAAAATTTTTCATTGGGGAGACTAAAATTTGACTTTTGAAGGTACATGCCTGTAGGCTGTAAACCCAGTCGAAGAGTCTTTTTGAGCCTGTAGAGGCTGTATCTTAAAAAATCTCCTTGCGCAAACTATTTTGTCGTAAAAGGTTGACCTCGACATTTTTCACTTCTTCGACTCATTTTCAAAAGATTCCGGCATGCATAGCTCGAAACTTCCATTATATTATTAATTATTAGCTTTTTAAGCTGAAAAGTCCCCAAAATTTGTCTGTTTTGTACATTTTTGATCAATTTTAGTGAAATGCTTGGTTAGAAAGCTTGCGAATATAAATGCAATTCACATTTTGAGATGGGCATGCCGGCATTTTAAAAAAATGAATCGAAGAAGTGAAAAATGTCTAAGCCAACCTATTACGACAAAATAGTATGCGCAAGAAGATTTTTAAAGTTATAGCCTAAATGGGACAAAAAGGCTCTGCGACAGGATTCAGGGCATAGAATGTGCCTCCCCAATGTAAAATTTTAATAAATACTTGATAAGACATCAAATTTTTAACAAATTTTCACAGTGGGACCTATTTAGGAGAAAATAGCATTTTCACCAGAACCTCCCCTTAAGTTGTTAAAAATAGGAAAAAATGTTGTGCTGTACTGTTGGACTCATGGCTTCCCGACGGCGACTACTCCTGAACGGCTCGGCCGATTCAACTGATATTTTGCAGGGCCATGAGTCATGCGGTTTGACCAGCGAACCCCGTCACTCCGTACTGCAAAGGAGGGTCTGAGGGCGGAGCCCCCCAGCTTAAATGTTAAAATCGAATGCTGAGCCGAAGGCAGGCCAGCCCCGCAGGCCATGGCAGGTGTAAACACCAGGCGTGGATAGACGAAACTGGCCGAGCTTAGCACGGGTACACCATGTGAGGGGGGGTATGGTTTTGGGGGCTTACCAACAAATGTCCTAGGGCGGTGCCCAAATGGTATAGATGCAATATTTGTAAAGGTCAAGAGTGAGCTTAGGAGAAAGAAAAAGCAGACTGCATCAAAGAAACAAATGCAGAAAAATGCAGCCACCAACAGAATGAAGCTACTCTACTGTTTGAAAAGGCAAAATATCACTATAAGAAAAACGGTTAACTGACACAGAACTTAGATACATTTTACATACTATGTAAGTTAAATCATTACTCAAAATTTACCCTCCTTTCCAACCACAGTTGAAATCAGCGAAACAAGAGCTGAGAGAGGCTTACAAAAATGTAGGATGCCTGAACGAAGCCAAGTGGAAGTCGCTGTACAGGACTTGCCACTCAACCTACAACTGGAAAAGAAAAGGGCCAAAAGGAAACCGATTTCGCCTCGAATGTATTAATGAAGCAATGCTGATGCCCATCAAGAGCCCAAAACTGTAAAAGCATGTAAGGACCAACAAAATCCTGGTTATACCTTGCAGAACAGACACATGCGCAAACTTCATCCTCGGTATGGCTACCAGAAAACCCTCTTCACCGTACTAAAACAATACCTATCAGATATGCACCCTGAAGCTCGACATGGTAAGTAGAAGAATGAATTTCCTTTGAAAAGAATGAAAGACCTCTTTTCAAAAATTCTAAAATTTCGTTGTTTTACTCATGCAGAGAAAAAAAGAGTTCAATTCGATGTGACTCAACTGATAAGAGATCATCGTTAGGAACTACTGCAATACCACAAGGATGGTTCAATGTGGGCTGAAGTTAAGCTGATGTTCATTTTCAACAGTCCCCTATCATCTCTCCAACGACCTGCTATGCTGCTGACCCACCTACCCAGTTATACAAGGTAGGTGTACGCCAGACCGTGTCTTGTCGTAACAGGCTTCGCGATGGGTTCTACGACGGTTCACATAAACTTTTTCGCCCAAAACCTGGATGCCCAAGTATTTTTTGCCGAAAATTTAAAATTTGTCATTTGACCTTAAAACGTTTCACCGCACAAAAAGTGCTTTGCCCAGTGTTGTCATTGTAGAGACGCCAGCCACCCACTGGTTAAACAAAGGAAAATTCACTCAGGAAATTGTCGGAGTGACAAATCCTGAGTCATTTTCGCGCACCTCTCAGTGATTTTCCCTGAGTGACCGTTTCTGAATGATGTATCCTGAGTGGCCTTTTTCTGAGTGTCTTTCTCTGAGTGAACCATCTCTGAGTGGCAGTTTTTTTGACTGTCGCCATATACATGCCGCCTACGCCCTTAAGTGGAGAAACATCCCCTAAAACCTGATTTCCGAAGAAAAAATTTAGATTTTGACTACTTTAGACTGTAATTTAGATAATATTGTTTGGACTTAAAAACATTCGGCAATGTGGGTTTCGGTGAAAAAGTTTAGGTGAAACGTCGTGATGCCTTCGCGATGCTGCGCCGGTTTCGACAATCCACGCCTGGCGTATACACCTGCCTTGGCCTGCGGCGCTAGCCTGCCTTCGGCAGGCTGCTTTGCTAAAGAGACTGTAGAAATGGGCGTGATCCCCTCAAAAACTGCGACTTAACTTTGGATTGGGGATCCGAATGGGTTCTATTTTCGTCATCAGCAGCCTTAACATAGAAAACGACATAAAACTTGACTAGAAGTTGGAAGTGCTTAAAAAGTTGTCTTTTTTCTGCCGTTTTTTGAGTGTTTTTTTGCTTAATATGACCGAATGGATGGATTGAGATAGAAAGCTGAATTTTGGTGTGTGGCGAGCCTAGAACATTCCTAATGACTCTGCAAAATCTCAAGCAGATCGGCCGAGCCGTTTCGGGGCAGTAGTGCGCACAGACACACGTACACGCAGACAGATAAAGTGTTTTAACCCCACTGGAGTAATTACGGTGTACAAATTTTTCGAAGATGTTCACCCCTTGCTGATGACCTCCGTTGTTTGCCAACAAGATGTTTGTAACCAGTTGTCAGTGTAGCGGATGGGTTTGATTTACCGCGCTCAGGAAGGAGATGCTAAAGCAGCCCTTAGCGCAGCTCTGACTCCAGTTGCCAGCATTACGTGTATCAATTTTGATTGCCGATGAAGTCTCAGACCTATCCGAGTCTCAGTGTCCCGCAGTAGTCACTTGTCAGATAGACCGGATTGTTTTCAGACGGAATTAATAGGTCGGAAAAATAATTAGCAACAAATTCGTCGTTTCTGAAGAAGAAAACTTGCTCATCAATAATTCGAGGGGTCCTATTCAAAAGATCTTATCTGGGCGTTCCCCCAAGACAATCTTATCTTAAACGCAGGTAATTTCACTTAGTTTGATCATTTGATACAGCTACATATCAATATAATTTGTGAGTATGTTCAAGTAAATCTTGAGATGGAAGATCAAAGAAACCAAAAGTGCATGTACACTCCCGACAAAAATTAGCGGAACGCTTTTTGTCATCGTAATATTTTCTAAGTCTTTCGAGCTAGGAAGCTGAAATTTTGCACACGGGTGCCCCTACTACTTCTCTCGAGGCCTGCGAAGTGCGTAGCCCGTGCGCCGCCCCTGACGGACGGCACCTACCCCTAAGTTCGCAGGAGTGAAAAAAACGATGAAAACGTGCCGTAAAAACCAACTTTATCTTATCGCAGAGGCCAAAGTTTTCGTGTACGAGGTCAAATGAGTCTGATTTCGGCTGGTTAGTCACTGTGGCATGTTGGGAGACATGCCCTGCGTACAGTGCTGAAGCGTAGTGACGCGCGGGCCAAAATCAGGCTCTCAAATGGCTTTTAATCATCCTGGCGCCAGGTGAGATGGCTTGCCTACCTGCACGGCGCATGGACCCGACGGGCCAGCGCGTCCGTTGCCGCCGAGTGCAGGCACATCGTTGCGTCGCTCCCACGGTCCCATGCTTTGTCGCATCAGTCTGAAACTTGGAGGCCTTTGAAATGAGGTCTGGGCCGAGTGTTGTGACGTTGGTTGGGACTGCTACCCCCACTCAGTGAGTCGCTGGAAGGGGGTGAAGTGAGGGGTGGTTTTTACTGGAAATGACGCTTTTTTCGCTCTGGAAGACGAACGGTTGGTGGGATCGTCTTGAAAACTTCAGGATCGCTTCCCCCATGTCTTGTTCGACCAGCCCGCTCGTCGGAGGGCTTCTAACCCCTCTAGGGGCGTGCAGGGGTGCAAGGGGGTGAACACCCCGACTGCAGGGGTTGCAGTCGTCCGGCAGCGCGTTTCTTCGCTGAGACGGCTTCTTGGACACTGGAGGAATGCCCCCTGGAGTTTTGGTGCATTTTGCTCAAACCGAAAGGCCCCGGACGGCCGGTGTTCGAAAGGGGGTGGGACTTTCCGGGGGATGATTCACCCGGGGGTGGTTGGAACGTCGAAAAAACATGATTGCTTGGTACGGGGGACGCCCCGACGCTGTTTTGCGCGAAATTCAAACATGCTCGAAATCCACCCCCTCGAGGGGGGGGGGGGTGAGTGCAGCCGGGGGTGGGTTGGTTCAAATTGAATTCCGCATGCATCGTTGGAAAGAGGAGACTCATTTGACCTCGTACACGAAAACTTTGGCCTCTGCGATAAGGTAAAGTTGGTTTTTACGGCACGTTTTCATCGTTTTTGGCCCGCCCTTCTATTCAAAAAATAGGGGGAGGGCCTATGCATTTGCCTTTGTGTCTGTGTGTTGTTGTTGTTGTTGTTGTTGTTGGCGTCTGTGTACAAGGAAGGAGTTGAGCTAGAGTAACCAGATTTGGAGGGTACTTCAGGAGTACCGTCCAAACAAATAATCCGGTGGTGCAAATCCCGTCCGGGTCGCACAAGGGCTGCTGCAGGTGCATCATGGTTACATGAGCGGGAGGGGGATTTCCGCCATTATTGGTGCTAGCAGGGCACATAGGGGTATTTTTGGAATCGGGGCGACGAGACAGGATGAATGGACCTGGTCCCGACCCCATCGGCCGCTTTTACAAGTTGGCCAGATCAGGATCTTCAAAAAAGGGGGTCGACCGACTAAAAAAAATTTATTGCAGGTTTCGATTGGTCTCAGCAAGACCTTTTCAACGAGGGGTCGGAAAGGGGGTCCAGGAGCCCGACTTCGTCTATTAGTCACATCAGGATCTTGAAAAAAGGGGGTCGACCGACTGAAAATTTTTACTTAAGTTTTGGATAGGTCTTGGCAAGACCTCTTCAACGAGGGGTCGGAAGGGGGGTCCAGGAGCCCGCCTTCATGAGTTATGGGAAAAAGTGCGACGGACTCGTTTTGCGCTCCTGCTGTGCCTCTATTGCAAGGAGTTGCAGTAGCATGGCAAATATGGGTATTTTCGGAATGAGGGCGAAGAGACAAATGAAACGGGCATATTCTAAGGACAGTTGGAGTAAAAAGTGTAAGGACCATTGCATATTGTGAATAGAAGGGAGGGCCTAAGTCACGATGGTACATCGATAACTTTGCTTTACCCGCTCACGGTGTGTGTGATGCGAGCGGGCCGAAGGCCCGGGCCTTGGACTGGCCAAGTTGGGTCTGATGCGAGGGCCGAAGGCCCGAGAAAAGGCCGCCGGCAGGCCAAGCTGGGCCGGCCCCCTGTCGAACCGAGTTGCCGGCGCAGCGAAGCGGAGCTGGCAACTCGGTTCGACGGAAGGGCGGGCCCTAGCTTGTTTTCACTCTTGCGAACTTAGGGGTAGGTGCCGTCCGTCAGGGGAGGCGCACGGGCTACGCACTTCGCAGGCCTCGAGAGAAGTAGTAGGGGCACCCGTGTGCAAAATTTCAGCTTCCTAGCTCGAAAGACTTAGAAAATATTACGATGACAAAAAGCGTTCCGCTAATTTTTGTCGGGAGTGTAGAAATATGTTTCGCTTACCGTCGTATTTATTCTGACTGATCAAAATGTGTGAAATTTACAGGCGTTTAAGATAAGATTGTCTTGAGGGGAACGCCCGCAGATAAGATCTTTTGAATAGGACCCCTCGAACTGTTGTCGAGGTTGGTATTTGTGTTATTTTCATGCAACAACCTTTTAAAATGTGCCCGTCGTTAAACTTCGGCGCACTCTACGATTCGTTTCTCAGCCTCATCGGGGAAAGGGGGGTGGGCTATACACCCCTGTTAAGTTTTGTACCACTTTTGGACGTAACTCAAGCCGTTTTCCTTGATGCTGGTTACCTTCGCCGTTTGGACGCCGCCGTAGCCATCCGCCCCGCAGTCGACAAAGTTCTTGAAGCTGATGCGGTGCTTTTCGGACACTCCCCACAGCTCCATCTTGTTACAGCCATGCTCGTCGCACATCATGAACCCCATCAGCACTGTGCTGCCGGTCACGTTCAGGCGCACCAACACCATCTCGCCTACAGCGACTGGGTCACCGCTCTGTCGACTGCACGACACTATCGAAACGAAAGCAAATAAAGATGACACAAAGAATCAAGCACCACGCACTAACTTGGTTCAAGGTCAATTAAAAAAAGAAACAATTGCAACTTAAGAAAGTGAAGTTTGTATTAGGCTGAAGCACCCTCGTTCCTGGAATGTGACATCACGTTGAAACGAATGTGTTACGTTCCTTTAAGCATTGTTACACTCGTTTGCACATGAAGAAGCTGATTTATGGCAGATTCACACCTAAACGAATGAGAAACAATGTTTAAAGGGATGTGGCATTTTGTCGCATTCGTCACGTGATGTCACGTTCCTGGAATGAGAGTGTGTAACGCAAAGCAACGAGCGCACATACAGTTCTTTCGTGACACCTTCAAAGTGTACCCTTTCAAAATTCAAACGACCAGAAGTTATCGCAACGCCCCTTTCAGGGGGGAGGGGGCATCCATATTCGGGTCAGACCCAAATAAGAATCACTAAAATCAATAAAATTTCAAAGCCCTGTAAATTTTGAAGTATTAGCTATTAAATGCTCATTTCTTGAGAGGTCTTTGTGGTAATCTCGGAATGAATCAAAGAAAATTAAGGTCATCGCTTGTTTGAGCCGAAATACAAGACATTTCTAAAAAGTGATCTACGTTTGGTAACCTTACCCCACTCCAGCGTAGCGCGTAAATGCCAGGAATGCTCCAGGTTGCGAATCCAAGCATGCTTCAAGATCGACCTAGCCGTACAGGAACAGTGCTGCATGCATACGGATAGGCAGGCAGTTCTTAGACACAGCTCGATAGAGTACGGTAATGACAAACCTCCCAAGACTGCGGTGACAAGAGTTACAAAAGTTCTGCACGTGAAGTTAGATCGACTCATGTTGCCGGCGGCTGAGTTCGTACTGCCGCACGCGTCGAACGATACCAAACCGCGCCGGCTTCGCCGCCTGCTCCACAGTATCGCCTAGGAACAGGAAAACAGCGCAGATTCTGTGGGGCACGGACTGAGGCGTATCAGGAGGCGGCCTTTGCGGCACTGCAAAAAATCAGTGTCCGATACGGAGCATGCCAAGGCGTTCCGTATACCCCCTGATACACTCTACAAAAAATGTCCTGTCAACGCCGTTAATTTATTACCAATGTTTGCTGTTATGCAATTCACGGCGTCTGCTGTGAACTAGTTCACGGCGTTCACTGTGATCTCGGTTACAGTGTTCACTGTGATCTGGCCACAGTAAACGCCGTGAATTGGAGCCTGATTTGCAGTCCTTCGGTGCTCAGCGGCGTCAAACTCACAGTGTTTACTGGGGACCAGATCACAGTGAACACCGCGAACAAGATCACAGTGAATCCCGTGAGCAGTTCACAGTAAACGCTGTGAATCGACCTACAGCGAAAACTGGTAATAAATTAACGGCATTAACAGGACATTTTTGGTAGAGTGTATGGTGATACGTACATCTGCCGTACCACTCCCCCCATAAGAGCCTGTGTTTTGTAAAGCGCGGAACGGAAATTTAACGGAAAATGTACCGCCAATTTTATACCGGAGGTTGCCGTTTCGGTTTTCCGTTTGTGAAAAAGTCCAAAATGCTCTACGGACCGTGAGGAACGGACGCTCCGTAACTCAAAGTTCTGTAACGGATAACGTGTAACGACCAGTCCGTATCCGGAGTGACCGGAGTAATATTTATAAGCACCAGACGGTGCGAACTTTTTCCGTACGACTATTAGCACCATCAGATGGTGCGAGTGACGTTTCGTTGTACATTCGCACCAATCCTGGTTCGAATAAACAGGGATTACCCAATTCGCACCAGTGGCGCACTTAAGACAGTGCAGTCTATTTGCACCACCGAAATGAAGAAACTGGTACAAATAATGGAGACTGACATTCTTAGCACCGTCGGAGTGCGCAACACACCCCTTACTATTCGCACCACCTCTGGGTGGGGGGAAGGATATGACTTAAAGTGCGAATAGTACACATAACAATCCTATTCGCACCACCACCTCCAGTGTTTCTGCTTAGGCGGTGGCTAGAAGTATGGAACTTCTTTTCACTGGGCACCTTTTAGTTTTGTTTAGCATGAGCATACAGTATTTAATAGATTGGTGTCTTTGGAGCCGTTTACTTTTAAAATGGACAAGGGAAAGAGAGCTGTGTATCGTTCGTGCACTGCCAACATCCAATGCCAATGCCCGCCAATGCCAATTGTGTTTACAAACCAGGCCCTAGGGGTAGGTTGGGTAAGGAAAGTACACTCGTGGCTCGGGTAAGAAAAGAACACCCGTTATATCTCCGGACTGAAACTACACTGAACCATCACGTTAGTGCTTTTAGAAAGATTGGTCATCCCGCTGACAAAAAATAAATTAAGGCCAGTTCTACTTATAATATTTAGAATCAAACTGCACGTTTGACAAAAAACATTAAGAATAACTTTGAATTTTTTTTTTTAATGTATGTACTTTTAAGTACGGCTTCCTGCAGAATCAGCCGACAGTCCAATGTAAGGTATCCCCTTATAGGTTAGACCATCGTCTTCGAAAAAACAGTGCCGTTCAATGCTCTTGGGCTTCGACACAATTTTTTATAAGTGTAAAAATGAAATGGGAAAGAAAAGTACAGTCGGCTGGGGAAGAAAAGTACAGGCATTGGAGAAGAAAAGAACACCCTCTAAGAAACTAAAAGCGGGATGAAAATTGAATTGATCACGGAAATAGATTTTTGCGAGACAAGCAATAAATGTCAAAAAATGGTGTTCTTGAAGCGCTTATGTTGTAGTGATCAGAATCCGCTTCTAGAAATCACTTTTATCGCTTCTTCTCACCTTGTGCCCAAAATTATTTCTCAAAATGCGTTAATATCAGCGGCTTTTAGAAGCACATCTGGAGCCTTGTTACATTCGCACTACACTCTTGTCTATGCATATTTGATCCAGGAAGCGGAAGAAGGGAATAACTTGACTTATCCCCAAATTGAGTTTTAATTTTATTATTGTGCCTTAGAATGGTTTACATCATTACACCAAATTATTTGACTGAATTCCAAGCAGTTTAGGAGAAAATCCGCATGGAAAAAGGGTATAACTCTACTTAACCCCTTTTACAGTCTAAATTTCATTGGAAAATGGAGATAACTCAACCTTAGTCTACATGAGTCCGTTTGACAAATTGGCAAAAGGATACAACTCAACTTGTGTTTTTATGGATCTAGTGTAAAAAGAATCAACTCAACTTAACCCCCACTTAATTTTAAATTTCAATTTGGAAAAAAGAGCTAAGTCCAAAAAATACACCAGAGTAACATACACTTTATGCAGACTATTGTTCCTTTTGACTTGTCTCCAAATTCCTCTTTGTTTAGAAAATATAAGGTGAGCTGACTCTGTTTTCCATTTCAACGGAAAGTGATAAGTCGCAGAAATCCTCTTCGGAGTGACCTTACACTTTTGATTTTTTTTCCAAAATTTTACTAATGCTTTTTGAAATTATTAACATCTGCAACATTCATTTGTTTTGTTTTAGTTTTCCCTGCTAACAGATTTTGGTTTCTCCTGAAAAATGGCCAAAATTGAGTTATCCCCTTCTTCCGCTTCCTGGATCATTTTGTCCATGCTTTTCCGCGTTCTGTTATTGCCCCCTGCAGCATCCTATCTGTTACTATATTTGGTTTCTGATCTGTTCAGGAGGATCGAGATTTTTACGTTGGACAAAGGTTCAGAAGCTCAAAACACTCGTGTAAATCTTGTCAGGATGTCAGAGACCTGTCTAAAAACCTGATCAAAATTCACGCACCTCTGAAAGCTGAAAACATCTACATACAGTCTGCAGAACTCAAACCGTCAATATCAGAGTAAGTTTTCAGAATTTCAGCTTTCAGAGGTGGGCGAATTTTGATCAGGATTTCAGACATGTTTCTGACATTCTGACAAAATTTACACGAGTGAAGTCATTAATGAGCGTGTAGAGCGTGCAGCAGTCCAACAATTTCCCGAAGTACTAATGATGGATTCCACCTACAAAATTAATAAAAACCAGATGCCTGTACGTGTGATTGAGGTAATGGATGGAGAAGGCTGAAGCCAGGTTGTAGCGTATGTCATTCTTGGCGGTGAAACAAAGCAATTGATGACAGACATGATGCTTCATTTTGTCGAAGTTAGTAGGGGGAAGAGGTCTTTGAAAAGACAAAAGCCGCTGTGGTCGACAAAGACTTCTCTGAGATAGGTGCATTGAGAGCAGTATTGCCTAATTCCAAAGTTCACATCTGTGGTGTGCATACAGAAAGAGATGTTAAGAAGAATGCCTCAAGTGATCCAAATACAAAAGGTTCCGAGAAATGTTGTATGCTGAAAATGAAGAGGAGTTTCAGAAAAGCGATAAAGAATTTGCCTCCATTGCGGGCACAAAACTTCTTGATTATATCCGAGACAATTGGCTGAACTCAAAAGAGGCCTGGAGCCTCTAAGATCGAGCCCTGGTTACAACTTTTAGAATCCACTCAACATACAGAGTTGCGTCTGGGAATCAAAAGTTTAAGTTGGTAAGTATGATGATCTATTTTTAACATCAACAAAGCAGAAAGAAATTCAATAATAATTTATCTCCTTAGGTCCTTGATCCTGATACTCCGCTCTATGAGTCGGTGGACATTCTTGGAACCGCCACTGCTTAACAGCACGTTTATGCAACGGCGTTCGTCAATCAATTTGGATCTGTAATTGTAAAGAAGCACAGAAAGTAATGACACAAATAATTCAAACACCTACCGTAGAAGGGGTAATATGAGACCAGTTTTCGAGGTTTTTAATGAATTTTCCCCTTTCAATTTGAGGTGCTGAGGTGTTCATCACTGACCCTTTGGCTACAATCAATTTGATATGTTTTTAAGTTCAAACCAAAATTTCAAGCCAATGGAGGACTTCGGGCTAAAGAAGAAGAGGAGGAAGACCGGATGTCGCGGCGGCGGCCCATAACAAAACCTCATTAGTTTTCCCCCTCCACTCGAAGCAGCCGACGGCGGCGGCCATGCTTGTGTTCGAATCGGCGTCCGGTAAATGTTTTACATCTGCTCGTTTTAATCGCGGAAAAAAATTATTTATGATGGTTTTTTAAGACAATCCTTACCAGTCAGATATATATTTTGTATTTTTGAGTCTCGGATGTGTATTTTTCAGTGTCGGATATATGATTGGATTAGTTAATTGGCTTCGCCCAACGAACTAAAAATTAAATAAAATAAAATGGCGGAGCCATATGGAGCGACACCCAGTGTGGACAGCGGGGTTTGCGAGTCGGGATGACGGGATCCCGTGGCAGGGTAGGCAACTTTTCTTGTGATGTCGCAAAAACATTTGTCAGCAATAATCGAGAAAGTGCAAATAAATGAAACTGTATGAACACTCAGAAAGTTGTGTCTGCTTTTTCTAAAATGTTCTGTACGTAAAAGCTGCTTTGAAAGGCGTAGAAACGGTTCGGAGTTCATACGAAATGTTGGTCAACCTGGTTTCATAAAGTATTAATGTCGGGTGCATTTGGAAGGAAAGGATGACGAATGTCGGGTGGACCAAACAATTCGAAAGAACAACAAATAGAACCAATGAATTGAATTGAATGTATTCCGACGCTGGCGTCATGAAGACGATTTAGAAGGCGAAGCCCTTGGAATGAATATTCCTAACTAGTACTACGAATTAGTAGGGGTGTTGTGAGGTTATTATGAGGCATTTTGAAACATGGCACATCGAAATGGCTATTTCTATGTCTATTATGATGCAAGTTTGTACATCGAATGAATGAAACGTCTCTTCAAATTGCATCAATTACAGTTGATTTGAAGTTGATGGTACTTATCGTTTATTTGCAGGATGCCAAAGACACTGGCTTAGAAAATCCAGGGCTCAACATATGCTATTTAAATTTATGCCTCCAGTTGTTGTTTAGTACTTCCTTGAGTCAATTCATTGCCAAGAGGTCATTCCGACACTTTGCTAATGAAGATAGCAATTACAATGGTGACATTGTTTCATCATTAGCAAGCAATTTAAGCAATTTGTCTTGTGGCAAGCAGTCTTATTTTTGCCAAGATTTTTTGGTACCTGAAGTCTCAAATGAAATTTACTTAAAACCCCACATGATTGAACATTTATCAGTTGGTTATTTGTTGTTTAAATTTGCAGAATACTGTTGCGAAGTACTGGAGTTCATATGAACACAAACGGACCCAAGACTGTCAAGAGTTCATGGCATTCCTGCTGTACGCTATTGCGGATGAAGTTCAGGTTTGAATTTCCTTCTGTAATGTGAATGCTACAAATTGTATAAATAAATTTATTTGTTGCAATGTTTTTCTTTTCCTTCCCTCCAACACAGAAAGAAAGTCCAATTTTATTAGTTGACCCAAGTAGTCTCACCATGAAGCAGTTGTTAGAACTGCGTTGGTCACAATACACGAAGAAAGTCCAATAGGGTATTCCGATGGAACTGAACCGGAACCCCGCCGGGCGGTTTCCGGTCGGGTGAGGCCTGGAAGTATGAGAAATCGCGCTGGCGGTTAACGAGCGCGCCGCCATGTTGAATTCGAATTCGTTGTTATTGTTTCTCTCTTCAAAGAAGACTGGCCTTGTGATTTAAGTTATCGGGGCGGTAAATTAATATTGTTATAATACTATTTTCAATTAAGGTAAGTTTTAAGAGCTTCAGAAGACATTTCTATAGACGTGACATTGTTCGCGAGCCCGTCCGGACGCGGGAAGTCCTGAAATATGTGTAGTTCACAGTTGCCTTAACCCTACGGTGTTGTTGCTTTTCTTTATCAGATTTTATGCTTTTTTGTTAAAACTTGGAAACAGCTTGAATAAAACTCGACTCCAAATAAATGTCACAATTGTAATATGTATTGATCAAATGATGTCATACTAATATTCATATGAAGATTAATGAATTATTTTGTCTGTTACGAGGATTGTTCTCAGCGCCCTGCAATGGCATCCAGGCAGGAGCCTATTCCTGAAGGATGGGAACCTGTCAGTGGTCACCACCACCATGCAGGTCTCATCAATATTAATGAGACATGCTATCAAAATAGTGTTTTGCAGGTATTTATCTAGTCTCGAGTAGGTGTCTAACATCACTTGCGCGTTTGTTTTGGATATGGTGTATTTATGATGCTGCTTGTTAATTTGTCTAGGCCTTGTTCCATATCCCTGCTTTCATTACAATATTGACTGTTGAGGGGCCTCAGTGCAAGAAAAATCCTTGCACCTCTTTACTGTGTGCTGTGTACAGCGTGTTTTGCGAAATGAAGAAAAACAAAACTGTCAGTCCAACTGCAATCACGTCTCTGTACCCTTGTGAGTACCGTTATGACTTTTCTTGCTGTTAATTTAGTTATTGAATTAGCTGTTTATTAAATGTGGGTGTTTCAGTGCACTTCAAGCTGTTCCAATTGGGCAGGCAGGAGGATGCCCATGAGTTTTTGGTCCAGTTTGTCGAAATAATATCCAGTGAACTGCAAAGTAGGATCCTGCAGCGATTGGAAGGTGACCCTGCAGTGGACATCATACCTGCAACTTACAGGTGTTTTGGTGGATTGCTGGGATTGACAGGTGAAGACAACTAATGTGGTGTCACTTTTAATTCCTGGAATTGAAACCTGTTAAACTGTATTATTTGTGTATCTTTTGCAGGAATTTGTTCATGCAAGTCCATCCATGAGGTGGATGATTTTTATTTGCACTTATTTATGCCCCTGTCTCATGATACTAATTCCATTCAGAGAGGTATTGAACAATTACTAAACGAAACAGAGGATGTGCTCCATGACTGTGAGGCGTGCAAAAAGAAAATGGCTATATTTCACAATAGTGTAAAAGTGAAATACTATCCCCAATATCTTGTTGTAAATTTGAAGAGGTACACTTGTTTGTCTGGAGGTTGCCTTTCTTTAAATGTTCCTTACAAGCTTAATGTGTAATTGATTGTGCAACAGGTTCAATTTCCAAAAGAATCTTAATTCTTCTAAAATTATGCAAGAAGTGTGTGTCCCACTTAAACTGAAGGTGGGTTCTGCAGCATACCGATTTTCAAGTGGTGTCCTTCACACAGGACCAAGTATGCGCAGTGGCCATTATATTGGCATTGCATTGTGCCCTGATGGGACTATAACTTTATTTAATGATTCAGCAGTAAGTTCCTTGCTCACAGTCACTGTTCAAGTCTACATCGTGCCTGTCATTACAAATATGTAATCCTTTTAAGGTTTGGCCAAATTATCCTGGTGGTCTGAGTGGATTTATGGTGAAGAGATCAATATATATAGCAATTTATGAGCTGCAGAAAATTGAGGCATGTATTCATATCCTTGATTCCATGGCTCATCACCTTTTTCGAAAATTAATGTGTTGGGTGATGCTGTCTAATAGGTAACTGCAAATGGCAATGCATCAGAGGCACAAGTAGAACCACCATCAGTTCCAGAACCCAAGCCAGTCCCTGTGCCAAGGCCTGCACAGCCTCAGTCACTGCTCAGGAACAAAAGGCCTGTGCCGATAACACCAACCAAGAGAAGTCCCCCACCTAAAAGGACTGTGAGGCCACCAGAGAAGTTGTTCTCCCCTAGCATGTATGACACGAAACCATCACAAACACAACCTTCTGAGAAAGTCGTCAAGTCTTTATTCACACCAAAGGTACCTCCACTTACAGTGAAAACTTCAAAGGGGGAAGAGCCAAAGGTGAGGTCAAGGGTTTAAATTTTTATCTCATTTATTGATCAATATTGTTGTCACTTTATGACAAAATAGTGGATGTCATTTGCACCACTCTTTAAATACTACAATATAATCACAAACTGATGACATTTATCCTTAATGCACGTGCATGTTACAACCGTGTCATCAATTGTTTTGATGACATTCTTGTATGGAAAGTTAGCCTTGAAATTTTCAGTCTACACTGCCTTCTTTCTGCTAAGAACATTTTAATAATGATGGACTAAAGATGTTCCATTGTCAGAACACTGTGGAATACATTCCCGAGAGAAAATTATAGGCTGCAGATTGGCTGCAGGCTGGCTCCCTCCAGGTTGCTTACAACGCGCGGATGGAACTCGGATGGCTGCAGACATTGGCTGTATTCGGACATACGTCAGCCAAAATACAGCCATCCGCAGCCGGTGCAGCGTCTCTGGCTGCACCTGCCAGCCACTGAAGTGTCCCTTTGGAGCCCAGTCAGCGCTGCCCCCGCTGCTGTAGGCTGCACCCCGTAGCCTTCAGGATGCGCCAGACAGCCTTCCTTCGCGAGCCACGCTGCCCCCAGCAGCCACGAGGCTGCGAGGCACTGCTCTAGACTGCACCCCGCAGCCTTCAGGATGCCCCAGGCAGCCTTCCTTCGCCCGGGCCACGCTCCCCCGGAAGCCTGGAGGCTGTGAGGCGCTGCTGTAGGCTGCACCCCGCAGCCTTCAGGATGCTCCAGGAAGCCTTCTTTCGCCCGGCCCACGCTGCCCCCGGCAGCTATGAAGCTGTGGGTCAGAGCCACATCTTGGCCGCATCCTGCAGCCTCGTGGATGCCATCGGCAGCATCCATATCGCTACGAGGCTTCACTCCTTAGTTCATGAAGGTCCCCATGAGGACCTTTGAGGGTCCCTGTTACGCCCTTTGAAGTTCTATGGAGCCCTTTGTAGATTTTCTAGGGTCCGAACACCGTTCCGGATCCAAATCTGGTAAGTAATTTCATGTAGGACTTACCGTTCCCGAGATATCAAAGATAACAAAAAAGTTTCCCGATTTTTACGAAACTTGCATGGCTTATGTATGTTAACGTATTCAACTCAAATATCAGCATACCACGCACCCAGTCTATTTTTTTTCTATTTTTTATAGCCCTTTAATCAAGGAATTCGACCGTTGCCTGAATACCGCCAGCATCCACCATGCCGCAATCCGTAGCCTTCAGCCATTGCAGCCTACATGGCTGTTTAGTCCTGCCGTAGCCCGGCTGCATCCGACAGCCAACACGCTGCGACGCGCAGCCTACAGCCATTGCAGCCTACGTGGCTGGAAAGTGCAGCCGCGGCCAGGCTGCCGCTAGCAGCCAGCACGCTGCGACGCGCAGTGCGCAGCCTACAGCCATTGCAGCCCGCGTGGCTGTAAAATCCAGCCGCGGCCCGGCTGGCGCCAGCAGCCAACACGCTGCTACGCGCAGCCTACAGCCGTGGCAGCCTACATGGCTGTAACGTCTAGCCACGGCCCGGCTGGCGCCAGCAGCCAACACGCTGCGACGCGCAGCCTACAGCCATTGCAGCTAAGTTGGCTGTGCGTGGCAGCGTTTATAGGCTGCTTAGGGCAGCCAAAAGGCTTCTGTGCGCAGCTTCTGAAGCGTTTCACAGCCAAAGCGCTCCGTAAAACAGCCAGACCAGCCACTGCAGCGTGGATGGCTGCAAGTCCAGGATGTCGCTTTGGCTGCGACATGGCTGCAACGCAGCCATGGCAGCTATGCATACAGCCAAAAAACGGTCCATACAGCCATGCGTCAGCCGTGCGTCAGCCTTTCTGCAGCCTTCTATTTTTACTCGGGTTAGCATTGGAATTTTTTGAATTTACCAGCATTTTGATTTCTATTTACTGTCAAGTTTAAATTTCGACGGGTGGCACATCGACCACATTGGTACCACTGCCATTGGTAGTCCCCTGAGCCACAACTTCACAACACTACTTCTTTTCTTTCTCCACACTCTTACACAATAATCAAATTGACTTCGTGACTCCTAGGATTTCTTGAAATCGTATTTTTTGGTCTCACTTCCCTACCAATTCCCGTTTCCTCGTTCTGGCCAGAACAAAAATGTGGCAAAATACGAGGCGGCATTTTCTCGTACCGCAGTTTTGGCCCGCCCGATACGAGAACGCGTGTTCTCGTATGGCAGCAAACGTGTTTAAGCAGAGTTTCGCACGCTGTACCAGTAAAGAAAAGGGCTTATTTTAATTTTATTGCGCTAATTAAGTGTTTACTATGCACATTTAATCGAAGTGCATGAATATCGTGAAAAATACGTTTCGGACAAGTGTGCGTACATCATGTGAGCCCATCTCGGAACTGTTTCGTGTCACCCATAAACATATTTCCAGCAGAATAAAGTATTTTGAGTAACAAAAACAAAAATTAAAGAGCATACCCAAAAATCTAAATAGCACGTATAAGTTATATCTCAAAACATGTCATATTTTAATGTTGAACCAACATAAGAAGTCTTGAAGATTTGAGTCCATTACGAACAAGGTAGGTCCATACTTTACGGGACCTTTATGTGTGAACTTTACTGTGTACAAGGCTGCACAAAAGTCTCCGTAATTTACAAACACGGTATCCGTAAGGACTTCAGTGTGTCAAACAGCCCCTTATTGAGTTTTTCGTTTCTGTCTCGGAGGCTGCTTTGGAGACACGAGGCGGAGGACCTTCTTGAGGGCGGCGACGAAGACCAGCAGCACGGCGGCCGCGGCGGCCAGGAACACGCCCACCACGTCCAGCAGCAGGTACTGGTGCAGCGGCAGGTCGGCGCCCAGAGGACGGAGGTGGCGCGCTCCCTGGTTTCTCACCACGTACTCCGTCCACCACACTGCCTCGCGCGCGGCGCTGCGGGGTCGGTCCGCGAACCGCGCCGCGATCTCCTTGGCACGCTCCCGGTACCTGAGGGCATTGCTGACGATTGTAGTGTGAAGAAACGTGTACACTCTACACAGTAAAAACTCTACGAAGAATTACTTCGTATTACGAAGAAAATGAAGGAGTCTACGAGTCTACGAAGAAATGCTTCGTAATTGTGAAGCAAAATCTTTCCAAATACGAAGCATTTCTTTTTAATAGTACAAAGAGATTCCACAATACTTTTATTTTATTTTCACTTATGAAGCAAGTGCTCCGTAGGCTTTTAAGGCTGTATATTTGAACGCTAAAAACCTTACGAAGTGTTTTAAGCATGCATACATAAACTCTGTTCTGCGAAGAAATAGTTCGTAAATTACGACGTATTTTCTTTGTAAGCTTATGTATGCTCTACATACTTGGTTTTAACAAGCTGCTCTCTTTTGTGAGGCGTGAATTAGGTTGTAAGGTTTTCATAGTGAGCTAATTTATTTAATACGTGCAACGCCTTCCCATGACCCTCTCCAATTTTGACCAAAAAATTTTTTCTGAGATGCCCTTATGGTAAGAAAAAACATCCTAAAATATTAGGTCGCTAAAAAATTTATTGGCCGAGAAAACCAATGTTTTCTAAATTTGCCACTTTTTTTAAGGGAGGGTGGGGCACCATGACCACCCCCCTCGCTCTCAGGAACTACTTTGCCGACGGCAACCGGTCGACCGGACTTTCGAGAGAATAGAATTCTAACTATGTTCAGCCAGAGCCCTACCTTCTAGCTTCAAGGGTACGACCATAGCACCTCGCCAAAATTTTTGTTACAGCGTTTTGGCTAAATTGGGCGTTTTTCAAATCTGAGATAATTTTTCTCACTCGCACATTTGAGGAGATAAGTTCGATGTCTTAGGTTTTTCTCAAAATGTCGGCTCTCCGGCAAAATATCCAACATTACATTTAAGTCTAAGTAGCTTTTTGCTTGCTCGGGGAGCCTAAGAGTCGTAAACTGCATTGTGGGGAGCCATGACCACTTTTTAGTGGGGCACCATGACCATACATATTTGAGTGTTTTTTCTCATATTTTGGCCTGATAATGATTCATTTTCGTCGAAAATTTGCTTTTGTTTCTGAAAATGTATAAGGTTTGAATAATTGCTGCAGAATAGATAGTTTTATCACAAATCGTGAATCACCAGGAAGATTAAGGTTACTGTAAAGTGAAAAAATGTGAAATATCATTTTATAAAATAATTGTGGCATTATGTTTGTATTTAGGTTTCACGTTGCTTACTATAAGATGAACTTAAACCCAAAGTTGAGGCACTCAACTCCCATTATTTTCTGAGTTATTGAAGTTTACGTAACAAATTTAGTCGTTTACTAAAAATTCTCCTTGCGATGAACCAAAAGTTGTCGAGACTTGATTTTTGTTTTACAAGTTCTTTATTGATTTGCCTATCTTGTAGCAAAGCCGGATTTCCAAAATTCCAACATGAAACAGGAATTTTTCTCAAAAAACACAAAAAAACACCTAAAAATACCAAAATTTTACCAAATTTAAGTAAAAAATTCAAAACGCATTTTTCAAACAGAATTTACAGCTTATCTATGCATATATTGTCGAATCCGGCTTTGCTAGTCTGTTTGCATGTCCATTGGGCCTCAAAATAAAAAATCACACCTCCGTAAACTTTTTGGTTCATCGCAAGGAGAATTTTTAGTAAACGACTAAAATAACACTAAAACCCTCATAACTTTGGAACTAATGGGAGTTGGGAGTCCAGTCTGTGGCTGTATAAGTTTTTCATAGTAAGCAACTAAATCACTAAAAACCAAAGCACTGCCACCTATACTTTGGAAGATAGTTTTTTCACCTTACAGTAACCTTAAGAATGGTTCTGAAACTGAGACTTGAAATGGTAGTTTCTCTTGCACTAAATGAGCTCCAAACCGCAAAAGTTGGCCGCGAAGGCGATCCGTGGCTACTTTGCACCAAGATGGCTCTGGCATTATGAGAAACAGCATTTAATTCGATTGTTTGCAGTGTAGTAACCGCGATAATTTTCTTAAAATTTACCAAATTGAAATCTGCATACGAATTTGGATTCGTCTTAGCAAGACAAACATAAAATGTTAACACATGTCACAGCTTTGGATGTGAAATTTGAAAGCCTTAGAGCCTTAACTGTTTTAAACCGTCCATTTTAAGGCATCTTAGAACGTTTGATACTTAGAAGGTTTTTACAGTGTTTTTTAGTTAAGTTGACTGGCCTGATGGTAAGGACAGCGATAGAAACAATTTCAATGAGAATACTGGTAGAAAGTACACTTTTTTGGGCCAAAAAATTACTATGGTCATGGTGCCCCACGGGGTGGTCATGGTACCCCATAGGTGGGGCGCCATGACCACTTTGCGTTTTATTTTCCAAAATGTTCTGTGAGCCTGCCGTGCATTGCAGACAAGTTCCAATGGGTGGAAGAGGTCCAAAGAATCCCCTCATGCTGGAAACTTAACTTTTCGAACCACACGGTGGAGTAGAGGGAGGCACAAAAAAAAGTGGTCATGGTTCCCCACCCTCCCTTACTTAATTTGGGAGTTTCTTTACTACTGTGAGGTTTTTGGTGCTAAGTGACTGAAAATTGGTATTCTTATGTAAAATTGCCGAAGGAACAAGAATATGTATATTCTTGTTCCTTCGGCAATTTTACATACCCGTAAGTACGCTTCCAGTTTCAGCGTACTTACAGGTATGCTCCAATAAGAGCGTACTATGTACACTGTTCAGTTTGCAGAGCATTTCCCCTGAAATAACGGTGAACACTGTGGCAAAAAGGTACGGACAATTCTGTTAATTTTTTTGCCAGAATTCTCCGTAGCCCTCTTATCAATATTCGCCGTAGGCTCTTACAGTATTTTCCGTAGGGCCGCACAGTATTCTCTGTAAGTCCGCACAGTCTTCTCCGTAGGACATGGAAGACTGTATAGTCCTACGGAGATCACTGTAAGGTCCTACGGAGAATACTGTGCGGTCCTACAGAAAATACTGTAAGAGCCTACGGAGAATATTGATAAGGGGGCTACGGAGAATTACCACAAGCTGTTTACAGAATATTCCGTAGCTTTTTGCCACAGTGAAATAACGCGAAATTGCGTGAAATGACACGAAATATCGTGAAATAATGTGAATTTGAAATAATGGTGTACAAATTTTAGCGAAGTTGTTTGCACCTCGGTTTAGACGAATGGGAAAAAACATCACGTTTCTTTGAGCAACGTGTCACTTTCGTTTAAGTGTGAATAATTTATTAAGTTTATTTAGGACTGATTCACGTAATGTGACACAATGCTCAAAGGCGCGTTATATTTTGTCACATTCGTCTCAACGAGACGTCATGTTCCCGGAATGAGGGTGAATGCGTTTCATGAGAAAAGTCATGCCACTAGTCAGCGTGACGGAGAGGTCACGCCGAAAATTCTCGCCTGTCCCACTCTACCGAAGAGGTCCGACGGCCTACTGTACTTACTTGTTGGATGTGGTGAACTCGCGGATGGTGGCCAGCACAGTGTCCTTGCTGATGTGCCGGTGGCTCAGCTCCCGGGCGATGCCCAGTTCCGCGTACTGAAGGATGTTGGGGCCCTGGTCCGCGAAGATGGGGATGCCGATCATGGGGACGCCCAGCGACAGCGCCTCGGTGGTGCCCATGAGTCCGCCGTGCGTCATGAAGACGAGCACTTTGGGATGGGCTGGAGGCAATGTTCGTTCATTTCATTCAAGGACACTGTGGTTCAAGGAGTGCGACGCAATCGTTACACACTCTTAGAAGCCTGCGAAGCATTTGCTTTATAACTACAGAGAAAATCGAGGGGGCAAAAACTCGGGATTTTCGTGTTCACATGATTCGGAAAACGCAATGATTCGCATGATTCGCTTAATTCACGTGATTTTGAATAATTTGCGTGATTTTGTCTGATTTGAAAAATGTTATCTTGATTGCGCGTGATTGTGTGTAATTGTGTGTAATTGCGCATGGTTTTAATTGATTTCATGGCTGATTCTGCCTTATTTCGCGACGCACCAGGGGGATGGAGAGTAAGATTGTGTGTGATTGTGTTCGGAAAGAAATGATTTCGGACTGATTTTGCCTGGTTTTGTGTTATTCTGCCTGATTTCGGATTGCTTGATTTCTCGCGATTCTCAATGATTCGCGCGTGATTTTGAGGGCCGTGTATTGTGCACATGATTGCGCGAGTTTTTGCTTCCTCGAAGAAAATGAAGGCTTTGTAGAATTGCATCGTATTATGAAGAAGTGCTTCGTATTACGGAGGATTTTACTCCATGCTTACTAAATGTTTTTGTACAAATTTTGTACATGACATCACATTTTTGGCCCGTCCCGTTTATTTTTTGTAAAAAAATGACGGAGGGACGGGCATATAGTATGATGCATGCTGTGCGTCCGTTCGTTCGTTCGTTCGTTCGTTCGTCCGTTCGTTCGTCCGAGGACTTCCCGTGGTCCGATCTTGACCAAATTTGGTATGCAGCCTCCTTGGGTGACCCTAAGAACCGCCCGGTGGCAGCAAATCCGATCCGAGCCCCGGGGGCGCTGCTGCAGGTGCATCATGGTCTACATGGGGTCGAGGAGGATCTCGGCAACGGATGCAGCTAGGAGGGCATGTAGGGGTATTTTTGGAATCGGGGCGACGAGAGAAAACCAATGGTGCCAGTTTCGAGCAAATCGGAGAAGTTTGGACCCGGGTTCAAATCCCAGCGGGGTATTTTTGGAACATTCTTTTTTTTCGAGTTTTTGCATTGTTTCTGACGTTTTTGAGGGTGCTGATGACGAAAACGACATTTATTTTAACCCCAGACTCAGATTTAATTCCCGTCAGGGTCAAACATAGGAGAAATTCGTACGTTTCTCAACACTAGAAGCGCCGAACGGGCCAATTTGACCCATTTTGAGTTTTGAACTGTAATTTCAACTTTTCAAAATGAAAGTGGCAGCCCCCTAATTTCTGACTTTTCCTAGAATGATGAAATGCGTCTAAATTCGAAATCTGGACGTTCTCGGACCATATTTGACCGAGATAAATTGACTTTTACCGTAAAGCGCCAAGCGGGCCAGATTGACCCACACGGCATTTTGACCACATTTTCGCGTTTCTACACAACGTAACGAGCTATGAACTGATTCTTCACCACTGAAAATAACTCACGTCATATTAGGAATGCGTTAGGTCCGCGTTTATAACGAAGTAGGCAACCCGCAATACATTTTCTGGCTGGAGACATCGTGCAGCTTCCTTTGACGTAAACTGCCAATGTCTTAGGCATTTTGGGTAACCCGATTGACTTCTAAACGCCCTAGGGTGTCTCTCGAACACTGAGGCGCTAGTCTACCTTCAGTGGCACTCATAGCACGCCCAGCCCGAATCCTTGGGACAAAGAACTCTATCACTTACTTGATAAATAAAATGCCGAGGTCCACTTTGTTGCTCTCGTGTCTAGTATTTCAAGGTAATTCACTTGCCTCCGTACATTTTAACAAGTTCGGCAACAATTAATTCCCTAGATGTCTGTACAAGCCGGTCACGACGATGGACGACACGGAAACCCATCTCAGGGATACAGCAGGAGCAAAACTGGTTAGGACAGATCACGGAATGCTAGTTGACGAACGGACGCAAATTAGAACCTACTACGCGCTTTGCTGGTTGTGGCGAGTTTATTGAGTACCCGAAGGTGTTTACACATGTCTCTTACATTCCAGCCTTTTTAGCACACACTGAATCGAGCACTCAATCCTCCTTACTATGAGCTCTCCGTTGCTATGAATCCTGGTTTCCGGGCATGCCTTGCAGCTATGCTTTGAAGGTTTGGCCAGGTCTTAATGGTCTCCGGTTCAGTAATTTGATCAAAGGTCACTATCTCGATCACAAGACGATTACAATTATGCCATCTATTATCATCAAAAACGTTTCGGCAACGAGGCACAGTAGAAAACACTAAGAACAGCAAATCATGGTTTGCGGGTTGCCTACCTCGTCCCCTGCGACCCCTGTGCACCAAATTTTATCCTTTGACTTGCTAAGGGTCTACAAATCCGTTTTAGGTTCCCTTTGAGTCGAAATGATGGTTCAAGAGTTGACATGTACGACGAAAATGCCCTTGGGTCAAATTGGCCCGCTCGGCGCTTTACGGTAATCCGAAAACCCGGCGCTTCTAGTGTTAATGTACGGGACGGGCCAAAGTTGCCGATGTATATCGCTACTTTTCCTGTTATTTGTGGGACACGAACTTCTCGTAGGAATTTGTACGCGGTTTCGTACAAAAAATATACGAAAAGTTCGTCTGCACAATAATTTGTGATGTCTCGTACAAAATTGTACATAAAATTTCGTGGGTGATACGAAGCATTTCTTTGTAGATTTTACAATGCCTTATTCGTTTTACGAAGCAATTCTTCGCGAGGGGTTACCCACTCGTTACTTTGGTGTACACACGATTCCGGATACCCACGATTCCCGAACTAATCCCATGAGAAAAGTGAAAATTGTCAGAAGATTTCCTTTGTTTTTGAGTGTTTTGTGTCACTATTACAAGAAAAATATGACTTTCCATTAAAAATTTACGTGTGTTCGATAAAATTTTGAAAGAATTTCGAATGATTTCCGGACTAACTGTACACACGATTCCCGAAGTGGGTAACCCCTCGAATTCTTCGTCAAGTTTTTAAGCACTGTGCACTCTCTCTCAGACTCTCGCTGAGTTTTTCTTGACGTGTCGTCTGTCCCGGCAATATGCTTTGTCACGTTGATGACTATCTAGACCTTGACAAGGCTCAAGTGGCGGAGGGGCTTGGCCTACGCCGCAGGGCGTGACATATGCCTTACGTGAAGTGCAATGCGCGTAATATTGAGCAAAGCATAAGGAGCTGTCAGCGTGCAGCAGTACGAACAAAATGTCATGTACAATTTTGTACGACACATCACAAGGTTTCTTTTTGTTGTGCACGCGAACGTTTCACACAATTTTTGTACGAAAAACTGGACTTATTTACCCTTGTACGAACGCGCGAACAATTTTGAACGAAAGGTTCGTGTGCACAAAAAACTGTGATGCCTCGTACAAAATTTGCACAAACACATTTAGGCTATACATCAGTGTAGGAAGTCGACACCTTGTGTCGAGGAGCTGTATTCAAAACCCTTATCGTGCCGTTTCCGCATGAAACTGAATTGTATGCATACGAAATTTGTTCCCTTGCACACAAAGAAGCCTACGAGGCGTTGCAGAATTGCTTCCTTTTATGAAGAAATGCTTAGAGTTACGAAGGATTTTGCTTCATAATACGAGGCATTTCAAAATTTTACAATGATTTCAGTTTTTTCGTATTACGAAGCGATTCTTCGTAGAGTATCTTTTTCCGTGCTTGGTTACAGAGTGACGAAGGAGCTCGCGAAGGAGGAAGGAGGAAGATCCTGTCCTGCTTCCTCTTGAGGTGCACTGTTATTTGAAGGATGTGACGTCATATTCGTAGAGAGTGAATTTGGCAAGAGGTCCCCAACCGGCGAAAGTCAGTGAACGCGGGTAAAAAAAGGCATTAATAAAGTCTTTTGAAGTCAAAAAGTCACAAAAGTCAAAGAGGAACAGAAAAACCAGTATTAAGTCACAAACAGGTAACGAAACAGCCTTTAAAAATTCTAACAGTCAGTGAACGCTGTCAGTAATAGTCGTTCAAAAGTCAAAAAGTTCCAAGGCAAAACAGTCGCAAAAAGTAAAAAAAAGATAAACAAAACGTGAAAAAATAACCAAGAAGTCACAAAAAAGTCGAAAAGTTGCTTTTGACTTCACGTCAGTGTACACTCGCCGGCTCGGTTGGGGATCCCTTGGCATTTTGTCACGTCCTTTGCAAATTGATGTTACACGCGTTAAATTGCCCACCGAGGACGTCGCTCTGCGGTAGCCACGGCGCAATCTTGACGTTGGGCGGCGGCTGCAGGATGGCGTCCTCGTACTTCCAGAGCACGCGCTGCGGCAGCGCGGCGAAGGCCGCCAGCAGGGCCTCGATGGTGGCCTTGGGCAGCGAATCGGAGCGCACCTGCGAGCCCAGCGAGAAGTAGACGACGCCGTGCTCCGCGTCGTCCATCCACTGCCGGATCGCCTGCGCACCAGCATGCCCGTTAGACCGATGCGAGGGAGCCCTCGCACAGTGGGATGAAACGCGAAAAAAGTGGTTATAATTGAAGGAACCTCCAAATCAACGCCAAAATGTCTAATCGGGGTTATTCGATGGTAAAAAAACTCATTTCCGTCAAAATCTAGAAAAATTTCTTTGGGATGTTACGCCAGAAGCAAGAACCCACACCTAATGTTCTCACCAACCATGCCCTATGGCACCAGCAAGCCTTCGGAAACCTTCTTTGCCAACCATCGGAATTCAAACCGAAGTGTTCGCAAGTCGAGGCAGCATTTGTCAATTTGCTATAGCCCTGGAGACGAGCCAACGCCGAAAAAATGCTTCATCGAAGCTAGCCGCAAAGTGGGACAAAATGCGAAAAAAGTGGTCAGAATTAAAGGAGCCTCCAAATCATCGCCCAAATCTCCAATCGGGGTTATTCGAAGGTAGAGAACTCATTTCTGTCAAAGTCTAGGAAAACTTCTTTCGGATGTTACGCCAGTTCCAACAACCCACACGTGACGTTCTCACCAACCATGTCACGTGGCACCCGCTAGCCATCGGCAACCTTCTTTGCCAACCATCGGTATTCAGACCGAAGTGTTTGCAGGTCGTGGTACCATTCGTCAGTTTAATTTAGGCCTGGAGGCTCACCAACGCCGAAAAAATAATTCATCAAAACTAGTTTGCGAGGCACTTTTGACACCGTTTCTCTCCGAAGGGGCCGCGATGTGCGGCGATTGGTGATATGAGCCGGAAAGGGGGCCGGCTACTCTACCGCCGACACAAGGCGGAATAGTTCGCAAATGTTCGCAACTCAACTTATCGCTCCTTTAGAGTTGAAAAATCATTATTATGCAATACTTTTAACAGCGTGTTACTTTTAACCCGAAGACAAAATGGAAAATCAAAGGCAAACGCCCGATTTGTCAGGTCACCAGCTTCCCAAAAACATACAAAATGTTACTTTTATCTTAAGGATGCGACCGCCAGAAGAAATAACATTCACGTGTTGGAATGGATGCACGAAAATCTGAAAATGTGTGAAGTTTAGAGCTCCGTAGGGGCTCACCCGCGTGTCATATTGTAAATCCAATTAGTGTTCTGGATAGCCCAGGCCTTCCTTTTCAACATCCGAAAGGTTGAAGGTCCCACAACTTAGTTTTAAAAATACCACTTCTGGCCACTTTTTTCGCGTTTCGTCCCACTGTGCCTCGCCTCGCCGGGGGACAACCGCTCTGTAAACTGCAGAGTGTACTCAGAACACTCTACTCACCGCGGTCTCACACTGTGGCAAAAAGGTACGGAAAATCCTGTTAATTTTTTTGCCAGGATTCTCCGTAGCCCTCTTATCAATATTCTCCGTAGGCTCTTACAGTATTCTCCGTAGGGCCGCACAGTATTCTCTGTAAATCCGCACAGTCTTCTCCGTAGGACCTCGAAGACTGTATAGTCCTACGGAGATCACTGTGCGGTCCTACAGAAAATACTGTAAGAGCCTACGGAGAATATTGATAAGGGGCCTACGGAGAATTACCACAAGCTGTTTACAGAATTTTCCGTAGCTTTTTGCCACAGTGCAGTACACTCTCTTCAGAGTGTACGCACGAGTACACTCAGAGTGCGTACACACATCGACTCAGATGAGATGCACACGCCTATACTGCCAGGCGTGCTTGTGTGACTTCATCTAAGCCTCGATCTATGCCCACTTCCCAACCTGTTCTCACCCAAGTGCTCTGCCATTGAAATGTACTGAGTACAATTGTAAGTTTGCAAAGCACTCGATAAGGCCAGTGTTCACTGAAGCGCCAAAAGTCGTTTGAAATCCAAAATTCTTTTCCCAGAAATAAAGAAAAAATCTAGCTAATATCGGGCTGTAGCTGGAAGTTGTGTCCCCGCGGAATCTTCCAGGGATCCTCCCTTAAAAAGGTATCATAACGCAACTGTAAGCGTTTCAGTTATAACCCGCAACTTATTACTTCTTTTAGAAAGGATTGGAAGTACCTGCAACATTCCCCCTAACCTTTAGGGGACAATGTTGTTCAAAACAGTGTACACTGGTAGCCAACGAATGTGACGTCATATTCGTTGGAGTGTAAATTTTGTCGATGTCACATTCGTTTGAACGTGACTCGGCCGTTTAAGTAGGGTGTCACATTCGTTTGAGCATGGATCAACATTCGAACGAATATGACGCCGCATTCGTTGGCTTCCAGTGTAGTTATATGTTATGTTTAGCTGCTCATCTTGCCCGCACCGAGGGGATGTTGTTGACGCTGGGCTTGTCCCTGAGGTGGATGCCCAGCACCTCGATGACGTTGGGGTTGACTGGTCGCGCCGGGTTGACGCTCACGTGCCCGTTGACCATGACGAGGCTGGTGTTCCGGACGAGCTCGGAGATAGGCGGCGTGTCCTCGCCGAAGAGCTCGCGAAGTACTTCGTCGCTGGGGTATTGGAGCCACCACTGAAAATACAGAACAACCAATGTAATAGAGACAAAAATGTTATTTCACACGCTTTAAACCTTAGGAAGTGTTCCGAGCATAACCAATACAAACTAATTTACTTTGTTGTACGAAGAAAAAACTCGTAAATTAAGGATTATTTCCTTTGTAAGCTGATGTATGCTTAAAATATTTTGTTTATAACTAGCTGCTGTTTTTTGTAAGGCCAAAAACAGTTTGTTAAGTTTTCTTAGCACAAGCGCGATGATTACCGTAGGCCGGGGTAATATGAGACAATTTCGGGGTAATATGAGACGCATGATTTTTATCGTTAGAGTTGTAATGCTCGTGGCATTTGATGACTTATCCTTGTCAGACTTCACGGCGAAAAATGTTACCAACAAAGAGTAATTAATTTTTTAGAGCAGTGGCTCTCTTTGTGGCCGAATAGCGAGCTCAGATTGAATCTTGCGCAAACCAAACTCCGTCTCATATTACCCCGAAATTGTCTCATATTACCCCGGCTTGCGTTAACTGCTTGTAATGGCAGTTACAATTTTTATTGTTTTATTAGCGTCATGAAAAAGTCAGGGATCTTTAACATAACTTAACATTTAACTAACACTGCTTTCATAACGTAACATAAGACAATGTTTGCTAAAGGTTAGGGGACGGACTTATGAAAGTACTTGCAAAAGTATATCTACACAAATTCGAGACATAAAAAAATATCCTACCCTTTTGAAAAGATTTTAGAAGTTAAGGGTAATAACATAAACTCTTATGATAACGTTATGATGCCCTTATGAGGTAAGTTAAGGATCCCTGGAAAAAGTTTATTGCGGTTTTCGTGCAAAACAATTGCAATGGATGAATGAATGTTATCAAAATGTGATAACCTGGGCCAAAACAGGACAAAACGAAGCTATCCGTTGCAGGGAGAAATTACCAGAAATCTTCTTAGAGTTTCTAAGGTACGATCAATATGAGACCTGAGATCTGGTCTTCTGGCTCACTCTAAAATTCTTGGAAGGGAGATTTTCTTTATTATAATGAAAATTACTTTTTCTATCATACAGCTGACTTTGTAACTCACCTTACACACTTTAAAGTACCTTGAAGACTTTCCGTCAGATTTCTATTGTATTGAAGAGAATATCTCCATCACACTTCTTTGCTGCAACCTTCACGGTAAGACTTCATGAGTCGCAAATTTTAGACCTGGTGAGTTTTGATCACTTCAGGAAGTCGTAGTGCTAACGAAGCAGTGCATCAATCAACTCACTGACCTTGTCAAGCCACATGCTTGTGAGGAGAGCAAGGACGTTGCGGCACCGCTCCCACAGACCCATCTTGCCGACGAGCGGCTCGAAGGGCGTAACAAGATACGACGGATTGTTGACGGACCCAACCCTGTCGTGAATTTGGGTAAAGTCTGGTTGCGTTGCAATGCTGATGAGTGGAAGCTAAGGACAACAACAAGAATCCACTTTAAATAAATGATATTTTGAAGTGAAAAGAAAGGAGCATTCGGAAGTGAAAAGGAAGGATCATTCAACATTACTTTCGATACTTGTCTCAGACGAATAAATGTTTGAGTAAAAGTTCCTGCATAATATTTTAACATATTCCCGAAAAGAGGGGTGCCCATTTCGTTTTAGTTTCTGAGTCAGTTATTAACGTTAACTTTTGATCGTTCCTCTGAAATTATCCTCACGACATTCTCATGATTCTGGCAAAAAAATCTCTTTTGCAACGGGAAATAAGACAGTATCGCCCTTTATCTTCTTTAAGTTTCCTCAAACAGCAAAAATAGGACCAACATGCAATAAAATATCTAGAATTCGAAGGGAATAGGGCAAAGTTACCTAACATGGATCACTTTTAAGAAACGTCCTGTATTTCGGCTGAAGCAAGCGTTGACCCCAATTTTATTCGATACACTCCGAGATTACTACAAAGACAACCTCATTTCGAGAACTGAACATTAAAAAGCAAATACTTTGAAATTTTCGGGGCTTAGAAATTTCACTGATTTTAGTGATCCACACAAGTCCACATTTGGGTCTGACTCAACATAATCCCCCGCCACCTTTCGCGTTTTGGTAGGGGCATTCCGATAAGTAGCGACCGTCGAAATTCTAGTAGGGTACACTCGAAAATTGCCACGGGTGCCACGAAAATTTCTTGAGACATTCATGATGAATGGATTCTTTGTTGTAAGGGAAGTTGCCAAGATTGTGGGTCCTTTTAGCTCCTAAAAAACTTCCAAAAAATTTCGTTTTAATTTTTTAAACAATTTTTCCTGTATTCCAGTGGTTGTTCTAAACGCGTTTCCGAGGTAGGCAGAATTTTCTCTCACTTTGATTTCCCCCCTTTACTTTAACGTGGGAAGATGGCACGGAAGTTACCGAAAATGTGCATGGCACGGAAGTAATAATGTTTCCGAATATTTAAAGCTACCCTTTGCGCGTACCGCATCGAACAGGCGTCAAGCTCAAAATTTCGGCGTACCAAGTACGGGCCCGATGGGCCAAAATCGTTTGGACAGCCAGTCCCAGAGCTACTGGTGACACGGAATGCTACACGTCAATATGGTACAAAATCCTTTTTTCAGCTTTTGAGGAAGATTATGCCGAAACCCGTCTTCCAATCAAAAAACGGCGCCTACCAATTGAAAGAGGAAGTCATTCTGCGCCTTTTGAGCTTTAACACCCAAAACTTTGGCCAATTGGCGAATTCCTAACCTTACCTAAAACCAGGCCGTTTTCAGACCCTTTCTCAGAGGATCCTTTTATTTTCTCACCATAAGGCTAACGGTTAGATTGATTAGCTCCTCGCGCGTGATTCTAGCAGTCAAAAGTGCAGACTACATGAAAAACTTGGTCCATTGGTTTGGCGGTACGGACTTGCTGACAAAAATGGTCTATGATTGGTACCCTGGTCCATGTTCGGCACTTTACCTTTAGAAAAGCACCTAAAATAGCTTTTACAGCCTATACGGGGCTTGCATTTCCGACTGAGCCAGAGCTATCTGTTTGCTATGTTTTTTGAAGGTTCTATTGCCAGAATCCGAATTCCGGGAAAACATCGTCCTTTGGTGAGAGGAAATTAGGAGTAGGTCAGCGATTTTCAACCTTCCGCTCGCGACCCCAAATGGGGTCGCAAAAATTTTTTGAGGAGTTGCGGCGAGGTGGCTGAGGTCGCCTGGGGTCGCTGCAGTTTCCCGGATGGCCTACAGGCTGATCACTCCCGCGAACATAAATTTGCGGAAACTGGAAAATCCACAGCCTGTTTGTCGCTGCACAGATAATTGAAGGCCTGCAAGCGCTGTGAACAAGCGGGAAAATCCGTCTCGAAAGTATAGGATTAACTCTTTGGGAGAAAGGAGGCCGCGATATTACTCTGTAGCGATGTAATAGTCGCATCGTTGGGGAGCTGAGTGAGGCGAGAATATCTTTATTTCCTATTTCTTCAATATTTCCGCATTTTTTCCGATTTCTTTGGAAATTTTCGGCAAAGTTGAATCATCGAGTCGAAAAGGGTTGAGAACCGCTGGAGAAGGTGCATTTAAACCGAAATGAACCTCCTGTCATGTGTGTTAAGATTCTTATGGACTTTTTGTCCGTAACTTTAGCCATATTTGAAAATACGACAGTCAGGTTTAAATTTGTTCAAAAGTAAGATATATAATTTTATGAATACTTAAGCACAATAGGGAATATTTTTCCTCATTAATAGCTTGCGTATGTACCAATATGGCCATTATTATGCGCAATAAAAGTGTAGGACATTAGTATTAGGCTAGCTCACCTGCAGTTTGTGGGCAACCACGGTCCAGCAGTCAGAGCAGCATATTTCAGTGAACACGACGTCGAATTTGCCGTATGCACCCCTGATGATGTCCTGGAACTGCTTCATCTCGAACACTTTGCGGCAGAGGTTAGCCCCTCCCCTATCCCGGATCATGTCAAACAAGCCCTTCCTGGACAGGTCAGACATGTCGTTGAACGTCATCGAGTTGACCATCGACGGTAGCTCGGCTGAGATGTCCACATCGGTGTAGTTGGCGCGGGGTGTCTTGAGGGGGAAGGGGCTAAGATCGACCACCTCGTGGCCACTGTCAACCAGCGCCTGCATCGTGGCCTGGAGCACCGAAACAATCCGTTGAATGGTTGGTTACATTTGCTCTAGAAACTGAACAGAGCGCATGGTATGCTCTTCCTGGGAGTCAACCACCAAGCACGCTCCCGCCCCATCCTGGAGTGTGCTTGCAAGCACACGCTACACCGAGGAGCATATGCTTGCCAAGCACGCTCCACAGTGTAGCGTGCTTGGCGCGCATGCTCCTCGGTTAGTATACTCGTGCTGCGTCGCTATTACAAGGCCTCCTATCAACGAAGAGACACGCTTTCATCCTGGAGCGTGCTTTGGAGCATGCTCCAACGTGGAGCGTGCTTGCAAAGCATGCTCCTGGGTAGAGCGTGCTTGCAGGCACTCTTTAGGATGGAGCGTGCTTTGTGGTTGACTTCCTGGGAGAGCATGCCATGCACACTCTTCAGTTTGTAGAGTGCTCGGCTCGTTGAGAGCTCCACTCACTCAGCCTCTCACAGCCTTAACCGTCAGTAACCAGGAACTATTGGCTACAACAGTAATATGGAGTTATTTCTTCTGAGAAACGTTCAGTTCACTGCATAAAATTACGGATTTGTTTTTTGTCAACAAGTTTTTAAAAAGTGTAAACTCTTACTGCTTCGGTAAGTTTGAGTATCAAAGAGAAACAGGGTGAAATTGGGACAACTGTTTCCTGCAAAGGGTTTGACATTGTGAAACATGCTAAACTCAAGCAATAGCAAATGTTTATGGGTCATTCCATGATGGTTCGACATACTTTCGCAAGTGATCTCTCTAATTTCGATGAAACTTTGCGAGCTTGTTGGCTATGGTCTGAAACCCCTCAAAACCAATTTTGAGCAGAAAATACCGACTTTCGAAAAGGTATGGCTTGCGTTAGAAATTTTGTTTTTTGTTACAGACCTTTTTTGAATGCTGTCGTTTCTTCAAAAATGAAGCTAGAGAGCTAATTCTGGGCTCATTCGAAAGGTATTGAATTGTCCTTAAAGCCTGTTGCAACATTTTGACAAAAAATTTCGAATTTGCCAAAAATTGAACGAAGTCAAACAGTCAACAACATGCTTCATCCAAACATCTTGAATTCGGAAAAGTCACCCCCTTGGACCCACCCCGTTTTTGAGATCACCAGGAGCGGATCAAGAGGGGTGCCTTTTCAGAATTCAGAATTTTTGGATGTTGCATGCCGTGACATATTTTAGGGGACGGAGATAACTTATCTTGAACGATCCTGAATGCAAGTTACCTCCAAAGCTGAAACATCGAAATTCGGAAAAGTCATCCTCTTTGACCCACCCCGTTATTGAAATTCCCAGGGGCAGAGCAAGAGGGGTAACTTTTCCGAATTCCGGATGTTTGGATGACGCATGTTGATTCCTACGTTTACAGGCACTGCAATTGCAAAGGCGATACTAAAGTACATTTTTTGGCGATACAATTGAGTATCGCCAATAAACGGCCTTACGGAAAAGTATTGCCTTTAGAACGGCGATACACAGAAGTATCGCCAAAATTTGACGATACAGAAGTCACAAAATTTGGCGATACTTTTGGGTATTGCCAAAACCACGGCATTAAACAAGGGTCTTGTCCCCTTGATTTGTTCGACGTTTATTGCCAAATCGTAGCAATACTCCAAAGTATCGCCAAATTTTGGCAATACTTTTGTGTATCGCCGTTTTGAAGGCAATACTTTTCCGTAAGGCCGTTTATGGGCGATACTCAATTGTATCGCCAAAAAAAGGTACTAAAAGTATTGCCGTTGGATTTACAGGGGGGTGTAGGTAACAACACAAGCTTTACTTTTAGGAATGGACCCAAGATGTTCACATTTGGGGGATTTTTGATCTTCTATTTGCACATTGAAAAATTTTGATCACATCAATTATAAATACCTGGATATCACTGAGTCACTCTCTCTTGATAGGGGGTCGTCCAAATCCTACATAATCACCTAGGGGGGAGGTAGAGCTGAGGCGTACGCCTGGTTACAGAGGGGGGGGGGAGGGGGTCACCGTCCTGATTACGTCATCAATTTTTCTTGTTCAGTCTATTCAATTTTGTTGACCTTAACATGTATGGAAATATGGAAATACTGCAGTATTGCGCAGTAGATACACCGACACCGCACGCACTTTCTCATCCTCCAAAGACACAGTAAGGAAAGGAATATGCGCAATAATCATTTCGCTAAGAAGCTCTTTGGCAAGACGCGCTATAAGAGCGCTATAAAACGAATATGATATCCTAATTGTACGTGATATTCCACATGCAATGTTATACTTTTGGGGCTCTGACGTGGAGCCTCTAAAGTAGACATTTACCCTACGCTACTCACATACCTTGAACATGATATTGTGGCTGCGTGATTGTACCGGAAATATGCCTAAGATTCGATAGGCCTCTGCGGAAGGGACTGCAGGTGACACGGCCAGCCATCCCAAGACTGCAAATAACGTGTTTGATGGCATGATGCTAGCGGCCAAGTGGAGGTCTGCTCGGGCGCAGTTTCGACCAGCTACTTTTAGGCCAAGGTCACTTGATAAGCGGCACTTCCCACTCCCCCCCCCTCCTCTCTCTCTCTCTCTCTCTCTCTCTCTCTGGCAGCTTACTGGGCCCGGTCGCTGTCGTGTGCGAGAGAGACACAGACATAGGATTCGGCGCTGGCCCGCTTCGCTTGCCGGTCCGAGCAACCAGCAGCGCCGACGCTGGCTTGCCCGGGCCAGCCAGCGGCCGGGCCGAGCCTAGCCACACCCTCCCCGCCCCCCTTGCCCTGGCGTTCACTGGTTGAGAACAGCTCGTCTGCTCGGCGTCCATCCGCCGCCAGCCTGCTCCAACCGGCCGGAGCGCTGTGGCGCTCGCCAGCACGGCCGGGGCTAGCTGGGCGTGCTTACTGAACATTTATTTGCGATTTTTGGCATTTTATTTCGTCAACGGCTGGAAATAAAAAGTTATGCAAAGATTAACTTAAATTCAAAACCAATTTTAAATTCCGGTTACCCTGTGCATAACTTTTTGACCTTTTGTCGTTGACGAGGTAAAGGCACTCAAAATCTCAATAAATGTGAAGTTAACACGCCCTGGGGGCTGGTAGCAGCGAACGAACTGCTCCCACTATCGCTTTCGCGCGACAGCGATCGAGTTGGCACTGCTCACTAAAAAGTTTCAGGCTGATTAACTCCCAGTGGTGGGGATGACTCCGGGACAGAACGAAGGACCCAGAAGAGGGACAAAACGAGGAGTTTGACTGAATATATTAACAGGCACCAATATATACCCCCATATATCAACCACGTATAGCGCAAGATAATTTGCAATGTATTGAGCAAGATACAATTATATTGACAATGCATGAAACATATAAGGAGTCATATATTGACACATATTTTCCATATATTTTCCTTTTTGCAAGGGCGTTGTGTAAGTCTACCATGGAACGCCTCTACTCCAATGCAGAAAGCCTGAAACGCTTCATGCTGAGGTGGAAGCCCATCTTTGCTTCCATGAAAAGTAGGATTGCCGTGAGGAACAGGTGAGAGAAAAGCTGCAAACTTCTCAAACATGCTCTTATTCATTATGTGCTGGCGTAACGTTACGCTGGCTGAACCCCCCTTCCCCGCCTTTCCTTCTTTTGGGACCACCTTTAGGGGCAAACTTGTCAGTTTTATTGTGCTGCATCAAAACAGAACGGTAAATATTACCTCAACTACTCAGTACCCTATTGTTAACGTTTCATTAATTAAATAAACAACGTTTACGCATCAATACAAAGAAACAATCCGCGTTAAAGCCGTAATGCTGGTCCCCCCCCCCTCTATTGGCTATATTATATATAACTATATAATTATTATAACTATTATCTAATAACTATTGGCCCTTAGTTATCGATGTTTCGAAATAAAAAAACGCACTATCGCCTTACAGTCACTGAGGAGAGGGATTGGAGAGGGCTTTAGTGGATAATAGGGTACTTTCGTAGAATCCTGAACCGGAAGCAAGCAGACCAGCAGACGCCAAATTGGCCGGAAACTAACCTCTCTTCGGATCCAAAACTATAGCCGAGCTGTACAAATATTGCTCGCGAAACACATATGCACTTCAAACAAGTATCAAACAACTGTTTATGTTCAAGTGTGGCCGATACCTTTGACGAACGTCTCTTTCCCATGTCAAGTTTGGATCTACTTCCGCCAACATGGCGTCTGTGTGCTTCCGGTTCAGGGATCTACGAAAGTACCCTATTGCACTTCATGACACGTCACTTGTATCAATATTTCCCGTTACTCAAATTGTAAATATTTTCTCGAGCTCTTGGCAGTTTTTGTTTGTCTGTTTCTGACAAACCCACATCTGGAAGTAGATGCTAACCCAGACAAGTTTCAGAAACTTAGTCCGCCGAATCTGCGATCCCCTGAACACTTTTCAAAGGACACAGTGAGAAAAAAGTACGGTAAAAGTACGGAACATGTCTGGTCAATAATTTGCCTGGACCGTCCGTATTTGCCAACTAGAGTACGGGACAACTTTTCTTGGCACCACGGTGGGGTGGGCCCGTACAGTCTCTTCAGCGATGAACCGAGGTCCAGGGTGTCATGCTGCCCCGAGACGAGGGCGGGATCGCCTACCTGCCTGCCCCAGAGGACGCCCCCCGCCGTCCAGTCCCAGTTCAAATACTCAATTTGGCGGGGATTGAAAATTCAACCAATTGAGCGATATATTCGGAATCCTTGTGATCTGCTGAGGAAAGTGATATAAAAATTATCTCGATTCCACTAATTTCTTCAGTTGTAGTTCGAATAAAGAATACCGTTCAAACACGATTTTCTCCCGAACGGAACATCGTAGAATTGAAATTCAAACTGTGTCTTGTCCGTGAAATCGTGACGGAGACAATGACATGCAGCATCAAACTTCAAGGCCATTAAAAAAGATTTTAGTAAAATTGATCCTATTTCTATTGAGGCCTTTTCTTCTGAGAATGAGGGTCGCTCGTCGCCTGGTCGGGTCCCCCATCCCCAGGCGGTCCCGCCCCCTCAGTGCATGGCGATGAGGCAAAGATGAGGTGGACTGTACCGACTGTACAAAAGTAAAGCAGTTCCGGGGCCTCATTCCTATGGGCACGCATATGGACACGCACTGCACTGGCCGAAAACATTTTGGGTGTGACATCCCCGGCTGCTGCCAAGAAAAGTTGTCCCGTACTCTACGTAACGTTCCGTACTTTTTTCCGTACCCATTTACATGGGTTCATATGGAGCAAGTACGGAACGTTCCGTACTTTTCTCCGTACCTCCGTACCATATTTTTCTGTACCATTTCCGTACTAAAGTACGGATTTTTTTACAGTGGACACCTAGCGTATCCGATCGAAAACACCTAGGATTAATTTCCCGGTCACTATATATGGCTTGAGGCCCACGGACACTGGTGAAACTAAAGCGTAGTAGTACCCACTTCTACATCCCTGGCCGATATAGGCTCGACCTAAGGCCTCAAATGAAGAATACTCAATGTCTCTCTATTAATACCCTGTTTACGCTTGAATCCAAGCGTTAACAGTTCTGATCCGCAAAGATATCACCTATCTAAATGATCTGTGTACTTTCTAGTCTGCGCTTCATTTCAAGCGTAGACACTAATTTTTCGTGTACTTTTTCATGCACACTTATGCATGCAGAGAAACTAACGTAAGGTGTATAATCTTTTGCATCTCTGTGAGCACTTAATGCTGTAAGATGCATACTATGTACACAGTGATGCATAATATTATACACAACTTACGTAGGTATCTGTGTATGGTTAACTATGCTTAAAAAGTGCATTATTATGCATTTGAAAAGCCCACTAGAGTTTAGTGTGTAACGTCTTCAAGCGCAACTTGACTCGAGCATAGTGTCACGGTTTAGTTTTACAAGTGTAGTACTGTATACTCCATTGAAGGCAATTTAGTTGGAGGAGCGGATAATCTTGGGATTATTCTCTGTTAAAAATGAATGAAATTTAATGACATTTGTGACATCATTTTTCATTAAACGTCATTATTTTTAATTACATCTCCACATTCATTACATTGTAATGAAAATTTTATTACCTCGGTCATAAAGTTTAATGACATTAGCCATGTAATGAAACTTTCATTACATTATGCAGCTTGTCATGAAATTTTCATTACACGTCATTAAATTTTTCAAAAATATTTAAGCACGACTGAATTTTTTGGATCTGTCCAGGATCTAAGTTAAGCTTACTCAAACTAATTTAGCCTTCTATTGGCCGCCAACATCAATTTTTCTCGTACAGTCGTCCATTACGGCGTCATATGCCAAACCTGTCATTCGCAAGTCTGCCGCTAGGTGTCGCATGGTACCCGGATGGATCACTCTCAACTCTGTATTTCGTATTAAAATATTAAAACGTGAGGAGATATTCTGAAATGTATCCGTGGTTCATGTGAAGTGCTGGATTGTTAAACTATTGCAATCTGAACAGCTTGTACCTGACGCACGCTCTCATTATTTCGCCAGGTTGTGAGCGTCGTGCTCGTCTCTTCGCAGATGGAGTGTTCTGTGTGCTTCGAGCAGTTCGACTCGGTGGTCCGCCGGCCGAAGATGCTCGCCTGCGGCCATTCGTTCTGCCTGCCGTGCCTGCAGCGACTGACTCCGAAGCGGTGTCCCCTGGACAACAAGGTGAGAGAGGCTCGGTGCACTCCAATTATTTGTGTACACAGCCGTGCCTGACGGGACAGCGTGGCTCACGGGAAGAAAAAGTGTGGATAGTGCAACAAAAGTACAGCAAAAACTCTAAAGTTCAACAGGGATCGACAGGATTTGTGGGAAGTAAAACGAGAATTGTACAAACCACAACGAGGCCTGGACTGCACAGCACTCTTCATGCCTGTTCCATTGTACGTTGTATACCAGTAATTTGTGTACTTTTGTTGGGGTTATTTCTTGCAGTGCCTACTGCGAGAAAAAAGTACAGAACATGTCTGGTCATCAATTTGCCAGGACCGTCCCTACTATGGAACTTCCGTATACTATTTTTCCGTACCCGATTGCATGAGTTCTTATGGCACAAGTACGGACGCTCTGTACTTTTTTCCGTACTTCCGTACCATTTTCGTCTGCACATCTTCCGTACAGAATTACGTAATTTTTTACAGGGGCTAACGCGAGGCTAACGTCACCCAATGTCCTTTTTCATTCATATTGTTCGCCAAGTTTTTTCAGTTCACTGTAAATCCACGCGCTGTTTTCTTAGATGAGTTTTATATATTTTTGTAGCCTTTCCAGACGCCGCCGACGGAAATGGTGGACAACTTCAGCCTGCTGCATGCAAGCAACAAGTAAGTAAAAGTCTGAATGATTTTGTAAACATGCGCTGTTTGAGAAGACGGGGTACTCGTCGGTAGTTGTCTGACATAAAAGGATAAAGTAAAGTAAACTTAATTCAATTAGAGAGTTGTAGTCACACTAGATATACATCACAGAAACAGTTTACCCTTCATCTCAGAAACAGTTCGCACTATCAAATCTAGGTGGGTGGACAGGAAATGCAATCTTTGATTTTATAATTTTCTCTTTCAATTGGGTGTTTTTTATCTCGACGTTCATTTCAAAAGAAAGAAGAAAAGTCCGGTCTTGGTACACGACCGTGTTCATCGTTTCTACCGTAAAAAGCATACCCGTTAGGACATTTAATGCTCTAGTGAGTTCTGTCATCGAGCTACTTTTCGAAGTCACAGCTCCTCAGGTGCCAGCCAAGGTTTGATTAAGAAAAGTCAGGGCTAGTTAGTATAAACATGTCGTATGAATTTTTTATCTCTTACTAAAACCTTAAGTTCTTCGAAAAAATTTAAAGATTTTCTACGCCGATGCTTTTTTTAGGTAACGCACTATTATTTTATTTTGTCTCTTATGACATGGAACTCGACAATATGCTTTAGCTTTAACTTGTGGGAACATTGCCGTCAACATTGAGAATGAATGGGTCACCACCATCACCCTTTAAATGGGCGATGCAACTTCGTTGCCCAATTTTGGGTGACGAAAAATTCATCACCCAAAATTTGGTAACAGGCGTTTGGTCGCCCAAATTTGGGTAACGCCGTCGACGACGTCGTAAGGTCCCCGATGACGTCCTTCCGGGGCCACCACGATGACCGGAGGCCTAAACGCCACATTGGGTCATCGTGGTGGCCCCGGAAGAGCATCATCGGGGACCTCACGGCGTCGTCGACGGCGTTACCCAAATTTGGGCGACGATTTTATGACTGCCCAAAATTTGGTCACCGCTGGCTCGTCACCCAAATTTGGGCGACGATGCGTGCGTTACCCAATAAAAGGGCGATGGTGGTGACTCTTTCATTCTCAGTCAAGTTTTAAGAGTTTTAACGCATTTTCATGTGTGCTGATCAATGACGTTACAGGATTATGACAATGAACTTTTTGTGCCATTTTTGCCTTAAAAATGCACACGAGATTTGTTTCCAAATATTTAACGTGCTTGTGCTCTGCGAAAATTTGGTTCGTAACGAAGACACCGAAGGCATTGTAAAATCTACGCAGAAAAGGCATCGCGTCGTGTAATAAAACCCTTCGCAATGTGAATCATTTCTTCCTAAGGCGAATTAATTTTACGATGTCTTCGTGGTTGCGAAGCAAATGCCCCGTGGACTTATTAAGTGCTGACTTCCTTCCAGTGCCCACTGCAAGAAAAAGTGAGAATAGTACAACAAAAACTGTACAATTAAAGTACAACACGGATTGTATAAGTACAACGAGAATTGTACAAACCACAACGAGGCCTGGACTGCCCAGCACTCGTCATGCCGGTTCCACTGTACTTTGTACAACAATTGTTGTACTTTGAAAGTACAATAAATTTCTGATAAAAAATTTGCCAGTAATTTGTGTCCTTTTTGTCGTGTTTTTTTCTTCCAGTGTGTGGTGCCGGCAGTGCAAGAAGGACGCGACGCTGGCCTGCGTGGACGAGCACCCGGTGTGCAGCCGCAAGAGGGCGCGCGACGAGGAGGCCGTGCCGCTGCTGGAGTCGCTGCAGCGGGCCGGGGCGGCGCTGGGTAAGTTCGCGTCGAGTCAAACTCCAGAGTGGGCGCACGATTTCGGAGAGTGAGAGCGTTTGAATCGAAACGGAAAACGCTTCAAACCTTACGAAGTACTTTGAGCATACTTGGTATGAACCCATGTTCTTCGTTATACGCAGAAATGCACTGCAAAGCCGGTGGGAAGTTTACTTGCCACAAATTTGGCAAGCCGTTTTGAATGCCAAAAATTGGCAAGCTTGGCCTGGGAATACTCCCGAGCTTGCCAAAATTTGGCAAGCTTGTGAAGATTTCTGACCAAAGCTTGCCAAATTTGTGGCAAGTAAACTTACTACTGGCTTTGCAGTGTAGTTTGTATATTGCGAAGTCTTTTCTTCTTAAGCTGAAAGTATTGTACTTTTTTTTACAAGCCGCTTTTCTTTGTAAGGCCTAAAGTAGCTTACAAGTAAGGTTTTCTCAGTGTCGAAACGTTCTTCACATGTTGCCGCGGGCGGCGCCGATCGTTCGAGAACGAAAGGGGGCAGGCCACGAGAGTCCCCTGTGACGCTGGTGTTACCTGAAGTCACGACGGTGGATGCCGACCGGCTGGAGTAGCCTTATGGCGAGTCGCACTGCCCCCGTGTTGGTCCAGACGACGGTGTCAGGCACTTGCTCCGCTATCCCATTGTCTCGAATCGCAGGGAATCGAGTCGGATCTCGCTCCCATGGTGTTTCGGCAGACCGTACACCAGGGGCGTAATTAGAGCCGACTAAAATGGGGGGGGATGCGTTACGGGTTGCACACCTTTAGGGGCAAACTTGTCTTTTTTGGCTGAGCGATAGCGAAGCCTGTTACTCCAATGGGGTTGAAAAACTTTTTCTGTCTGTCTGTCTGTCTGTCTGTCCGTGTGTGTACACTACTCCTCCTGAACGGCTCGGCCGATCTGGCTGAGATTTTGCAGGCTCATTAGGTATGTTCTTGGCTCGGCACACGCGAAATTTCATATTCCTAACTTAACTGGTTCAGTTTTTATAGCCGAAAAACACCTAAAAATTGCGAAAAATCGAGTTTTCAGGTGGTAGACTCCTCCTGTCTTGATAAAAGGGGGGTCTGGGGGGCGGAGCCCCCAACCTGACAAGTTGAAAAGTTACAAGGGTGAAGGTCGTGTAATTTGTAGATGAAGCAAGTCTATAAAGAGTAAAGGGGGGTCTGGGGGCGGGGCCCCCCAGCATGCAACAAATCAGAAGTAACTGATGATGGGCAAGCATTGCCTGCCGAAGGCACGCCAGGCGCGGATTGGAGGAACAGGCCGCGAGACATCGCGAAGCCTGTTACGACAAGACGCGGTCTGGCGTAAACCTACCTTGTATAGTGTTGCATCAAAACAGTACGGTAAATATTACCTCACACTGCTAATCCAAGTGTGGAGGACCAAGTCCACGCTAGGTAGCGTGGACTTGGTCCACACTTGGATTACCAGTGCAACTACTAAGTTCTCATACTGTCTAAGTTTCACTAATTATATGAACAACGTCTACGCATCAAAACAAAGAAACAAACCACGCAAAAGCCGAAATTTTGGTTTCCTTCGGGAACCAAAAGCCCCCCCCCCCTAATTACGCGCCTGCCGTACACTCATAATGTATTTGTACAAATTTTGTACGAGACATCACAGTTTATGTGCACACGAACTTTTCGTACAAATTTGTACAAAATTTTGCACAATAAGGGGAAATTTGTGCAGTTTTTCGTACTAAAATTGTACGAAACGTTCGTGTGCGTGATGTCTCGTACTAAATTGTACATAACATTTAGTGAGTATGGATGAAACGAACCCGGGAAAAAAAGTTTGCGCCCGACCCGAGATGGTCGCCGGCCAAGTGGCTTTTTTGGTCTGGGACGCCTCTCTACGAAATCTTCGATCCTAGGTACGCTGGGCGACTCGCTGAACACCGCGGCGGGCGGCCTGCAGCTGGCGGACTGCCGTGGCCGCGTGCGGCGGGAGCAGATCGCCGTGGCGGCGGCGCGGGCCAACCTCCAGCGAGCCCTGGAAGCGGACCCGGCCCGGTGGGAGCAGGCCAAGACCATCGCCGTGCTGAGTGGTGAGGAACAATAGTGAAAGGAGTGCACCTAACAGTAACAGCTCATTGCAAAGCCGGTGGTAAGTTTGCTTGCCTCAAATTTGGCAAGCCGTTACCCAAAATTGGGCAAGCTTTGGTCATAAGTCTTCGTAAGCTTGCCAAATTTTGGCGAGATGGGTGGTTTCCCTGCCAAGCTTGCCAAGTTTTGGCGTTCAAAACGGCTTGCCAAATTTGTGGCAAGCAAACTTACCACCGGCTTTGCAGTGCTTAAGTGTTGTTAAACTGCATTTGCTAGTGAAGTTCGGGAAGATTAGGGGTTGATTTGAGACAAGTTTTTGGTAACTGAAGACACTTTAAAGGTGACTGAAGATACTTCAAACTTACAGTTTGACCACAAAGGAGACTACTACTTGGCTAAAACACATGCACGTCTCTTGATGATATCATTTTTCGACTTGGCGTCTAACAAGGATGAATCATGAAGTGAAACCAGAACTATTATTGTAAGGAGAAGCTCCAGACAAAAAAAACCACTTGATCGGCGACATCCTAGGAGCGGGCGCTTGTGGTGTTTTATCGGTTCCTTCTATGTATACGAACTGCCGAAAAGACACTTGGACGAAATCCGACACCCCCTGTGGCTTTGGTACGGGTCTAAACACCCCAAAAACAGCTGTTTTCGAGGGTTTGGGACTAGATGGGTTCTCGCGAACCGAGATCCAAAAAAGTACCCAAATGGGTCTCAGATACTCAAAAAAATGCGCTCTTTCGAATGCCGTGTCGAACGAGGCTCTACGACGTCGGGTTTGGATGCTACGGGCTCTCAAAGTTGCTCAATTTCACTATTTTTACTGAAGATTTGAGCATATCAGGGCCGTTTGAAGTAGACCATCGGCGATTTCGCTCCTCTTTGTCTTAAATGGTGCCTACCCATAGGTAAACACCCCCACAAAATTTCAGCCATGTCAGGCAATTATTAGAGGAACTGTGAACAATTGAAGTTTTGGGTCATTTTACCACTGGGCTTAGGTGTTTTTGGGTCCAGAAAAAATAATTTTTTTAGCTATCTACTTTTAATTAGCACCTCTTGAAACGCATTTTTAACATGGTGCCTCAAAACTTTTTTTCGAGGACAAACTTGTCTTTTTCTAGCTGTAATTAGAACATAACTTGGAGAAAAAGGCAAGTTTGTCCTCGAAAAAAAGTTTTGAGGCACCATGTTAAAAAGGCGTTTCAAGAGGTGCTGATCAAAAGTAGATAGCTAAAACAATTATTTTTTCTGGACTCAAAAACACCTAAGCCCAGTGGTAAAATGACCCAAAACTTCAATTGTTCACAGTTCCTCTAATAATTGCCTGACATGGCTGAAATTTTGTGGGGGTGTTTACCTATGGGTAGGCACCATTTAAGACAAAGAGGAGCGAAATCGCCGATGGTCTACTTCAAACGGCCCTGATATGCTCAAATCTTCAGTAAAAATAGTGAAATTGAGCAACTTTGAGAGCCCGTAGCATCCAAACCCGACGTCGTAGAGCCTCGTTCGACACGGCATTCGAAAGAGCGCATTTTTTTGAGTATCTGAGACCCATTTGGGTACTTTTTTGGATCTCGGTTCGCGAGAACCCATCTAGTCCCAAACCCTCGAAAACAGCTGTTTTTGGGGTGTTTAGACCCGTACCAAAGCCACAGGGGGTGTCGGATTTCGTCCAAGTGTCTTTTCGGCAGTTCGTATACATAGAAGGAACCGATAAAACACCACAAGCGCCCGCTCCTAGGATGTCGCCGACCAAGTGGTTTTTTTTTGTCTGGAGCTTCTCAAGGATTGGTGTTATGTGTCTCAAATGACCCTAGTTTATGGTCTAGTTTGTTCACACTCCATGCATTTGTACAGTTTTGCGCACAATTTTGAAGATGCTAACTTTTTCGTTTACATTTCCGCTAAATCAATATTGCTCATGCATACATACGCATGCATAAAAAGTGCATGATTATTCGTTTAAGAAGTTCAGAAGAGTTTCGTGTGTGCTTAAATTTTACGAAGCAATTAAGTACAGAAACGTAGCATCACGTTGAAATGAACGTGACAAAATGTCACGTTTCTTCGAACATTGTGTCACATTCGTTTTAACGTGAATAAGCGCATTTATGGCTGATTCAGGTCCAAACGAATGTGATTCAATGCTCAAAGAAACGTGACATTATGTCAATTCATTTCAGCGTGATGTCACGTTCCTGGAATGAGAGTGAAATGTTGTTGTCTTCTCCAGATCTCGCCAGGGACGCGGCCCAGCTGGTGGCCGACTTGGCCGACCCCTCGGCGTCTTGCAGCGTGACGGTGCGGCGCGGCGACCAGGGCGTGGCGTGGCGCGGCGAGGCGCGGCTCCCGGAGGACTCCGGGGTCCGGGTGCTGCTGTGCCGCCTGGCGTGCAACGGGCTGCTGCGTCCGGAGCAGCGCCACGGAGGTGAGTCTCTCTTGGTCCACACGCACTACAACGTGATTGTACAAATGTTGTACGAGACATGACAGTTTTTTGAGCGCACGAAAATTTGTTCGCAATTTGTACGAAAGCGGAGATTTATGCGCACTTTGAGAATCTAAGAGTCATGATCATGACTAAAATTTTGGGCACTAAAATTTTCCTCACCCAAATTTGGGTGAGGAAGGTTTCCTCACTCAAATGTGGGTCATAATACTGTGCAGCCATAGGCAGCTGATACACCGCGTCTTCACCCAATTTTGGGCGAGGAAGCCTTCTTATTAAAGGTATAAAGTATATCTTGCCCAAAATTGGGTATTGATCATGACTTTTCCATTCTCAGTGACGCAACGTACATAATCTAGAGGTCATATATGACCTCTTATCTCTGTATGTGTTGTGCACTTTTGGCGTCAGGAACTTTTGTTTTCCAAAGTTAGTGGCCACCCTGTCTCAGCTCCAATTTCATTAGGCCCTATGCTTATTGAGAGTGTCTCGATGTTCACTACAAACCTAACTGTCTACTAAGTACGCACTTACAAACGCATGCTTGCAAGTACACACTTACAAACGCATGCTTGGCCAAATACACACTTACAAACGCATGCTTGCAAGTACACACTTATAAACGCATGCTTGACGCATGGAGTTAACGGCGTCAAGCATGCGTTTGTAAGTGTGTACTTGCAAGCATGCGTTTGTAAGTGTGTACTTGGCCAAGCATGCGTTTGCAAGTGTGTACTTGCAAGCATGCATTTGTAAGTGCGTACTAAGTAGACAGTTAGGTTTGTAGTGTTGATGCCGGGCTGTAGATCTGCTCCAGCAACGTCCTGACGGCGATCCAGACAGCGTGGAGCCCGAGCTAGGGCCCGTCACCATGGAGAGCCATGGAGCCGTGAGGGTCGACTGGGACCGCGAAGCAACCGCCGTGGGTGGCGTGGCCGTGGCTCGCAAGAGGCAGCGCCAATTCTTTCGGAGCGCGGACGACCAGTCGGTAAGTCAGTCAATATGCAACTTTCTTCAGTGGGAATCCTATACTGGTACGACTACACTGGACTGTTTTCGACGGGTACTTTTGTTCCTCCTTTGCAGTCGTCGCGACCAGCGGTTTCCTTCCTTGATATCACATGCATCAGCTCCAGAGTGGACGTCAAGGCCATGACTGCTCTCTTGAAGGGAGGAAGTCTTGAGCAGGTGAGTACGCCCTTGTGTGCAAATGCAGTCTTGACAAGTTCGCAGTAAAATGCATGCTTGGCTTCGTAACTACATGCAACGCATTTGTACTTTGGATTGTGTACTTAGACAAGTATGCTGTTAAAAGTACTATGCACTTAACTAAGTGTACAATTTCAAATGAGATCGGCGTGAATCGTTACAGGGCTTCTAGAAATAACTTTACGTAAAAATTTTTCAAAGGTATGGCCTTATCAAGCACTCGAAGGGCGTGAATGACTGTTATGCCCATATAGGCGTAGTTTTTGGCCCGTCTCGTTTATTTTTTGTTAAAAAAAACGACGGAGGGACGGGCATAGTATGATCCCTGCTGTGCGTGCGTTAGACTGTCCCACGAAAAATTCGATGTTTGAAAATGCAACCTTTCACCCCGGACTTAAGTTCCTTATGTAAAAAAAGGACTCCATGATTTTTTGCAGAATTTTTGAACAGAATTTAGAGGTCGCGCATCGGCAAAAACACGTTTTTTGCCATTTTTCTCGACTTTTGAAGTATGCCCCACCCCCTCTCCTTAGTTGGACTTCTAGTGACCCCGTGACGTCGTTCTGTAGGACACCCGACCCTCCTAAGCCCATCTAGACCCTCAAATCGGCACCCAAAACGATAAAAATAAGTCGAAAATTTCATAAAAAGCTGCAAAAGTTGTGCAAATGTTGTGTTTTTTGATAATCTGACATCACAGAACGATAGAGCGTGAAAAATTACGTAGGGGTGAAGACAAGTGAGCACGCCACACGGTCAGTTTCGGTTACGGGTAAAAATCACAGGTTTTTACAGGGCCTGAATTTCACCATCTCGGATCCGGTCCAAACTTGCACCAAATGTTGCCCCCATATGGGTGAGTAAGCCCACAAAGTTTCAGCCCCCTAGCCCCACGCGTTCCCGCGCAGTGGCCATTCTTATTTTTCTCTAAATTTTCCTTGTACCATTTTTGCCAAATTGCATGTTTTCTAAAAAATCGGCCTACTAGGTCCCCATGACATTATTCTCTGGAACCGACATCGGTTCTAGGGGTAAAAATCTGTGAGGAATCCGAATCTGGCATCGGTTTGACGATAGCACTACGGGAAAGAGCCCAAAAACGCGTCTAAAGTGAAAAAAAAAAATTTTGTAGAGGTTTGGGAGATGTTATACGGCACACACCCCGCAGTCCAAACTTCGAGTTTTTCCTGTTTTTCCATGAAGGGGACACTATAAGCTTGCTTTCAAGCCCATAGCTGATATTGTGTATGGGTACCGTTTAAGAGCTATACCTATGCTCAAAATTGAGATTTTCGTAATTTTTCTATTTTCCTACAACACTGTTAAAATGCTGTGGTGGATAGAAAAAAACGTTTTAATGAGAACCTCAGGTAGTCTTTTTTGTAAAGAATTTTCCGCCGAACACAATGGTATGCGCGGTTTGCCGATTGGAGGTCTTAAACGCCGTCAATCCCCAAAAAACGATCAATTTTCGACAAATTTCGGCAAAATTAATGAAATAAGTTCAGTGGCGAAAACGACTGTGTTCCCCCACACTCAGAGGCATGTCCGAGGGGTCAAAATGATCCTTAGGACTCCCTCTTTCATAATCAGTAATAAAAAAGATGGCTATTGGCTTCCTTTGGAACCCCAGACAGCAAAACGTAAAAATATAACCAGATGCAATTTAAATCGCCACACCTATGGTTCCTCTGGTGTGGCGTGTGTGTCTTGGGAGGTCGGACGCACGGCCCTGCACGGCTCTACTCGATACTAGAGCCTTGCCGGTGCGAAACGGCAGGATCTGCTGAGCGGCAGGATCCACTGCGCGGGAACGCGTGGGGCTAGGGGGCTGAAACTTTGTGGGCTTACTCACCCATATGGGGGCAACATTTGGTGCAAGTTTGGACCGGATCCGAGATGGTGAAATTCAGGCCCTGTAAAAACCTGTGATTTTTACCCTTACATAAGCGCGAGCGAAATAGAACGCCCCCGATTTATTGTGTGGAATGATGGCGTCCCGACGGAAGAAGAGGTTGCACTGGCTTGCCGGTGCTGGCTTGTAGCTTCATGATGAGCTACGTCAAACAGAGAGTCTAGCTGGTCTATGAATGACTGTCTCCTTAGCTCAAAGGTAGGTGAGCCTGCACCCTCTTCTTCCGTCGGGACGCCATCATTCCACACAATAAATCCCAAAACACAAACGACGATTCAAAACAACGCTCGCTGGGCGGTTCGTTTCGTGTGCGCGGCAAAGCACGCGAAAAGGCGGCGATGTAAGGGAGTATGGGGCGATTTGTAACAGATTTTTGGAATCCTCTATACAAAATTAAGAACATTCTGCATATCGGTGTCAAACTTGTGCCAGTTGAGCAGTCTGGCCCTTCATCTAGACTGTGCAGCTCTATGGGATCAATCTGGAGTCCGTAATCTTTGAAATCTAAGACGCTTTCCAAACCCTTGCATGCTGTTACGAATCGCCCCAGCATGGGGTGATTTGTAACAGCCTTGGGGCTTTTTATAACATCCTACACATTAAATGAAACATCGTCGGGAATGTTATCTCCTCCAGCAGTTGTTCATCGGATGTCCTGCAGACGCCGTAAAATCTGCATTACAAGCTGCCGTTGACCGCCTCAGCATTAACTGGCCGGCTATGTAAACCCTAACCTCACTTTTTTCAATTTGGAGGAAAGAATAGAATAACTCGCTTTAAAATGCATTTTGAGCTGTGTAAATGTATTGGAATTAGGCAGCAGATGATTCGAGAAAAAATTCAAGCATTTTATTGCAAAAACTACTTTAATTCTTGTTTTTATACGGGTCTGTTACGAATCACCCCAAATGCCGGCTACGCGAGAAATACGTCCCTAACTATCACTGGACAAAGTAAAAGCAACTTATGCCACGTGGTTACATTGCAAAGGGGTCAAGCTTCGAGGCCCCAACGGTACTTCGATGGTGATTCATACCTGGGGAGCCTCTGACAGAAACTTCTTTGAACTCAAAATAAAAGATTTGCCTGTTTTCGGTGTACCCTATATTTCAGACGCCCTCCAAAACTATACCTGAGCACCGATCACATCCGCTTCGATTGTTCAAGGACCCTCTACTTGAAGCGAAAGAGGGGCCATACTCAGATTTTCCTCTGCTCCCTCCACTTAAATTAACAAGGTAGGTTTACGCCAGACCGCATCTTGTCGTAACAGGCTTCGCGATATCTCGCTGCCTGTTCCTCCAATCCGCGGCTGGCGTACCTACCTTGGCCTGCGGCGCTAGCCTGCCTTCGGCAGGCAATGCTTGTCCACCGTCAGTTACTTCTAATTTCTTGCATACTGGGGGGCTCCGCCCCCCAAACCCCCCTTTATTCTAGATAGAGTTGCTTCATCTACAAATTACACGATCTTGACCCTTGTAACTTTTTAACTTGTCGGGGCTGGGGTCACCGCCCCCCCAGACCCCCCTTCCATCAAGGCAGGCGAGATCTGCTTGCAGAAAACTCGATTTTTCGCCGTTTTTAGGGTGTTTTTCGGCTATAAAAACTGAACCAGTTGAGCTAGGATAATGAAATTTCGCGTGTGCCGAGCCAAGAACATATCTAATGAGCCTGCAAAATCTCAGCAAGATCGGCCGAGCCGTTCAGGAGGAGTAGTGCGCACAGACACACACACACACACGCAGACAGAAAAAACTTTTCAACCCCACTGGAGTAACGGGCTTCGCTATCGCTCAGCCAATAAACGCATTTGTTACGAACCGCCCCTGTTACAAATCGCCCCATACTCCCTTAGTTCCCGTGACTAATGACAGGAGGCGCCACCAGCGACCCGCACCATATATTTGTACTTTTATTACATGCAGAGCTTTTATTTCGACAAATTTCATATAAAACAATCATCAGATGATTCTTGACATCCCACAAAAGGAATAAAAGCCCACACTTCAAGTTTTGAGCAGGAAATGTATAAATTCGTGGGGGCGTTCTATTTCGCTCGCGCTTATGTAACCGAAACTGACCGTGTGGCGTGCTCACTTGTCTTCACCCCTACGTAATTTTTCACGCTCTATCGTTCTGTGATGTCAGATTATCAAAAAACACAACATTTGCACAACTTTTGCAGCTTTTTATGAAATTTTCGACTTATTTTTATCGTTTTGGGTGCCGATTTGAGGGTCTAGATGGGCTTAGGTGGGTCGGGTGTCCTACAGAACGACGTCACGGGGTCACTAGAAGTCCAACTAAGGAGAGGGGGTGGGGCTGGGTGTGGTGTGGTGGTAGGGCATACTTCAAAAGTCGAGAAAAATGGCAAAAAACGTGTTTTTGCCGATGCGCGACCTCTAAATTCTGTTCAAAAATTCTGCAAAAAATCATGGAGTCCTTTTTTTACATAAGGAACTTAAGTCCGGGGTGAGAGGTTGCATTTTCAAACATCGAATTTTTCGTGGGACAGTCTAGCGTGCGTCCGTCCGTCCGTCCGAGGACTTCCCGTGGTCCGATCTTAACCAAATTTGGTATGCAGCCTACTTGGGTGACCCTAAGAACCGCCCGGTGGCAGCAAATCCGATCCGAGCCCCGGGGGGCGCTGCTGCAGGTGCATCATGGTCTACATGGGGTCGAGGAGGATTTCGGCAACGGATACAGCTAAGAGGTCATCTTGGGGTATTTTTGGAATCGGGGCGACGAAACAAAACCAACGGTGCCAGTTTCAAGTGAATCGGAGAAGTTTGGACCCGGGTTATCCCACTCTACAAATCAAAGAGTGTACCTAGTACGCTCTAACTGAAGCATGCCTGCAAGCACGCTCTAGCTAGCGCATGCCTGCCAAGCATGCACTAACTAGTGCATACATGCCATGTACACGCTACCTGAAGCGTGCATCTAGTGCATAAGGGATAGGAGGTTGCCTGCATCAGGAAGCGTGTACATGGCATGTATGCACTAGTTAGTGCATGCTTGGCAGGCATGCTCTAGCTAGAGCATGCTTGCAGGCATGCTCCAGTTACAGCATACTATGTAGAGCATAGTTTTTGCATTGTTTCTGATGTTTTTGAGGGCGCTGATGACGAAAATAACATTTATTTTGACCCCAGACTCAGGTTCAAATCCCGTCAGGGTTAAACATGGGCGAAATTTGCACATTCCCTGATGAACGGGACGGGCCAAAGTTGCCGATGTATGTCGCTACTTTTCCTGTTATTATTCCTCTGTTTTTACTGCGTGTGGCTGACGCTCACACACTCTGAATTTTGTGGTGAAGATTCTCTATATTATGGTGAAAATTGTCTGTATTGTGGTGGTGCAGCTGACTTTATAACATGCCATTTCGAATTCTTTGTACTTTATTGATATTTTGACCAAGTTCGTTTGTCTTATGGAGAAAAACTTAACCGTAACATGGTGCTTTTCAGCTTTTTACCGTGAGACATTAATAGTACATTGTTTTTCCGCGTTGCAGGCGCACTCCTTGGTGGGGCTCCAGTGCAACGTGGCCCCAGCTTGGAGCCAGAAGGTGCTGGAGCTGACGGCGCCCCACTTGAAGGGTCTGCAGGCGGTGTCGCCCTTGCAGAGGCACCTGGACAGAATCCTGGTGATGCCCCACCTGCAGGCCTTGTGCCTGACCAACGTGACCGGGCAGCAGGCTAGACAGGTGAGGCTTCACTCTGCATCCCGCTTGTCATCGGACTATTTCTGCACTCACACTGAGAATTCAAACGCCATGAGTATAGCGTCAAGTGGTGCAATGCATTTAGCATAGGGCCTTTTCGGAACGCATTGCACGTAAGGTGCAAAATGGCTATCGCATTGCACGCATGGTGCGATGTCTCAGCTGCATTGCACCATACGTGCTATACTCATACACTCTCACCCCAGGAACGTGACATCACGTTCAAACGAATGTGACAAAATGTCACGTTCCCTAGAGCATTATGTCACATTCGTTTGATTGTGAATAAACTTATTTAGGGCTGATTCACGTCGAAACAAACGTGACTCAATGCTCGAACGAACGTGACATTTTGTCACATTCGTTTGAACGTGTAGTCACGTTCCTGGAATGAGAGTGTAGCGTTTGGAATTTCAGTGTGTTGTTGCAGGTACGAATATTTCGCAAATTACTATGTATATCGAGATCTGTATATTTATGCCCAGGCATGCTCAAAATAATTTGGAATATCAAACCTCTTTCTTTTTCGTGAGGCCTCAAACGGGTTTTAAGGTGTTGAGAGTGTGCAGGTGTCCCAGATGGCGTCGCTGCGACGGCTGGAGCTGCACTGCCCCCTGGACGCCCCACTGCCGGAGCTGCTGCTGCCGCGCGCGGTGCCCCCCGCGGGGCTGCGGTGGCTGCGCTGCGGCGTGGAGCCCCTGGTGACGGCGCTGGCCCTGGTGCAGGCCCACGCCAGCACACTGGAAGAGTTGCAGCTGGTGACAGCCTCCGTGGACCCCGCGGGCTGCCCCGACCTGGTGACGGAGCTCAAGCGCTGCAGTCTCAAGAACCTTCATCGTGTCGTGCTGCTGAGGCACACTGCCTACGGCGAGCAGTGCCGCCACGACCACCCCTCCTGCAAAGACCAGCTGCAGCGACTGTGGCTCATGTTTGGCGAAAGCGACTTGTTTGCAGACATACTGTGCAGCGAATGCGACAAGGCCGAATTGTCCAAGTCTGGGCCTTGATCAAGTTTGTCTTATTGTTTTGTCATGTTATTATCTTAATCTTTCGATTGGAAACGGGACCGATATGTCTCCGTGAATGTTACAAGGCCGAGCTGTCGAAGTTTCGGTCTTGATCGAGGCTCCTCTATGATTCTATTCAGATATGTTCTGATATGCAATAATTTTGATTTCCTGCCTATTTATTTGTGTATTAAAGACCGGGGTTCTAATCTACAGGGGTCTCGGTTGAGGTTATAAAATTATTTTCTTCTGTCGTTGACTTCTTTATTCGATTGAAACGACACTAATACGTTTAACATGTTTGATATACCTTATTTATTAAGATGAGAACGCTGTGTATGTCCAAAAATTATGGTTCCTGCTCTCTTATAGATGAAATAAAGACTTCAGCGTCCAGGGTCATGTGATCGTCCTCATCATCCAGATTCATTGGTGTTGTTTCATACAAACTTCCCTCATCTGTCTGGTCACGGCTGGGACTACACCCATCTACTGTAGATCGAAAGGTAGTTGGGCTTCATTTCCTTCAGTGTTAAATCAAAATCCGGATCTAAGAACATTTTACTCGCTTTAAATATCCCTTATTATTTAAATCAAGTCCAATGCCCTTACGTCTGGATCTTGACGATGGCAAGTCCATTTCATCTCAAGTAGTATCTGCTAATATAAATTCTCATTGTACTTCTTTTTTAATAAATGCACGAAATTTTACTTGGCGTGGTTTTGTTTTTACACGATCCTTTAGTTTCGGACTAATCTATCATTTCATCATTCTTTACTACTCAGTAGTGAAATAGAGTTGCGGGTAGAGTGGTGTCGGATTTGTTTTCTGGGCTTTGGCTAAATCGGCTGACGCCTGTTTTGCTTCGGTTAAGGCTGGTAGCGGATTCCGTAGTTTACGGCGCTCTTGCTCTCTAACGAATGCCCTGTGGTTTCAGATTCCTTTTTCCCGGAGAGAGAGGCCTGGCAGGAGGACTCCCGGTCGTCCTTGGGGCTGAACTCGACTGATGCTGACAGCAATGCTAGTCGAGGCTGGGACGGCGGAGATGGTGAGCCACGATGTATTTCTTGTTCTTGTGCACGATGAAATGGGTGCTAGTACACAGCTGTGCGAGTGCACTCATGTATACACTCAAAAGTTTGTACTAAGAACGGCTTCTGTAGTACGACGCGTTCTCTTGACTTATAAGAAAATACGGGGCAGTTGTATTATAAACTCTAGTTTTATGAAACTGTGTGTTTTATATTACCAAATTAATCTCAGTATTACAAAAGAAATTGCGTCTTAATATTTTCGGGTGGTTTTTGTCCTGTCATTGTACTGTGCTTAAAATGTTTTGTATTTCGAAGAAAGCAGTTGTATCGTTGTATCACTAATCAGGCGGCTTTGTATTACTAGAAAACTATTTCATAGTGCATCGGCACCGTGTGTTTTAATATAATATAGAAGAAAGTCTAAGACTCGTGTAGACTTTCGTTCAGTAGTGTAGAGAAAAGTCCTTAGAACTTACTTTTGAGTGTAGCTTGGCGGAGCATACTTTCATCCAATCTACTTGAAAACACATTCCTTGTCCAAGTACACTCAGATGGGCGTAAGTTAATTTAGGCGCACTGTTATAGAAACTTAATCAGTGCACACTTTTGTCAGTGCTTGCTTACCTGTTGGTGCATACGTGGAAGTACGTCGGATAGATGTGTACTTGCAAGCATGCGTTTTCAGGTTCACAAAAGTGATGACGCCTTTTCTGAATCCTCAAACTGAACACGCTTGAACAATAAAACATCTCAAAGTATTACACCCCAAGTTTTGCGACCCAAGAAAGAGCCTTAGCTACGTGTTATGAGAGGTAAAACGGGTTAAACCCTCTCTAGCTTCAAAGGTGATCATTTACGGCTGTAGGGTCAGTTGGGGTAATAATGGGACAGTTTGAATAATAAGGTTTCCACAACTCTACAATGGCGAGTTGGAGTGTTTCTAATGCGTTTAAAGGATAGGGTACTCTGTTCCACACCATTTGGCGTTAAAATAAGATCAAAAAGTCATTTAATTTTGCAGTTGTGTAAAATAAACTGTTAAAATTCGGACTTTTAAGTTTGGGGTAAAAATGGGACACGCTGGGGTAAAAATGGGACAAGGGCTTAGCAGTGGTAAAACAGGCCTCAAAGTTTTTCAAATAGACACCACTTTATAAAATTCGATCCGTCTCAACACGAGGAACAATAAATGTCATCACTTGCCACAGGTTTTGATGAAAAATGAAAGACATTGCGCTTCAAAAGAAATTGGGTGCAATTTGACCTTTTGCGACTATTTGTTAATTTCAAAGCCCATTAACTTTTTAAGTATCCGTCCAAACCCATAGCATGTGTTGACATTTTTTGTTTGTATTGTCGAGGCCTATCTATTTCCGTTCAGAGATGTCAATTCGAACAACTTTGAAAATTTTCTCCCTAAAGGCCACAATTTACCATTAACTGAGTGTCCCATTTTTACCCCAGGAGTGTCCCATTCTTCCCCAAAGTGGTGTCCCATTTTTACCCCACAGGAAAATTCTACAATTGCAAGTTAACGAATGCATTGATGTCAAAATGAGTTGGTGGATCGAAATCCTCGTTCTTTTCGCTTTCCAAAACACTATAATACTTCACTTTTCTGTTTATGGGGGTTTCTGTAGTGTTCTAATTAGATGACCTCTGCGGCATTTTTCCAACCTTTAGAAAACCCATAATTGCCATGTTTTGCTTGATTTCTTAATTCTCATTTCTATGAGCAGTCATTGTCCCGCCCAATGAAAAATGGAATACTAGACACCTCAATGAACATTTTAAGCACAAACATGTCATTGTAGGACGTTTTAAAATGCCAAAACTCGTCAAGTTTAGAAAGTGTCCCATTTTTCCCCAAGTTTTCAGTGTCCCATTATTACCCCAACTGACCCTACTAAGGTCACAGTGACACATTTCCATTTATGCTCTTTACCGAGGGGGTATGCACTCGCGTAATAGTCGGTTCACTCTATCTGTAATAGCACGCGTAATAATACGCGTAATAGTCGCGTAATAGCAGAAATTGTCAAAATTTCATCAATTTTGGTGTGTTTTAGGCCGTTTTTAGCTAAATTCCGATGAATTTGTGGCGTAATAGCGTAATAGTCGGTACACAGGTTCAGAGAGCGCATACCCCCTCGCTCTTTACTTTCCTACGGCGGTGGTCTCACCCCACCAGGTAATGAGGGTCTCCGCTGTCTATTACCAGTACACTGGTACTCCCGGGTCTGAAAAGGTGAATCGTCAAAATTGAGGAGTGACTCCTTCATGGGGGCCGTTTCCTTTCCGTCTTGTGTAATGCCGGAGCACTTCACGAGTAAATGCGAGAAAGTAGCATGCGCTGGAGTGCTTAGGTGGCGTCCCCTTGAAGTAATCACGAGCTCTGGTTGCAGAATCGGCTGAAGGGGCTGAAAATGACTCGTGGCTGCACATAGCTGACACATTCTCACTGGCCTCGGATGGCAACGGCACGGAGTGGATGGGAACTGAAAAGTTCGTCGAGGATTCAAGCAACTCTGGAACTGCCCCTGCCTCAGAGGCGGAGTCGATGGCACATCTCACAACTCGCGCAGGGACGGGCGGCACACTCGAGTGTCAGGTCTGCGGCAAGGTGTTCATGTCCTGCTACCACCTTGAACGTCACGCCAGCCACCACACGACGGTCAAGCCTTTCCAATGCAAAGTGTGCAGGAAGACGTTCCATTATGCAGTCAGTCTGAGCGCGCACCAAAAAAAGCACACTAAAAAGTGGGTAGGCCGTAATTTTCAATGCGACTTTTGTTGGCGAAGTTTTCATAGCTCTAGTAACCTCAAAGTTCATAAAAGAACCCACACTGGGGAAAGGCCTTTCGACTGTCAAGAGTGTGGAAAGAAGTTCCGGTACCTTGTTCAACTGCGAAGCCACCAGAACAAGTCACACTAGATTCCATTCAAGTGCAGGATTCTGAGTCTTATACCCGCACTATCGTAGTTTGCCAGTTAAACGGAAGATTTCTTATGCACAGCGTTTCTAGAATTATGCCTGTATTTATGCCTGTATTCATTTTGTCAATTTGGGAATGTTCTACCATGATTTTTTTTGTCCCCATGTTTGTCAGTATATATTTGAATGCAAAATGTGCCCGAGATGCATGCGTCTCCTGTTATGTTACGGATTGAAATGAATTTATCCTTTTTGTTTTTTTGTTTTGTGAACATGATATAGCGTATCATCATCCAATAAATTTCTCTGCGCTGAAAACAATCTATGTCCTTTGAACTGCTACTCCTCGTCTACGGTGTTCTGGAATCTGAACCATGGCCATCCATGGGCTCTCGCGGAGTTTGCGGGTTGAAACCACGTTAGTAAAGGCACCCAGCTGCACTGTAAAACGAGGCTTCACATGAAAAACCCGTCTCCTGGGATTCCCAGATATATCACTCTTTTCACAAGAAGAACTCCTGAAATTTCCATGAAAATTGTTCAATTTGCAGGAGGCGGTTACTGCAGTGAAACAGCCTCAGGGAAAATTTTGCGGTTTCGAATACTGTTGGAATGTCGATCCTACTTCTCGCCCAATTCGAAAATCTGGGAGTTGTAAAATCGACTTTACTCTGCAAACTCAACGGTTTACTTGGTACTCTTCCTTTGGCGAGTACCCTCAAAAGTTCTCCCTTACGAGAGTGTTCTCATCATCTGAGCACACTCACGAGTGTTAAATACCCTTCACAAGGCATCATTATTATGACCTTGGCGTGACTGGCATGCCCTCAAGGGTATAGTGAAGTTAAGCGACGCTCTGCTGTTTCGATCTGCTATTTCGCTTACCATGCCGTCTTTCGTTTGCAGGTTCCACCAACGCTCTGGAAGGCGCTTCGTCGTCTTCGGCGTCGGACCTTCAAGGCAGCACCGTCGGTGGACGGCACTCCGACTCCACAGGTAAACAGAAATCCTAGGGCTGCTATTCAAAGTGCCCTGATTCAAGTTTTCATATTGTCATTTTCAAAAAAAGAATTTCATCTTGAATGCAAGCAAATTTCTCCAAGTCTGATTAATTAGGGCAACTTATTATAGGATTATTTTGGACAGCTATCTTTGTGCCAAAATGTTACGTAGAAGTAGGTCAACAAATCTGTCAACAACTTGTGAAGTTTCTCCGGACATCGCACGCCTGCCACAAAATTGGCAAGCCGGTTTGAATGCTAAAAATTGGCAAGCTTGGCCTGGTAAAACTCCCCAGCATGCCGAATTTGAAGCAATCAAACATACCACTGGCTTTGCAGTGTAACCAGAACCTAATATTTCTGTAACCGTCTTGTCAATCTTCTTCGTTGGACTGCACCCTATTGGTTTCTGCAACGGGCATGCGGAAAATGCGAGGAAAAATGCAAGTCTTAGAGAGAATGCGGGAAATCTCACGGAGAAGATTGATAAGAGGCTGCAGGGAACGTTATTGGGTTTTGGAAACGGAGAATTGTGGGGAAAAAAAATTACTCCGTGGTATTATGCTTGTTTAAAAATAAAAATGAACCATGACCGAATCAGGAATCGTGGAACCTGTGCTTCTTGTGGAAACACTTTCAACTTACTCTCTTGTTCGTCCCAAATGATCAACTCAAGGGACTTTGGTAGAATTTAAGTTACGATTCTCCACCCTGAAACGACCACATAACATCTTTGATCCAGGAACAAACTAATTTGGTTCAAAGAACTTGATGAATCCTGCTCCTCCCGGTCTGGCAAGCCTTCTCACTCACGCTCGCTAAACTAAAACCAATGTTTCTTTCAGATGTGTTCAGCGGTGCTGCGTTTCCGAACGAAGAGGAGCAGTGGTCGTTTCCTGCCTGTGAGCCGTTTTCGCCGGTCGTGGGGGCCGGAGTAAGCAAGCTCGTCCGAGGAGAACTTGTCCAAGAAAAGCTCGCCCAAGAAAAGCTCGTCCAAGGAAAGCTCGTCCGAGGAGAACCCGTCCAAGGAGAGCTCGCCCAAGAAAAGCTCGTCCGAGGAGAACCCGTTCAAGAAAAGCTCGTGCCGGTAGAGACACCACGGGCGTTGGAGCTCGGCGAATGCAGCAGAACGCTCACCTCGGTCGCGGCGTTGATCGAACAACAAGCTCCGGACACGAAAAGAAGAGAATTTCACTGTCAGTACTGCGACGGCGTACTTCGTTCCCTCGGCGCCCTGGAACGCCACATTGCAGAGCACACCCCCGAGAGGCTTTTCCAGTGTCAAGAATGCAACGTCCGGTTCTTTCTTGTCGATAGCCTCAACAAGCACATTAAAGGGCACATGAAGGTCCACTCTACGAAGTGGCACACCTGTGAAGTATGCGGTAAAAATTTCAGCAATTCCTTTCTTTTGAAGTCGCACCAAAGAATCCATACGGGGGAGATGCCTTTCTTGTGCCAATTGTGTGGAGGGAAGTTCCGCTATCCCGCCAGTCTTAGTTATCATATTGCCAAGTCCCATTGAGGACGGACTCCAGCATGAATTTGTCTTGTTACTGAGAAGCAATCATTTTAGCGTTTTGCTTCTTATTGTGGTGGTATATTAGTTTTTTTGAATATATAGAGACTTTATATTAACCTCATATGTAGACTTTTTTTGTTACATTTCAAACGCTTAAGAAATATATTCTTTTGGTATGTGGACAAACGCTTCAGAAATATGTTCTTTTGGTCTGTGGACTTTGTTAGCATTATTTGACGGAATCGTGTACCTGTGCCCGCTCACACTCTCCAGATGCGAAGAAGCAAGCGATCCATGGCTTCCACTAAACCGCCAACGTCTTGAACATTACTGATAATGAAGCCAGTCAAGAAATTGGTCGCTCATATTAATTGGGCTAGAGTGATTCCGTTCAAAGATCAACAGGATAGATGGCTCTCACAAGATGGGTTTTTTTTTTTCAGACCTCTGACTCTGCGTCCAGGCTGAGCTTCTTCCATTCATCCCCTTAATCTTGCGTCAGTGCATGTTGGAATGACAGGAGGTACACTGCGAATTAGGCATGCCCTGAAACTGGGTTGCTTTGTCACTGCTCCACTTTTTATTTTAGGCCCCTCATTCGGCCCGCGCTCGGTTTCTGGGCACCTTTGTCGCCTACCTGCACGGTTGAAACCTACGAAGTATTTTGAGCATACAGTACAGACTAATTTACTTTGTTTTATGAAGAAATAGTTCAAGTATTTTCTTTGAAGGCTTATGAATGCTCGGAACACTTTGTTATTATTCCTTGCATGTGTTAAGGGTGTTCAATCTGCGAGTGGTTGTGGTAGCTCTGGATAGCTCCGTCGGAGCTGCATGTCTAGCGGCGGTGCTACAGAGTACACAGTATGATTATGATAACGTTATGATGCCCTTATGAGGTAAGTTAAGGATCCCTGCCCCCCGCACAGTAAAAATTTGTTGCCACAGTATATGACAAACTCGTGGATGACAATTTCGCCAAGAAGTTACGACATTTTCATCAAAGACCCTATACTTTTTGCATGGGTGTGACAGCTGTCACCAAACAACGTTCTGATGACATCCTTGTAAGAAAATTGGCCTTGAAATCGTCAAGTGACAACGGAAATTTTCACAGTGCGCATCGCCGTCAAGAAGGCCTTCCACGTGGACCGCTTCGGGCCGCGCGGTCCCCTGCTGCTGCGCGCGCCGCCCGCAGCCAGCGAGGCCACCGTGGAGCCGGAGCAGGCCGGCAGCGTGGTGGTGCCGCCAGCGCCCCGAGGCGACGACCCGGCAGGCGAGGCGCCGTCAGTCCTCGGCTGGTGTGACTACAGGGGATGCGCGGAGGGCTTCGCGGCCTGGGATCGCTTCGTGGACCACTTCCTGCTGTGCCACGGCCCCGCACTGCAGAGCCAAAGGTCAGACTTCTCGCCACTCCAGTCAGACCTGGAAGCCTCGCCAAAACGTGATCGTGCTAGAATGTCTGTCCACAAGATGGCGGGACTTTTTTTTGTCTGACCACAATATGGTGATACTTTTGAACCCAGTCAAGACACTGAGAATCCAAACGCTATGAATTTAATGCCTTCCCATTCCCATGCATTATCGTAGGGTATTGTTGGAACGCAATGCACGCTCTCTCATTCCAGGAACGTGACATCACCTTGAAACGAAACGAACGTGACAAAATGTCACATTCGTTTGAGCATTGTGTCACGTTTGTTTAAACATGAGACTAGTCTCATGGTTTAAATGTGAAAAAGCTAATTTTTGGCCAATTCACACCCAAACGAATGTGACACAATGCTCAAACGAACGTGACATGTTGTCGCGTTCGTTTCAACGTGATGTCACGTTCCTGAGATGAGAGTGCATGGTGCGATATCTCAGTGCATTGCACCCGATTGCACCATACGTGCTGTATACATAGCGTTTGGAATCTCAGTATACGGTCTGGCGAGATACATTTGTCTGATCAAATTCTGGCGAGACTTTTAGATGTGACCAAAACATGACACGACTTTTTGTACTGTTTGTCTCGCCATATTTTGGCGCTGTGTCTTTTCATATGGGCGTTTCAGTACAGGTGTCCAGTCTGCCTGCTCAAGCACCAGGAGCCGCACACGGAGTTCGACTACGCATGTCTGCGCTGCCCCGCTCGGTTCACGGCAGAGAGCGGGCTGCGTTATCACGTGATCAGCTTCCACCGCGGCAAGAAGGCGTCCTCGCTGCCGGACTCGAGGAGGGCGACCAGAGAAGTAGTCGGCTGGTGCACCTTCGGGCGCTGCGCGATGCCCTTCCATTCCTGGATGGACCACGTCACGCATCAGGGGATCACTCACCTCAGCGCGGCAGAGGTGAAATCATATTTTCTATTTCCAAAGTTTTCGGGAGCACCCGATTAAACACTTAACGTCATAGAGCATTTTCTGTCCCATCCTGGTGTTACTATTTTGTTCCCGCCTGTTCCCTCCTTACTTTGAGATAGCCCTTTCACTCTCATTCTAGGAACGTGACATCACGTTGAAACGAACGTGACAAACTGTCACGTTCGTTTGAGCATTGTGTCACATTCGTTTGGGTGTGAATTGGCCGAAAATCAGCTCGTTCACATTCAAACGAACGTGACACAATGCCTAAACGAACGTGACACTTTGTCACGTTCGTTTCAACGTGATGTCACGTTCCTGGAATGAGAGTGTTCACAAGACAATTTGTCGCACCTGGCGGGCACGGCATTGCTTCACTAGTGGATGTGCCATTGGGTTTGCAAGCAATGCTCCTGCCCTATCCACAGAAGATAGTTCACACATGCATGTCTTCACTCAAAAAACCTTGCCAAGAATATTCTTAGCAGAGTTGCACAGAAAAGAAATTGTTGCACTGTAAAGTAATTTTCTTCACAATGCAAGAAACTCTTCTTTCACGTATCAAGGCCATGTGTGAAGTTCTGCAAAGATAAATAATCGTAAGCTACGAAGGGACATTTTTGCGCCTTACAAACCTATTCTTAATCAATAATTGTTAGCAGTTATGTATAATTTTCTTTGCGTCTGCAAATCAATTTATTCGTAGAGACTCTCGCAGTTGTTACACAGAGAGAAAAAGTGACAAAAAAAGTACGTACCTACCTGTCGGACCACGAAACTCCCTTACTTATATTCCGCACTCGATTACATGACTTCACGGAACTACGACGTTACGTACTCTTTTCCGTACTTCCGTACTAGATTTGCCTGTATATTTTACGCTCGAAAGTACGGATTTCCTAACAGTGCTTCTCGTCCATCAGAGGAAGGCCACGTGCCACCTGTGCCTGGAGATCTGTCCGGGCGGCGGACTGGAGGCCCACCTCGAGGCCCACCATCGCGGCGACGTGGAGTGCTCCCTGTGCGCCGCCCACTTCCTTGGCGTCGGCGGCCTCGCGCGCCACAAAGAGGACTTCCACCGCCTCACGCCGGACGGCAGGGCTCCACCTCATGTTCATGGTAATAAAGTACACTGTAAATGTCTTACGGTGAAAGGCTGCACACTTAATGTCATAAACAGTCCCATGAATGATGCACATCCGGTGGTGATGCAATTTTGTGTCCGCCAGGCGGAACAAATTGTCCAGTGAAAGTACAATTTGTAGCAGGTGTCGGACAAAATGTGTCGCCAGACGGGAACAAAATTGTATCAGCGTCGTATGTGCTTGGAATTGCCTAAATCGTGGGACGAAAAAAGTCCCATGACATTTAGTGTGTGCACCATTATATTATGGTGGAGGTTTTCTCCATAATACCAACGAAATTCGTCAAAATATCTATGAGGTATAGTAAATTCTCAACAGTATGTTACGAAGTCAGCTGCACCACCACAGTATGGAAGATTTTCACCATAATATGGAGAATCTTCACTGTACAACCCGAGTAAAAATAGAAGGCTGCAGAAAGGCTGACGCACGGCTGACGCATGGCTGTACGGACCGTTTTTTGGCTGTATGCATGGCTGCCGTGGCTGCCTTGCAGCCATGTCGCAGCCATAGCGACGTCCTGGACTTGCAGCCATCCACGCTGCAGTGGCTGGTCTGGCTGTTTCACGGAGCGCTTTGGCTGTGAAACGCTTCAGAAGCTGCGCACAGAAGCCTTTTGGCTGCCCTAAGCAGCCTATAAACGCTGCCACGCACAGCCAACTTAGCTGCAATGGCTGTAGGCTGCGCGTCGCAGCGTGTTGGCTGCTGGCGCCAGCCGGGCCGTGGCTAGACGTTACAGCCATGTAGGCTGCCACGGCTGTAGGCTGCGCGTAGCAGCGTGTTGGCTGCTGGCGCCAGCCGGGCCGTGGCTAGACGTTACAGCCTTGTAGGCTGCCACGGCTGTAGGCTGCGCGTCGCAGCGTGTTGGCTGCTGGCGCCAGCCGGGCCGCGGCTGGATTGTACAGCCACGCGGGCTGCAATGGCTGTAGGCTGCGCACTGCGCGTCGCAGCGTGCTGGCTGCCAGCGGCAGCCTGGCCGCGGCTGCACTTTACAGCCACGCAGGCTGCAATGGCTGTAGGCTGCGCGTCGCAGCGTGTTGGCTGCCGGATGCAGCCGGGCTACGGCAGGACTAAACAGCCATGTAGGCTGCAATGGCTGTAGGCTACGGATTGCAGCATGGTGGATGCTGGCGGTATTCAGGCAACGGTCGTATTCCTTGATTAAAGGGCTATAAAAAATAGAAAAAATAGACTGGGTGCGTGGTATGCTGATATTTAAGTTGAATACGTTAACATACATAAGCCATGCAAGTTTCGTAAAAATCGGGAAACTTTTTTGTTATTTTTGATATCTCGGGAACGGTAAGTCCTACATGAAATTACTTGGCAGATTTGGATCCGGAACGGTGTTCGGACCCTAGAAAATCTACAAAGGGCTCCATAGAACTTCAAAGGGCGTAACAGGGACCCTCAAAGGTCCTCATGGGGACCTTCATGAACTAAGGAGTGAAGCCTAGTAGCGATATGGATGCTGCCGATGGCATCCACGAAGCTGCAGGATGCGGCCGAGATGTGGCTGTGATCCGCAGCTTCATAGCTGCCAGGGGCAGCGTGGCCCGGGCGAAAGAAGGCTGCCTGGAGCATCCTGAAGGCTGCGGGGTGCAGCCTACAGCAGCGCCTCACAGCCTCCAGGCTTCCGGGGACAGCTTGGCCCGGGCGAAGGAAAGCTGCCTGAGGCATCCTGAAGGCTGCGGGGTGCAGCCTAGAGCAGTGCCTCGCAGCCTCGTGGCTGCTGGGGGCAGCGTGGCTCGCGAAGGAAGGCTGTCTGGCGCATCCTGAAGGCTACGGGGTGCAGCCTAGAGCAGCGGGGGCAGCGCTGACTGGGCTCCAAAGGGACACTTCAGTGGCTGGCAGGTGCAGCCAGAGACGCTGCACCGGCTGCGGATGGCTGTATTTTGGCTGACGTATGTCCGAATACAGCCAATGTCTGCAGCCATCCGAGTTCCATCCGCGCGTTGTAAGCAACCTGGAGGGAGCCAGCCTGCAGCCAATCTGCAGCCTATAATTTTCTCTCGGGAATATTTAGAGTGTATTGTGAATTTGCAAACATGTTTGGTACGAATTGTTTGTAGAACTGTAGTTAATTACGAATAGAAGTCATCAACTCACAAGTGTTCGTTAAAAACTTACGTTTACGAACACTTCTCGTCATTTTTATCTTGCAAATCACTAATTTACGACGCTCTTGTAACCTATCCACTTCGTAACTTTTTTTTTCGAAGTTCTTTTCTTAAATTATTTGTATAATTTTAAAACTTACACATATGATATGTGACCCTTTCTAATTTCTTTTCATATTGTAAAGGTCCATTGCCCTATTTAAGGGGGCACACCAGTGAAAATCGTCAAATTTTTGCCTTCTCTTTTATTTTATCTTATTTTTCTGCTATTCATCCCGAGTCGAAGGCCGCAAACCCCACCCCGAAATTCCGATTACTTTGGCTTGTGCATATTTTTAAAGTTGCTAAAAAGGTAATTATTTTTGCATATTTTTGACCAATTGTTAACGTTCAGCGTTTTCACTTGAACTTTACAAAACCCTTGAACCACCCAAACGCAGTTGAAAAGAGGAACCTTTTGGCGCAAACTGAACTAAATTACGTCAAAAGACGCATTTATAATCCGATAAAACACGTCAAATCTATGTTTCCACTTAAAGGGCTTTCTCTCCAAACACCTTTTTGTACCTTTGCGCCACTCTCCCGGGCGCAAAAATTAAGATAATTTAATGCGGTTTGCGGCAAAATGTTCGTTGCACTTGCGTCTATGGTCTGAACCTCGGAAATGGCCATCCCATAAAAAGGGCGTGAGCTGCAGCCATAAAAGTGCGAAAAAATTGGTTAAAAAATTTGTTTTTATTTTTGCCCTCTAAAAAAACAAATTTGAAATCATTCTTTTGGCATGCCCGTGGTTCAGACCATAGCCACATGTGTCCTGTTGAGAAATTTTCAAATCCGGTGCGCGAAGCTTAATCCAGAGAGGCGGAATCGTGGCAGGAGTGAAGCAAGGTCGTTGAAAAATGAAGTGCACTGGCACTTCATCTTGCCATCGCCTCCTCGCTCTCCCATACTGATTTTCCTTTTCTTTGACATAATTTTGAGCCAAGAATAAAATATCAATCGAATACATCGGTTACTTTTCTCAGAATGATCGTTTTTCGAAACCTCTGCATTTTCACTGGTGTGCCCCCTTAAAACACACCAAACACTGCGCGAAAAAATCACAGTGAATCCTTGTTATTTATTTTGCCGTGATCTACTGTGGTTCAGGAGTTCAGAATACGGGAACAGCTGTACCTGGCTGCAGGATAAACTGTACCTTGTACAGGATTTTCCGCACTCCAACTCTGTTGCACCTGTAAAAGTACAGTAGATTCTGTAAAAACAAAAGTACAGCAAATCCTGTACTCTGAATACAGTGACAGCTTTGAACTAATCGTTTCAGGATTTGCTGTAGTTTTTTCGCACAGTGAATATCAAATTATTCAACGAATGCGAGCAACTTGTAATGATTCGATAAGTTTCATGACGAATACTTTTCGCACAATTTATAAACAGACGAAAAGTTCCTTAAAAGATAATTTGCGAACAATTCCCCGAGAGAAAATTATAGGCTGCAGATTGGCTGCAGGCTGGCTCCCTCCAGGTGGCTGACAACGCGCGGATGGAACTCGGATGGCTGCAGACATTGGCTGTATTCGGACATACGTCAGCCAAAATACAGCCATCCGCACCCGGTGCAGCCTCTATGGCTGCACCTGCCAGCCACTGAAGTGTCCCTTTGGAGCCCAGTAAGCGCTGCCCCCGCTGCTCTAGGCTGCACCGCGTAGCCTTCAGGATGCGCCAGACGGCCTTCCCTCGCGAGCCACGCTGCCCTCGGAAGCCTGGAGGCTGTGAGGCGCTGCTGTAGGCTGCACCCCGCAGCCTTCAGGATGCTCCAGGCAGCCTTCTTTCACCCGGGCCACGCTGCCCCCGGCAGCTTTGAAGCTGCGGGTCACAGCTACATCTCGGCCGCATCCTGCAGCTTCGTGGATGCCATCGGCAGCATCCATATCGCTACTAGGCTTCACTCTTTACTACATGAAGGTCCCCATGACGACCTTTGAGGGTGCCTGTTACGCCCTTTGAAGTTCCATGGAGCCCTTAGTAGATTTTCTAGGGTCCCAACACCGTTCCAGATCCAAATCTCCTAAGTAATTTCATCTAGGACTTACCGTTCCCGAGATATCAAAGATAACAAAAAAAATTCCCGATTTTTACGAAACTTGCATGGCTTTGTTTAAAAAGTTTCCCCAAAATTCCAACCAAATTTCGGGGATACCCCAAAAGCCCCAACCAATGGGGTTTTCCCTATTTTTTAAAAAAACCCCTTTTCCCAAGGGACGGCCCGGGTTTCCGAAACCCCTGCCAATCCCCCCATTGGGGCCAATCCGGTACCTACAGCCTTGCAACCCCACATCGTAAACCCGCGCCCCCTACATCCCCAGCCAAACGCTGGGGAAAAGGGAGGCCCAAAAGCCTTTTGGCCAGGCTAAAGGGGGGGGGGCCCCCTTTGGGGTTAAAAGGGGGGGTTGGGGGGGGAAAGGGGGGGGGCCGGGGCCCCCGGGGGGCCCCCAAAGGGGGGGCCTTGGCCCGCTGGGCAGCCAAACACGCTTGGCGAAAAGCGGCCCGGCCCGGCCCGGCCCGGCCCCAAACCCGGGGGTTTGGGGCTTCCAAAAGTCCAAAACCCCCCCCGGGGCCCCGGCTTTTTCTGGGGTTTGCCAAACCAAGGCCCAACAAACCCCCTTTTTTTGGGACGCGCCCCCCGGGCCCAACAGCCATAGCAAAAAAAACCTTTTTTTTCCGTGGGCGTTTAAAGTTTTTTTAGGGGCCGGGGGCCCCTGGGCTGGGGGGTGGGGGCCCCCCGGGGGGGGAGGGGGGCCCCCAACCCCCCACGGGGTTGGGCCGGAAACGCCGGCAGGGCCTTTTTCCCCGCCACTGGGAGCCTTTTTTGTTGGCCCCGTTTTTTTTTTTTCCCCCTTTGGGCAGGGCCCCTAAAAATTAAGGTAAAAAATCAAATTGGGGGGGGGTCACCCTTTTTGAAAAATTTCCCCCCCAAATTTAAAAGGGGGGTTTTAATTCTTGACCCCCTGGTGGGAAAAAAAGTGGGATTTTTGCGGGGGCCTTTTAAACTTTTTAAAAAAGGTTTTTTCCTTTGACCCTTTTTAAGGGTTTTGCAGCATAGTAGCCCTGTCTATCATCCTTACTTACTAAGCTGTGGCTGTTTTAAAAATAGTCTGTTTTGGCCCCCAATTGATTTTTGGAACCATTGGGGGGCCCGCATTGTAGGAACTCAAATTTGGATATGATTTGCTTAAATACGAGAGAAATTCACTTCTGAATTAGTTTTTTTGGAATCGTGAAAACTGCAGGATCTGTAGCACAATGAATCAATTGTGGGTCACATCAATTGTGGGCCAAATTTTGTCTTTTAGCTTGTAAATTGCCCCTTTTGCAAAATATTTTTTTTTTCATTTTAAAAGGGCCCTGGTTCTCAATAAAACCCAAACAAAACGTTTTTTACTCAAAAAGGAAAAATACATAAACAGGCTAATTTCACTGTGAGACAGACGTGAGTTTAAAAGTCCTGGATTAGAGACGAAACTTTTATAGTGCATATTGTAGGGGCCCCCGGTGTGGTAGACAATTCAACACCACACCCTGCCATCATGAGGGATTGCTACACTTTATTATCTATTTTAGTCAGAATATATAGTCTGCAGGGATTGATTTGACTGCTTATAACAGGGCCGGACCGGGCCCCGGGTGCCTAGCCCGCAGTTGGAGAGCGGTTCACTTCCGGGAGCTATGTAACCCCGAAATGCGCCCCCCCCCCCCCCCCCAACAAAAAAGCTTTATGGCAGACTGGAAGTAAGAGCTAGCGTTGTCATTCGGGCTGTAGCTTAACATAACCTTCGTATCGTAATACGAAATGTGACGGAGCAGAAAAATGGAATTTACTGGGATACATCAGTCATTCAGAAGCGCTGAAAACCAAAAAAATAGCAGGAAAACTACCGGAAGATTCGTTTAAAATAATGGGTCTGACATGGAAGCGAACGCTACTTTGCCATCACCCGCGCACCATGGCATCGAATGATTTCGGCTGTACTATGGTAAATTTATGTTCCCTGACCTACTATGAACCAAAATCAGCAAGGGCGTCCCGTTTTATCTCGTAATAGCTTCACGGTGGCAATTTGAAAAACATACTGTTTTTCGCCTCGTTGGATGGGCGCCATTTTCACGACATTTTGAAGGGCCTTCCTTTGAAGCCTGATAGGAGCCGTTACAGTCGTCGCTCGGACATACACGCTATTTGGGAAGACAAAGAAAGGTTGGAGGAAGGCCTACCGCGAAATTCAAATCGATTCAATCTCCGTCGGGTCTGCGGTGACCCGTCGAAAAAAATGACCCACATTTGATTCGTGACCCACAATTGATTTTTTACCTTAGGCTGCTTAGGGCAGCCAAAAGGCTTCTGTGCGCAGTTTCTGAAGCGTTTCACAGCCAAAGCGCTCCGTGAAACAGCCAGACCAGCCATTGCAGCGTGCATGGCTGCAAGTCCAGGACGTCGCTATGGCTGCGACATGGCTGCAAGGCAGCCACGGTAGCCATGCATACAGCCAAAAAACGGTCCATACAGCCATGCGTCAGCCATTCGTCAGCCTTTCTGCAGCCTTCTATTTTTACTCGGGTCGTACAACAAAATTACCCAAGGATTCTTATAACCTTATGTAAAAAACAACTTTTCTTGTTGCTGCCTTGGTTCCAGCCCCTGTCCGGGCCGCCGTCGTGGGACGGTGCACCGTCATGGGGTGCAGTTCGGTGTTCGTCAGCTGGAAGGAGTTCGTTCTCCACTTCGAAGCCCAGCATATGAAGAATTGTTCTGCTCACAGCCGTTTGTGCCATCTGTGCCTGTCATGTCTTCCTAACGATGAAGCGGCTCGGCTCCACCAAGCGAAGCACGCCAGGAGCGTGGCACACTGTTGCAAGAAGTGCTCGGCGCGGTTTTGGAACGGCAAGCGTCTCAATGCACACATCAGCCACTTCCACAGAATGGTTTGAAAGTCTCGCATGCCACTCGCTCCGCTGTGAGAAAAATGTACGGTATTCGTCGTTAATTTATTAACAGGATTTGCCGTACTTAAAAGTACGGTGTTTACCGTACCTAAAAGTACAGCGTTTACCGTACCCATTGAAGTACGGTGTTTGCCGTACACAGCGTTTACTGTACCTGGAAGTACGGCGATTACCGTAATTTGTACAATGCACTTGTCAAGAGGCAGTCATTTCTTGACATCAAAGTCAATTTCGACAATTTTGAAAATGTACTCAAACTCTTTGGAATTGAATTCAACGTGAGATCTGTTCAACTTCACGTAAAAAGTGCCGCTTTGAAATTGACGGGGATGTCTTGTTATATTTCTGAGGGGTTTGAGTGAATTTTCCAAGGGGTCCAAATCAAGTGAATTTTCAAAGTGGTCCAAATCAAGATCTTCGTACAGAAATGGATTCGTCTCGTCAAGACAAACAAAAAATGTTAACGCATGTCATAGGTTTGGATGGAAAATGAAAAAACTATTCACCTACAAAGTTAAAAATATGTTCAAAAAACGATCTTTTAGGTACTTTTGAAGCTCAACAACGTTGTCATTTCCCATCCAAACCTATGAGATGCGTTGCCATTTTTTGTTTGTCTTGTCGAGACGAATCCATTTCTATAAGATCTTGATTTGGACCACTTTGAAAATTCACTCAAACCCCTCGGAAATAAACAAGGCATCCCCTTGGATTTCAAGGCGGCACTTTTACCGTGTTTGTACAAACTACGGGAATCGCCGTACTTCCAGGTACGGATACACCGTACCTCTATGGGTACGGTAAACGCTGTACTTCCAGGTAGGGTAAACGCTGTAATTCCAGGTACGGTAAACACCGTACTTTTAAGTACGGCAAATCCTGTTAATAAATAAACGGCGAATACCGTACATTTTTCTCACAGTGTCGCTACGCGTATGTCCGTCGTACTGACGAAAATGAATTACAATAATGGTGACAGATTGTATTGGGAAGTTTTGCGCCGTGTCATGGATTTTCATCACGGGTGTACTTATGTTTTTGTTATAGGGTTATTTCCTTCAATTTATTCCTTTGGTTGTGAATTGCGAGTCACTCTTTGTTACGGCATTTGTAATGTCGAGGAGTTTATTTCCTCTTTGTTTTGTCAACGTCAAATATTTCACTTACTTATCTGGTGCAAAATTGAAAATAAAGCATAGCTAAAACTCGGCGACAGATCTTATTCAACGACCATCTTGGATATATTTTTGGTCATAAAATAAGAGTGTTGATGGGGTAGATACATTGTCAAGGTTAGGTTAATTTGTGCAATGGTTTGAACCAGTTTTTTACACTGCAAGAAATAAACACAACAAAAGAAACAATTGTTGTACGAAGTACAATGAACCGACATGACAAGTGCTGAGTAGTCCAGGCCTCGTTGTGGTTTGTACAATTCCTGTTGTACTTCAAACAATCCCTGATGTACTTTTATTGTACAGTTTTTGCTGTACTTTTGTTGCACTATCCACACTTTTTCTTGCAGTGTGAGGTCATAATGGAAAGCACCACAGAAGAAGCAAAACAAAGCGCAGAGGCTTTGGCTGTATATAATGCAGGTGTCAAATTCACATTATTTATTACTGCTTCTGTGTTGGTAAATTCATTTGCGTACCGTACACTGTAAAAAATTTGTTCGTAAATTTACAAACAATTTATGGGTAATTTCGTTGCACAAATTATCTGTAAATTTTTTTGTGTATCAACGATTTATGAATTATTCTTCACGCAGTAGTTTGTAAAATCACAAACTTTTTACACGATCCAAATTACGTGGACCGCTTTTGTTCTTCCTTGTCACGTTGATTGAATGGAGATAAAGTTATTTCAGAGTTTTTGGATTGTTTTATGAAACATCTTGTAAAACGATGGAGGCATCACCATATCTCGTAATTTTACAAGCGATTTGTGCAACGGAATTACCCAGGCATTTGTTGTAATTCTAGGAAATTTTTCATATTTTTGTGATCTTGCTGTAGTATTAAAGTCACGTTTGAAATGTATTTCGTTCGTACCATCTCGTAAGGCGGTGTTCACAAACAAATTTCATAAAATTAAGAAGATTTCTGTGATGAATAATTCATAAAAAGGCCTCTACAAATAAATTTCATAAAATAACGAAATGTTATTGTTACTTTACTGGGAATTTGTTAAAAAGATTTTCGTAAATTCACAATAATTTTTTACGGTGTAAACTGGAGTGACTTCGACACTTCGGCGGGAAAGGGTTTCGGAACGTTCTTTCATGCTTCTCGCTTTAAATTAACACAAAACAAGTTTCACACTAAAAATCCAAAGGCCAGACTTCTTACCACTCCAGAGGGGAGATATTTTAGTCTCGCCAAGTTTTGGCCAGACCTGAAAGTCTCGCCAAAATTTGGTCAGACAAAAAAGTCTCGCCACAAAACGGTCAGACACACAAGTCTCAGCACAAAATGGCGGCAATTAAGTGTCTGACCGCATTACGGCTTTAAGGCCGTGGTCTTCTGTGTCTGACCGTTTTGTGGCGAGACTTTTTTGCCTGACCAGATTTTGGCGAGACTTTCAGGTCTGACCAAAACTTTGGTGAGACTTAAATGTCTGACCATATTTTGGCGCGAAGTCTTTCCATCCAATTTCCAGTGTGCACACTGTGCAAGTGTGGTTATTTTCCTTACACATCAGAGTATGGACACGCGTTTAATGCAAAATATTTGATCAATTAAGGAACGAGTCGTTCAAATTACTAAAGAACAGTTATTAAAAACTAAAGAACAGAATTTCAGTTTTGAACTCTAAACGGGGTGTCGACTGCATTTGAATCGCTGGCACGCGCGATACCTACAAGGTAGGTGGACGCCAGACAGTGGCTTGTCGTAACAGGCTTCTTGATGCTGCGCCAGTTTCGACAATCCACGCACTGGTAATCCAAGTGTGGGACAGGCATGCACTAGATAGGACAGTTTGTCCCACGCTTGGAAGCGTAGGACACAGTTTGTAACGCTTCGAAGCGTGGGACAAACTGTGTCCTACGCTTGCAGGCTAAAGATTTCAGAGTGGCGTATTAACCTTATCCTATCACCGGCACAGTCTGTCTTTGTATTCACTGTTGATGGGGTCAATTAAAAGGTTTCAAAACAAGAAATGATACTTCATTAGTGATTGAGTGGTTGCTGCAAGCTAGGTGACCAATGCTTGAGGCAACTAAGAAAGATGCTTGCTCCATGAAGCTTTCAACATACAATACATCTAATCTGAAGTAGGGGCAAGCAGAACTCTTACTTACATTTCCCTCCAAAGTCAGGGGTTGGTAAAACTCCTTGACACAAGGGCTGGAGCTACCAACCACAGTTGAATGGCATGATGAATTTCACAGTAGTAGTAAGTGATGAAAGCCAGGCGTCGCTAACCCTTCGCTGCAACTTGGGTAATTCCACGGAAGCGAATAACACTTTTTCGGCGCGACCTCACCGATTTCGCTCAAACTCGGTGAATCGATTCTTACTAGTGCCCTTTGGATCCCTGCAAAATATTAGCACTTTATCTCAAGCCGTTTCCGAGATATAAGCATTTGAAAATTTTACAACTTTTTTGAAAAAAGTTACACTTTTTTCAAAAAGCTGAAATATCTCGGCCAATTTTAAAGCTACATAAAAACCGAGTACACCGTTGGAAAGAGCACAAAACAATGAATCAAATCAAGTCATAAAACGTCCCTTAAGGTCCATGAACATTTTATCATTTTCTCTCAAACTGAAAAAATCGGTTTTTGCTGTACCCAAAATACCTCATCTTCGATTTGCTTCAAACTTGGTGGGAAGGCTCCTCAGACCATCTACTTTAATGCCCTAAAATATTGGGAATCTTTTTTGCCTCGTTCGCCGTCCACAGGGCCCAACGTGTGTCGGTGCACCCAGAAAACAGCAAAAAACAGCCGAAAAATTGACCTTTGGCCACCGTTGCCTCTCCTGGTTGTTTGAATTGCGCGCCAACAGTTGCGTGGTTGCCAATTTTTCATACTCCAACCCGTTCCGCCACCTTGTTTTGATTCGCTTTCGTGAAGAGGTTAGAGGGGCGGCGTGACTCGGGGTAGGAAGGACTGCACAGGCGCAGGGTTCCATGGATCAAGGGTGGGGGTACGCAGCGCTGCGGCGGATAGTGTTTGCAACTGGAGACCCTTCTCGGCAGATGACACGGTGGACGAGGTGTAGCGCGCCTGGCCCACATGCTGCACGCGCGGGATCTAATCCTCATGATTATTTTTTTTTTGTTGCTTTAGGCGGTATCTGCCGCAATTAGCGTAAGATCTGTCGCGAATAGAGTAAGATCTGTCGCGAATAGAGGAAGATCTGTCCCTGTCCCGAATAGAGTAAGATCTGTCCCGAATAGAGTAAGATCCGTCGCGAGTAGCGTAAGATCTGTCGCGAATAGAGTAAGATCTGTCCCGAATAGAGTAAGATCCGTCGCGAGTAGCGTAAGATCTGTCGCGACTCCGTTAGGTTAGGTTAGGATGGGTTGGACATAGCAGGCTCTCTAAGTTGGACCCTGCGCCTGTGCAGGCCTTCCTGCCCGGAGTCGCGTCGGTTAGAGGGGTTCGTTACGCAGCAACGGATTCAAGAGTTTCATTACTTTTAATTCATGACAACATGCAGTGCTACCTGCAAAACAGCCGGACCACTGATTGTGGTCCGGAGCTGGTGCCGACCGAAGAGCTTAGTAATTCTTTGACGGAACTAATTCGAAGGAGAAGTGGTCTCTGTCAGAATATAGAAAAAGTGTGTGTGAGACACTTTATGGAACACTTTAACCGTAACACATGTTATTGAAAAAGCTGCGTAACCATGTTACAAAATTCTGTACTGATTTTTTTTAGAGTGCAGGTGGATGAAAATTTGTTTTCTGGTGCAAAATTAAATAAGGAACACGTTGGTGCCCTCGGAATTGATCTACGACCAATACTTTCGGAGATATCGGCCTCCAAAGTTGAAAAAAGGGGCCAAAATGAAGCAAAATACCCAAATCTTGGGATTTTGGCAACCATTGGACCTATTGACACGAT